ATATTTAGTCGTGATTTTGAGGACTAATGTGGTTGTTTAATTCTTTTCGTATTAATAATAATATAAAAAAAGTTATTTCACATATTAGAAAATAGTATACTATCTGAATTAACACCGCTAACATTTCACATAAGAAACAACCACTATTAGAAAATTTATAAATGTGGACTGTTATACAATTAATGAGAAAAAGTTGAGTTGTATACGTAAGTTTTTTTACAATCATGGCAACTGGCATAACCGACAATTCTTTCAAAAATTCCTTTTTCATTTATTTTTGCGGGAAAACCAAATTTACGCCAGTGTGCAACTTTAGTTGATTTTGAAGTATTGGTATTGGCTATTATATCATGTCGTTTTTTTTTCATTTCTTAACACAAACTGTATTCTTTCGCTCGTATATGACATTGATTGAGAAGAAGACGATAAAGTACTCCTGTTTGATGACGTATAACTGGATGTAATCAAAGTTGGTGCTGGCGATGAATTATTTGTACTTGAATTAGGTGATGCATAAATGTACGAGATTGACGACGATGTGGTATTTGTATTCGTTGAAGTAAATATTGAAGATGAATTTGAAGGTGACGATGAAGTCAAAGATAATAATCCATTTTTTTTTATCGAGAAGCGGACTTGAATATATGTGGTTTTCCATGTTAGAAAAATCTAAAAGGCAACTTGTGAATTCACTGTTATTTTTACTTAATTTATTATATTTTCGCGTAATAGAACGTTGAAATGCATTTACTAATTTATCTTTGTTTCGCTGTATTAGTTTTAGTTTATTTTATTGTCTTGTTCCCAGCTCGAATAATCCGGCCTGGAAACGACCAGTTCCGTTGACTTTGTGGAAGCAGTATTCCGGTTGTAAATTTTTCGGATTTTATACGGTGATTTCAGATCAATTCCTGCCGGAAAGCACCGGAGCTCGGCAGGAATCCGCCGGAAAAGTCCGGTCGGATTTTTGACAAGAATACTGCTTCCATGTTCCAGCGATTTCCCGCGTGTTCCTACAGCATGTCATGACTTCCCCGCATATTTCCTGGAGTATCCCACAAGATCCGGTGGCCGCAATGTTTAATGTATTAGTTAGATTATAGCGACACCTAATATAGAATTGAGCAAATAAAATCATTCCAAGCCAATTTTGAGCAGGCTAGATAGGTTAGCCTGGCCTGGCCCTGTAGCCTGGCCTGGCATCTCTGATTTGTAAAAGTTTTCTCTGTTTTTACCAATTCAAAAGGAGATCACTTAGTCATAATCATATTTCAATGTTGTTTTCATTGTAAAATTGTCATTGTCTTCTCCTGAATTGATGAAATTTCTCGTACGTAAATCTGAACACAAACAAACGAATTGCTGTGTTCGAAATAATGAAACAATTTGAAATTAGCAACAACGAGAATAACTCGACGCAACATTTAGAAAAGCTTGGATACGCCTTAAGACAAGACTAAAACAATTTATAAATAATGCTAAAAAGAAAAAACAACGAAATATGATAACCACCATTTTTTAGTTCTTTTATAGTAACATGAAACTATGATGTTAACAGAGAATAGACTTCCATGCAATATTTCTGAGATTGTACAGCAATTCAAATGAAACTATTTTATTTCATATTAGTTGATGTGTTATTTTAGTTGAGCTCAAACTGCCGATAATTATTTGTCATGAGTTTTTCGATCAGTTCATGTTGTAAATTCCATATAATTCTAATGCTTTCTTTGAAATTCAAGAAAGTCAAATCATACTTTGATCTATTTTTAAATATTGCTTTATTTAAAAAGTGTTTCTCAAAGATTTCACAATAATTCATGATTAAAATTAATTTTGACAACATTTTCTCAAAATAGTACTCATCTCTTCCTTCTATCGAACAAAATCTTACTATTGAATTGATGTTTGAATCATTAATATCCATATATACATACTAAAAAAAGCAATAAACAATATTATTTCTTGAGGGTGTGGGTAGCAATAAAATTCTAATAAAAAAAATTTGCTTCAAGCATTTTTATACTTTAATTTTTTTGTACTATAGAGTGGTAGATCCAAATTCCATCGCTGATTTTGAAAAGTTCCAGTAAAACCTCTATATTTCCGCTTCCTCAAGTCCGTTTGAGCTGATTTTTAGATTCCGGAATAGACAAAACATTTTTCTATCGAATTGTATAATTTTCATCAATATACGATTCGTTTTGAGTGAGCAGCAACAAAGACACTAACACCTATTTTTATTTTTGACCCGTTCTGTCCACGTTTTAATTCCATCATTCAAGTCATCATTCTTTCCCAATTCCATCATTTCCAGCAAAAATGTACAAATTTTGTTAAAAAACTTAGTTTTCGAGCGGAAGGTTGGCATCTTTCCAAAAACAAATTACATCATTTGATTCAGGAGATCAATCTCTATCGATTGATATGTTTCTTATTACGAATAAATATATCTTTTATATATTTTTTCTCCTAACAATCAACTTTTTCGTGTGATGCAATTAAGTAGTGTAACTTAATTCCATCACACCAGCTATTCCTCTTTCCTTATTTAATCATGTAATAGAAAATACATGTAAAATTGTCCATCATCAGTAATAAAAACATTGGCGCTAGATCAACTACATAATTTTACTAAACAATCTTTACAAAAAATGTAGCTGAACTCAGTGGCTATCTGTTAATGAAAAGTCAGACAATTTATACCNTTACATGATTAAAACTTCGTTTTTTTGCGCTATTTTAATTTGCTGATGGATTCCTGAGAAACTCCTGTCTCATATGATGGGAATGTAAACAAATCCATAAGACAAAATCCTCTGACTTTTCATTAACAGATTGCCACTGAGTTCAGCTACATTTTTTGTAAAGATTGTTTAGCAAAATTATGTAGTTTATCTAGCGCCAATGTTTTTATTACTGATGATGGGCAATTTTGCATGTATTTTCTATTACATGATGAAATAAGGAAAGAGGAATAGGTGGTGTGATGGAATTAAGTTACACTACTTAATTGCATCACACGAAAAAGTTGATTGTTAGGAGAAAAAATATATAAAAGATATATTTATTCGTAATAAGAAACATATCAATCGATAGAGCTTGATCTCCTGAATCAAATGATGTAATTTTCCTTCGAAAAAATTATGATATTCTGACTGAAAACATGTTTTTTATGCCAATCCTATGCATTTTGGCTGGAATGATGTAATTAAAACGTGGACAGAACGGGTCAAAAATAAAAATAGGTGTTTGTGTCTTTGTTGCTGCTCACTCAAAACGAATCGTATCTTGATGAAAATTATACAATTCAATTGAAAAATGTTTTGTCTATTCCGGAATCTAAAAACCAGCTCAAACGGACTTGAGGAAGCGGAAATATAGAAGTTTTACTGGAACTTTTCAAAACCAGTGATGGAATTTGGATCTAGCACTCTAAAGCTTTTAATCAACCAGTGTCATACAAATATCTTCATAAACGTGCTTTTTTTTATGCTTTATTATTTAAGATTTTTTGATCTTTCCTGTTTGATATATTATCTTATTTTTAATGAGCACGGCACGAGTAGAACATTATTCTTAAGATGCCTACTTCACGGTTGAGGAATATTATAGTGCACAATATTTCCTCAGTGGAAATCACCGCTTCGATTTTCGCGTGTAATACGGTTTTTGTGTACTCAAAAAGTGAGGACACTAGATTCGGCCAGTATGTCCGGCCGGCCGTTGACACGATAACTTTTGAAAGCCTCATTCAATTGTCATAACATTTTGTACACAGAATGATCTCATCAATATCTCGGTCGAGTTCGAAGATGAGAAGGATCCGTCAAGAAATAGTTGAGTTATCGAAATAATTGTCATTATTGACCAGACCATCCACGAGGGGAGGAGGTACAGGGAGTTTTTCAAAAAACAATTTTCCTCAGAATTATTCACAACATATATAAACCGACTCAGTTTTTACCGCTGATTCCGAATTTGACATTAGTTTTGAACCAAATCGTAGCTATCTAACAAAATATCGCCTAAAAAAGGTCTCAAAATGCACAAAAACAGCATCCGGAAACCAAATTGTCTAGATATGTCTCAGATGACCAGTAGTTTCGGGGTTTTCCAAATGCATGGTTTTGTAGCTACGCAAGAAGACTATCGAAAAGTAAAAATCCGAACTCGATAGCTATTAATATAGGATGATTTATTAGGAAAATACTGATACCTGTGCCTATCATATATCTCTTATAGACTCATGAAGTTGCTTACGATCGTAATCCCGCTAGATAAAAACGCAAATCCATTCAAAAATAACTCTTCTTACTCAGCTTTCGAAGCTAAGCACGAATCTGGACTCAATTTGTGTGATTTCTAAAGATATTATATCTCTCTGAGAGTAGAGTCAGTGGTCACCGGATTGGGTCGCATACAGTGTGGCTAATGTTCACTTAGCACGCCTGTATTTTCTCCTTGCAATTCAGTGATAAGGGATGTATCTTGATGAGATTTAAGTCTTATAGAATAAATGCAAAAACCTCGGATTTAAATCCGAGTGTTATGTGTACTTTAAAAAGTGAAAAGGTATATTCATCTTGTTTTTCTGTTTTTAGATCGTGTGATCAAAGCCAATCTGTCATCAATTAGTTTTAATTTTTGAAGCACACATAACACTCGAATCTAAATCCGATGCTTCCGCATTTATTTCTATTGTAAATAATCCTAATTAAAATATCATTTGGACACGTTTCAAAAATATTTCGGAGGAGTTAAATAATGACTTCCTTATGCCCAGGAAGTTAAAAAAAGCAGAGCTATGATTAGTTATTTATTATACGTAAATAGATACACACGTTTTTCGAAAAAACAAGACAAATATACTGTGTCACTATAAATATATTGTGGTTATTTGATGAAATAACATAGATAGTGCAAAAATGTTTAAAAATAATTTATTTCTGTGTTTATTTCAATTGATTTTGTTGCATTCAATAGTCACTCGTTCGTCATTATAAAGGTGCTTTAGTAGGAAGTTTTCTAGTCGCTGTTGACTGTGATAAGCGATAATGATAAAATATAATTTGTTGAGTTGGTTTTTTTTCTTTGGTTTTCTTTTGTTTTTTCATACATAAACATGCTCGAAATACGCTACGAAATAATAAAATAATATCACGACGAAACCGAAAACTTGTAAATATATAAGCATAAAAATTGACTGAATGGCTTATATAACGTATAATGAATGAGATTTCAGACAAATAGACAAGTATCTTATTGGTGTCATCAAAATGAGACAGAAGAACATAGATAATACAATATGGCACATAACATAATGTATATGTCATTGATATGACAAGTAATGTTGAACTTGTCGAACGATAACTTGCTCCTGCACTACTATCGGAACGTCGTGGACTGTGCTCAAAATTTTGTACATTATAAATATGTTTTATATAACATATAATAACAATATTAACCAATAGTGTTAACATAGAAGGCAAGACAAGATTGAGAACACCAGCAACCAGTACATTTAATAATAATGTTAATGAATTCGTGCTATATTCTTCACGTATATGACACCGAGATGATCTGAATGTAATTTCATTACTATCATTTACGAAATTTTCAATTACAGTAGATTTTTCTTCTCGATCATAGCCTAATGTAAACATTAGATAGCTATTTGCTGTAGCAAATATAATTGTAAGACAAATGACAAGAATTATATTTGATCTTATAGTGTTTAACGGTCGAAATATGTTTAAAAACCGAATTAATGTAAAACATGTAATTAGCCATGAGCATAACGCAGCAAATAAACGATTGATCATGTAAAAGAAGAAGCATGAAAATGCTGATACGTGCATTAAAGAAAAATATTCACTTTTCTTTATCGAATAAAGATAATGAAATAATGTTTCGATCACCCAATAGAGTAATAGGCAAAAATCTAAGTAAAAAAAAACGAAAAAAAATGATAGAACATTATTGCTGTTTTTTTCCATTAGGAAACACTCGTTTTAAACAAACAAAAAATAAGAAATAGCTGAGCGATCTATTTGAACTCCATAATAAAATTCAGTGCTGTTTTTTTTTCTTGTAAACTATCGATAACTTTATTTAATGTTATTAGTTTCAAATTTAGTAAATTTCTTGATTCATTGTAAACGTTACTCCTTTGGTTTTACTTATAGAACATGTCTACGTATAACCTAAGAATATCAATTTTTCATACCTCTTGGTAATAGATACTTTTAAAGTCAATCAATGCTTCAACGAGAAAAACTAAAGCAATGAAAGTTATCAATAGTTATCTTTGTTTAATAGAACATAAATAATTATAGAAAGAAAGAAAACTAGATGGTATTCAAGTTTCACTCGAATACGAATACGAATGCGAAGCTCGAATCGGATCTTCACGAAAAATCTTCAATGCCGAGAAATCTTGAATACTTTTTATGTCGACATGATGAAATTCGCCACTAAGAAAACTCTGTTCTTACTTAGCGATACATTCTTAAGGGTCGATTTCGATTGATCGATTAATTATCTCCATGATTCATTATTTTAGATCAGCTTCAAATGAATAGACTATAGTGGTTAACATATGTTCATGACGTCACTTTAATTATCTCACAACAAATTTCTTTCATTTTCGCCATTTTGGAACCACATTTGTGAGTGAATAGAATATCAGATTAAAGAATAGAAAAAATATGTCAGAAGTTCGATCTCGATACTTTCATCTTCCGTTTCAATGAGTTTTCTATGATTTTCAGTTCTCGAGGTCATGCTGTCACAAAACGACGAGATGTGATGCGAAGCATCGCATTAAAAATGTCAACATTTATTATCAACGGATCACTTAATCAGTTGTATCTATTGACTCGATCGAAGAGACAACTATGCAGTACGAACATACAACATTAATTGGAATTCGCTTACCTAGAAATGATATTTCAGCAAGATATAGATCAAATACTTTTCGTTCAAAATTCATTTTTCTTTGACATAATGCTTTTATACAAACAATGATTGTTAATATATTTCCTGGTAATCCGAATATGCAACATGTAATTGCCATGATTCGACGAAATAGATATATATATGTCATAGACATGATTATATTCGTATTCGTATTCTATTTGTTTTCACTAATAGTATAAAAACTAAGCAAAATCTAAAACAAGATAAATATAGTTCATACACAGTTTATTATGGATAGTACTAGAAAAAAGAAACTTCTTATTGTATTGCTAATGATCAAATTACCTGCCGCTGATGTCCTTATACTTTCAAGAGTAATTGAGATTTCTTTTTTTGTAAAAGTAGTAAGGCATGATAAGGATAACAAAGTGAATCTTACGTGCAATAGGAAACTCGAATAATATTTTGCAGATAGAAATAATGACATGTTTAAAAATAAAATATCATAAGACTATGATAGATTTGCATCGCTAATCTTATTGGAATTTTGTTAGGAAATGATTGGCTTCGCATATAGTAATATAGATTTAACTGGTTTAATTTCAGACATGATAATCTCAGTGTGCGTTCGGAAGTATATTAAATTCTTAGATAAGAGTTGAAGATAGTTTATTGTATTTAGAACATGTATTGAATAGCCTTCCTTGAAGTCATGATTGAATGTAATTATCGGATGCTTCATAAAATCGGCATACAAAGCCCTATAATTATCGTAACCGAAATGTAGAACTTATTTAAAAAAAGCGGAAGAAAAATCGGCAATCTCTAACTGATATCGGCTGTATTCAAATCAGAGACGTGCACAGGGCAGAACGGTCCTGTTGCCCTGGTGCCCTGTCCTACCGCCCACCAGGACCAAGGTAGCCAACAGGACAGGAGAAGAAATTATGTCCTGTGCACGTCTCTGATTCAAGTCTGTACATGCCTTATCATTTACAAATTCTTTCTATTGTTACACCTAAATGTAGCTAAAAGATTCGACTGAAATAAATTATCAAGCATGTCAAGTAACTATTGAGCAAGAGAATACAAGCAATCATGCATGTTCATATGCACCTATACTAGTTTTATATGCAAAATGAGTAATTTACTTTCGGTGAATTGTTTTGATTACTGTGTTAGAAGTTGAGAATTCATACTATTTATGTGTGAAGCAAAAGAAAAATGAGGACAAAAAATATAGAACTATACGATAATAATAGATTAGTAGCTGCTGGCAGAGTATAGAAAATCTCGCAGACTGTGTTATTGAAAATATTATAATAAATTCGACAAATAATAAATTATTACAAAGAAACTGACTGTTTCTCCTGAAAACGTTTAGAAAGAGCCAGTTGAATGTCAATTAAGTAACATTGTCACTAATAAGAATGAAGAATGTAAGAAACAGATAGACTCATATTACAACGAGAAATTTCTTTTTTTTTCTCTTGGCTTCAACTCTCGTTTTTTCTCCTTTTTCTTCTGCTCGATTTATTAACGGTTAATACTGATGAGCCCGACATTAGGCTATTCATCACTTCTAACCATATCTGTATACGTTTTTAGACACGAACGGAAAGACATCAAAACAGACGAAATTGCTCTCTGTCTTTCATGATTATCATTAAGAAATATTAATTGGCTTCATTGTAACAACTAAATACGCACACATGATTTAACTTAATGCAGGGTAAAAAAAGAAATATATATATATTTATAGTATCTTTTATATAATAGAGATTTTGTTAGACCGAGTTTAACTACATTGAAGCTTATGTATTTTTCTACATGTTGCACTTGTTTGTTGATCTTGCCAACCATGAAGGCGTGTGTATATATGTTTCGGCAGCAAAAAAACTGAATAGCAGCCGCAATGGCAACAATGATTGTATGCGATCAATGGCTACTTGATTGTAATACCATTTCTTTACCTTTTCCGAAGCAATAGTCAAAGGGACTGATGTATAGCCAATTTACATTATTTTTTTCTTTTTCTTTATTTTTTCTTTTTGGTTGCTAACACATACACATTCATGCTGGTATCCCTCAGTTGTCTACAAATTGATCGATTTACCGAATAAAATCAACGAAGCATTTCATATTAGTAAAGACAACAGTTACAAACAAAAGAAATCATTCAGGTATACGATTATGTGTGTGTGAGAAGACGTAGAAACTCATTTTAAAATTAAGAGCCTATTAAAAATTAAAAGAAAGAAGCCATATGGAAGTTGTTCTTTTCAAGTTGGTCTTCCTGATTGGGTCATTTTTACTATTCTTATGCGGGGGAAAATAAAAAATTGCTGTTCATTTGGTTTTTAGATTAGTTATGTACGAAAATCGAATTCATTGATTGAAATTCAATTGTTATTAGCAAAATTCTCTTAAACATCATAATGGTGTGTACATCGTTTCATGCAAATTGGATTATATAACTGTTTCAAAAGAAAGAGAAAACGGGGTTCAGTGTTGCAGTGAGACAGTCTAAGTAAATTTTCAATTTTTCTACTAAACAAAAAAGAACTCATTTTTCAATTCAGGCACGTGTTGGTATGAATGTTTTGTATATTTAATTCACATTTATTTATATAACCTTAAGATTTTAATAAACTAAAATCAATATTACTATACTCTGATGTTTCTTTTTCTTCTTTAGCTACATAGTTATCAAATTGAAAACAATTACAACTCGCATAATCTTGTACCTTATCTACAAAGAACTTTACCACCAATGGCTGCTAATACAACCAGAGCTACTTCTCTTTATCTTCCACCATCAATTTACAGTAGTCAAAGTGACTTTGGCTTTTACGGTGGTTCATCAGAAAAGCCACCAGTAAATCCTCAAGCCGTACGATCACTATCACCTGATGATGTACAAAAATTGAAATATAAAATTGAACTTGGTAATAGAGAAAAAATAATAATTCGTTATTTTCTTTTTTTTACTATAAAATATTTTTTTATTGTAGACAAACAAGTAACTGCAAAACAAGAACGAATCGCGCGTGAATGGGAAAAGAAAATTGAACGGGACAAAAAATATGTGAGCTATATTTTTCTTAATTGATTTTAAGTGAAGACAACAGTACTTTTGCAACCTTGGCAATTCGCAATTTTTTTTCTCTTTTCCTTTCTTTCTTTCGTTTGTCTTTAAGAAAAAAAGTCTCTAAGAGAAACAAACATACAAATATATACGTTCTTCACTACCTGTATAGGTTCAACATCAACCATTTGGACGGCACGATCGAACGACTATTCTTAGTAAGGAATCATAGTATCTACACATGATATAAAAACTTAAGTATTTAATTAGAAAAGGAAGAATTAGAAGAAATTTTAACAAAAGGCCGCGCTCCATCACCATCATTAGAAATGCCACAGCAATATGCTCTTCATCATCCGCCGCCACCACCACCACCACCACAGTCACAACCAGTGCAACAACAACAACAACAACAACAACAACAACCGTATATGACAGAACCGTATATACCGAATGATACTAACCCGCCGAATCCATACGTTTCACCGCGTCAATCAACGTATAATAATTATCCTCCGTTTCCAACGTATTCAGCTACACTACCTCAGACACAAATACAGCCACCAAATAATTCTTCAACTAATAATAATAATACCAACAATAATCCAAAGACAGATCCCGATTTTCACCGTTTCTTCGGGCCGGTAAGTGCACCATTATGAATATTTTTTTTTCTACGCAGGAAAAAAAGAACTCATTCCACTATACATCTATAAGTAAGCTTTATGATTATCATTCTGAAAGAAAAAAAGAAAACTCTAGCCTATCCTAATCGTATTAGTATTAAATTATTTGACGCATGATAATTGATTGTCGAATGTTCAAAAGCACTGAGAGAAATTGTTTCTTCCTTCATATTTAAAGAGGTCAAAGAAAGTACTGCTTTTTAATCGGTGATATTTTTTCTCAATTAATATAACAACAAATAAATTGTCTTCCGTAAACACGAATGAATAGCATTTATATTCTTTTATGGTATTAATAAACATTTCTCATGAATATTTTTTATTCTAAAAACATTAGTTGAATTCTCAATAGGATATATCAAGCACACTAAGAAAACCAATATCATCAGAAGCCTCTTGTAACTATCTAGGTTTTTATTCACTAATGAAAACTTTCATCATAGTACAAAACGTGCCTTCTTTTCATTTAATTATAAACAAATTAACTAGTCACAACTATACTTTTCTATCGATTCTAGTCTATTAATTCTAATCCAACTAATGCAAGTATTTCACAAGGAAGTGCTGCCACTGCTCAACCAATCAAGGGAGATGCACACGATCCTTTTCTTCTATTTGGTAAATTAAATAGTCCCTTACATGACATTGCATGCATATATATATCTATATCTATATCTATATAATTATTGACATAGATCCTAATAAAGAAGCTCAAAATGTATTTAATGCGATACCTCAACAAGATCTTTATGATCCCTGGGGACGTCCAGGTGCTGGGGCACCATTAATTCATTCAAACACGGGACAAAAATTCACTAGATATTCTGGTAGTTTACAAGAAAAATTGGTAGAGTTTCTTTGGCATTTTATGTCTGTATGAATGCTTTTGTTTTCATCTATTAGAACCATGTTGGCCCATTAGGCTTCTATGGAAAACAATATTCAGAAAATATTGACGAGCAAAAGCGTGAACTTGAATTAGAGCAAAGGCGTCGACAACAAGAAGAAATGGAGCATCGATCTAATGTAAATATGAAACGGAAATCATTATGATTTTTCTAACCGCATATAAATTGAATTCTTTGCCTAAGATTTCTTTTTAAATGATTTGAGCGTCAACAGCACTTTTTTAGTTTCTTAATTACATCTATTGTTCGTTAATCGGCTCTATCGCAAATCTTCTTTTGTATTATCTGTAGGCAGGTGATACGGCCGAATGGATTTCTCAACTTGAAAGAAGTCGCTATCCATTGAAAATGCACTTACCGACAACCGAACCAACCCGAGAGGTATTTTTCGCTATAGAAACAACATCTATTGTTCACAGTATTTATTCACCCATGTCTATCAATTAGACAGATGAATTGCTTTTTATTTGTTTTAAAATCATAAAAATGTTCACTCGCTTCAATGCTTTTATTAATCAATCCAATTCGGATTGACATATTTATTTAAAAAAGCTAACTGATATTTATATATATATATATTTTTTTTTAATTAAATTTTATTTTGTTTTCTTCTTTAATAGTTTGCTCATGCACGTACACGTTATCGATCAGACGAAAGTCGTCTGTTACATGATGATCTCGTGCGACAAGCTGAAGAACGTGCACGAATACAAAAATTGAATCGATATCATAATAGTATAGCCGAATTACATGTAAGTATAAACAATATTTTATTATTAATTTAGTACGAAAATTTTAATTATATGTATATATATATATATATATATGTAGCATTCTGAGGCAATGAATAATTGGTGGGGTAGAAGTGGTGGCGGTGCACCTTCAATTACAAATCGCCGACATAATGTTCATCAATCATTTGAGCACCCACGACAAAAATGGGTAAACCGAATTATTAATTAGTCGATTAATTTAAAAGTTAAATTTCTATTCTAGACAACGAATCATCTTGGTCAATTAGTTGCTGCTGAAGATGAACCGGCAAGTCAAGTAAAAGTTCAAACAACAGATTTTTATTATCCTAAAACTAAACAATTATCAAACCATCGAAATTATTATCAGGCTGCAGATGATGAAGCATAATACTTCCATTTCAAATACTATTATTCTTCTTTTTTTTAAATTTTATCCTTCTTTGTTTTGCGTTTTTTTTTACAATTTCACAAAATACAACAAAAAACACACAGTTAAATTAGTAGTTGTTCTGTTCTCAAGGCAAACTTTTCCATTCTCCTCGGCACATTGGACATAATTTATTTGTTTGTTGAGCATTAATCCACTTCATAATACAATGTTCATGAAAACAATGCCGACATTCACCATGTAGCACTGGACATTGATCACCTGGATAACGACATTCTGAACAGGATGCATCAAATTGCATTCGACATATTCCACATGAATCGTCGTTTGTTACCCATTTCCATACGGCAACACCGTTAAATTCTTTTAAACGTATTCTCATCTAGAATAAATAATCACAAGTCTTTTTTTTCATTCAATAATAAGCAAATGTGTAGCTTGGTGAAGGACATTATTTCATAAAGAGCAATAATCGGACTTGTCAAAGTTGTAAGAAAAAAAAGGCAAAAATGAAAATAGTTTACGTTCTCGTCTTTTTTTTCGTAAATTATTGATCACTTATTACAGTATGTTCTATCATTATAAGAAACATAAAAATCGATATAGATCTTTAATTCAAGAAAAAATATGACAATAATTATATCAGTTTGTCTACACATCCGATCATAAGTTTCATCTGACCAAAAAAGAAATAAGAAAGACAATTGATAACAAAAAAAATGAATTATGAGATCCGAGATTCTAAACAAACCATACAAAAAAATAAGGTATCGACAAGCTTAAAAAAAAATAAGGAAAACTAATCAGCGACTCAAGGCACACACATAAAGAATATGTACAGAGAAAAGTAATTTCTCTTTCGATATGAAACTTATATGACTGACTAAATACGAGGCAAGTAAAAAAAGAAATGTATGTATGCGTGTATATCGTACAGTTAGCGTTTTTTCTGTTGTTGTTGTTGCTCTTGCTCACGTTGACGTCGTTTAGCAAGAGCAGCTAAACGTTTTTGTTCGATTTCAGCTTCAGTACACATTATTTTCTTTTTTTCGGCACTCGCTGAATCACATCGAACTCGTGGTGAATTAACTCTTATTGTATTTTTACTGGCAGCCGGCGACATCGGTCCTGTATATGATCGTTGTAATGTTGAAGTCGATAATCGATTTTGAGGAAAGTTCGGCTGACTAGATAGTTCAATTTTTGTTGAATTATGAACTAATGACTGATTTTCACTGGTTAACATTGCTGATGATCGACGTGTAGCATCTAGACATGTAGTATTATCATCATTAGTACTTGGTGTATTCATTATTATTGAATCATTATCTACAAGTCGTTTGTCTGATGGTAATTCCGCAGGAAATTGAGTCAATAATTGTTCGAGATCATCATCATCATCGTCCCATACAATAGAAGTAACTGTTGGTAAAGAAGTGGATTCTACGGATGCTGAATAACAATAAATAGAATCAATAGAAAAGAAAAACGAATAAATGTTTATTTACGTACTCTGTTCGGGATTGTTTTTTGTTTCAAGTACATTAATAATGGTTGTTGTATCTGTAATTTTCTTTGTTCGTGAGTGTACAGCTGGTGATGACATCGTTCGACTTTTACCGGGTGTTTTTTTACTGGTTGTTGTTGCTGTTGTTGTCGTCGGTGGTAAATCCCAATCATCCCAAAGTTCTTCGCCAATAAAATCTGTATCAGTATTTACATTATTGTTACTATTATTCGTTATTACACGTTGATTTGATGGTGATGGATTAAATGTTAAATAACTATCATGACTTATATAACGTGATATAGCTGATGGAGACGCGTGCTGTTCGAATGTTGATGTAGGAGATGAAGAACGAATACGTTTTGGCGTAGGCACTTCACTAAAAAACAAAAGAAAAAATTTTTCGAAAAGAAAATTTCATTTCGTTTTAACAAATTTGTTTTTACATTGGATTTCCATCATTGGTTGATTCTCGTTTACATGTTTCAGTAAATTCAATCATTGTACGATACGCATTATCAACATTTTCTTTTGAGCTTGTCAGTGTTGTATGACTGATAAGAATCGAAAGATTAATTTTCATATTTGTTTAGAAGATAAAAATTACTTTTTTAAATTATTTAATCGAACTGGTCGTTGTGCTGTATGATTGTTCATTACCGCCGATTGGCATATACTGAAAACACGAGATGTGATTCGATCGGGAGTTTTTCGTGGCTATACAAAGCGTCTATATATATATATATATAAAAGAATTTATTTATTGTATAAACATACTGGTAGAATTTTGGGTTTCGTGCGTGGCGGACATGCTAAAATCAAAGAAATCTTAAATTATTTTACTCGATTTCTATAGTTTACTATTCAAATGATCTCTGTAAGATAACTGTTTTCGTCGACCAATTATGCAATTATCGTTCAGAAAGGTAACGAGAAATTAGTTTCAGATTTTTATCACTGAACTATAGCAATTCGGTTGAAACCTTCAATAGGTAGCAGATGAATATCATGTCTTTTATTTATATTAAATCTGTTTCTTATTGAATTCCATTGAACAAATACTTATGTGGATACCGAAAAAAATGTTTATCAACCTACGTTTATTCAATAATGCTGTACGCTCAGTATCTGATATATCCTGCCAACTGACGGTAACGTCGTTAAAATTCATATCTAGAGCACAAATATCAATCAATTATTGCATTGTAGATATTGTATCAAAACGCTAAAAATGCATAAAAGATAGATTATTCTCTGCGAAAAAACGTGAATATGTGATCATTCTAAAAAGAACCATCGACGAACCTGTTTTCTAAAAAAGTAGAGAAAAGAACAGACGAGTATCATTTATATATATATATATCTATATATATATGTACATATATCCAAAAGAATTAGATCACGCAAAATTTCGTTTTGCTTTGGTACGTATTTGTTCAGCCAATAATGAGAAAAAAATACGTACAAATACATCTGTTGATAAGGATCAAATACAAAACCAACCAACCAAACAAACAAACATTCAAGAACAAATAAACAAAAACAGAAAAGAAAGAAGGAAAGAATGAACTGATCAAGGTAGAGGATAGTGATGACCGTAGCGAGGATGAGGAGGTGGTGGTGGTCCATAGTTCTGTGGCGGATGACCATAACCATATGGCCCAGGTGGAGGCATTGGTCCATTGTATCTCAGTGGTTGTGAAAGATGCCGTGGTGGAAGTGGACCATATGATTGCGGTGGCGGTGGACGCATATCAGGCGGATAATTTGTTCGTGGGCCATAATAAGGCGGTGCATGAGGATTATCATATTGTGGATATTGCTGCTGATGTTGATGCTGTGGCATAGGATAATGCGGTACAGATAGATGAGGAGACCGTTGCCAATTCGATGGATTAGGATACATATGTGGAGGAGTTGAAGGATTAACATCCACTAAAGGCATTATTTTTTGTTGATTTATTGTTGGTATAGGTAATGATTGATTATTACTAATCGATGAAAGCGTTTTCGATTTTTGATCGAGTTGTATACGAATCGGATGTTGCGGCTGCTGAGACGACGGTGGAATCGGTGGAACATGCGAATGTATTGATGGTACTAATGATGGTATTTTCGACATTGGCATTGGTCCAGGCGATGCTGTTGTTGACGATGACGTTGATGATGATGATAATGATGACGGTCGAGCAGATACAGCAGCAATTGCAGCAGCGGCAGCTTGTCCAATCGTATGAGCCGTTTGTGGTGTAGCTGATGAAGCTGATGCAGCGAGTGCAGCTTGTAAGCGTCGAGTATTATAAGATAGACGTGGTTGATTAATTATTGAATCGGTTGTTTCATCACTTTGTTGGCGTGTTACATAATTTTTTGCACGTGTTAAAATTTCTTGCATTTGTTCAGTTGATAATGGTATATGACGGCTTAATGGTGTCGATAATGATAATTGACTAGTTGAATGAGGATTGCGTTGATTACGATTTTGTTGTGTTAACGCTAGTTGACGACGAGCCAACTCTTGTGTTAATGCAATAGCTTGTTGTTGACTTTCAGTTAATGGTGTATCTGATGAATTGAAACGTGATTGTGGTTTATTTCTTTGTTCATTATCGAAATCAGATTCGTGTGAACTTAATTGTATTGGTTTTGTTGCTTGTGTTAATACAGGTCGAGGTCTTGTTGTTGAAAGATTTGGTTGTTGTTGTTGTTCTTTTGTTCCTTTTGGTGTCGTTGTTACTTGTTTAAGTAAACCATCAGCTGATGTTGTTCCTGTTGATGGAACAACTTGTGTTTCACTTGCAACTTTCGGAGGCATCGAATTTGAGTTTGATGATAATGTTGGATTTCCTTCAGCAAACATATGCTGATAAGCTTGCATGAAATTTGCATTTGAAAGTACTTGTTGTTGTACATGAGAATAAAGAGTCGGATTAACAAGCATTGCCATAACAAGAGTAGGATCAAGTATGGTTGATAATGGATGATTGGCTGCTACTGCTGTTGGCGCAGCTGACCCTGATGTTGCTGATGATTGCGTTTGCAAAGTAGTGGATGGTGCTAGAGAGGGTTCTGATGAATTTGATGAAAAATTTTCATATTTAGCTACAAGACATGGAATTTAAAAATACAATATGCAAAACAAAATATTTTTACCTTTCAATGTCTTAGCATGTTTACTTATTTTATTTCTCATTTTTTTAAATTTCTTTTCAATTTCAGCATTTGTATCACCATTGAGTATTTGTGCTTGTAATTTATTTCTTTGTTTTATTAATTGTCGAAGTTCACTTGTGATCCTATAACAAAAGAAAAAATAATAATAATATTTGCGTCGAAATTCTATTTTATTTTAAATTTACCAAGGTTTTTCATTCAATGATGATTTTGTTATGTCTCTTAGGCCATCATCATTTAATTTAAGTTTCTTTCTAATATGCCTTTCATTGTCATCATCGGATAAATTATGCTTCGATAATTTTCCATTTAAATCCATTGTATTTTCTTCATCACTTTCGATCTCACCGTCTTCCGGTTCAACTTGCATTGATAATGAAAGTAAATAATCATTATCATTATCATTATCATTGACCAAATGACGAAATAGAAATGATGATGATGCATTGTTATTTAATCGAAATCGACGTTTTATTTCTTCAATACAACTAAGATTCGAGAAGAAATTTGGCTGTGGTTTTTGACAATGAACACGTACACGGCCGAAGTTTGTTGTTAAATATTCACGATACGCATTATTATTATTATTATTATTATCGTCATCAAGACGAAATAATTTCATTGGACGTATTAATTTCATAACACTCATATCAATAATACTTTCTGATGGCGGTGTTTTTGAACGATACGATAATGCTGATTTCGATGGATTCAAAGCAAGATTATCGACAATTTTTTTCAAGCGTCTTGGCTCACTTGGTGACGTTAATTTAGTATTTTCATCATCGGAACTATCACCGAGTTCACCATCTTCACGTTTTTCGTTGTCACCGGTTTTTGCTAGAACAATTAGATAATACATGTATAATGTTTTCAAAGGTAAAGACGGAAAAAAACAAACATTTACCACTGTTTCGTTTCATTTGTGATTCTTTTTCTTTTTCAGCAGCTGCTTGTCTTTGTGCTCTTAATTTTTCTCTTTCTTGTGCTCCAGCTTTCTTTATACGATCAAGCTCTAATTTAAGTGCAAGATCTTTATCGATAGAAGATTTTGTTTGTATTTGATTATTTGTTTTATCAGATGGTAAATGATTGGTTTTATTCGATTTCGGTACAAGACGATTATCAAATGATGGATCACGTTGTTCATCTGGACGATCCAGATCTTGATAAGAAATCATATTTCGATTATTTTCAAGTTGTTGCTGCTGTTGCTGATGTTGTCGACGACGTTTATTTGCCTTTGATGGTGATGTTGTATTTATTGAAAGAGATTCATCATTATTACTATTTGATGAAAGATGTTGTCGAACAAGTTTATCTTCATCTTCAAGAGGCTCAAGAAATGGAATTTGATCAGCATTTGCAATACGCATTAATTCATATGCTGTCGTATTTGGTGGTACGTAGGTTATTGGAGTTTGTGAATTGGGATTAAATTGTTGATGATGTGGTGGAAGTAATGGTGGCGGTGATGGCGAATGATATGTATTACCGTGTGGATGCCATGGACCATTTGGACGTAGTAATGGTACAGGACCCGAACGATAATTAGGATTATTTTGCCATTGATTTGGTGAAGTACCTGGAGGTAATAATGGTTTCTGTGGTAGATAATTTTGTTGTTGTTGAGGTGGAGGTGGTGGTGGTGGTTGTTGTTGCTGTTGTCGACGTACGTAATCACGACCCTACAATACAGAAATAAACTGTTGTTTCCTATAAATTTTAATAAAGAAGAACCATGAACAGCAACAATAACAAAAAAAAATTGAAAATATTGATTTTATTATACATGGCATTACCCCGAAAAAAACACCGCCATCAATCGGTGCCGGCATGAGACGCTGGGGTGGTCGAAGTGGTGGAACTGGCGGTGGATGGCGCATGCCTATATAATCAGATTATATAAAAAAAATAGCATCAAACTAACTGTTCTATGGGATATATATGTATATATATATATCGTTTCGCAAACAATCATACCTGGTCTCATTAGACCGCGAACAGATGATAATTAAAGATACAAGAAAAACAATATACTAATTCTACTCAACCAAGTACTCGATTAACAATTAAGAAAATTATTGTTACTCGAACAGCATACGTAGAGCTAGAAGAAAGGAATATATTATCAAATTGAAGATATAAGAGCCATTTTCGATGATAAATTGACTCGACCTTCGACCATTCTTACATAAAATAAACATCAGAAATTTGTACAAGAAAATATAAATTTACTTTGTTTCTTTTTGCCAAGTATTTTTCAGTAGATTTTTGTATCTTCTTTTAAACCTTTTCTTCAAACACTAGAGGGCGCCCAAACATCTTGGAACAATTGTTTGCGACATCTTTCGATAGTACTCACACCTGTTCATATAACAAAAAAAATTCTTTTTTCAGTGTCTTTCAATTGATAAAGAATATAACTATGGCAAAGAATAGTATCTCCTTTTTTGGTTGCAATCCTCATACGAAGCATCGATTTTCTTTTGCGATCTCAACCTAATTGAGAGTAGAATAGCGCTTACGTACAGTGCAGCAATACACTATCCTACTTTAAATTGTCAACTTATTCACTAGAAAAAACTGTAGTACAGAAGATTATCTGCTGCTAAGATTAGATAATCAGTTCGTGACTGTATTAGCTAACCGAGTTAAAAAAAAACACCTTCTCTTTTCTTTAGTATGGAAAAGCTAAGAAATGTGCATATTTTATCCGAAAGATGTTTGCTAATACATGATTCATTATTAATGAAGAGTGTCACTTTTTAAGAAGAAATGAAACTCAAGTATAAGATTGATACTTATTTCTAATACCTATTATATAAGTTTTTATTTTTGTTTCATTTTTGTTTTAAACCAATGTTTTGTAACCATTTTATTGCAAATGATATAGTATATCTCTTTAGAAAAAAAACTTCAATTGATCACTCACTAGGAAAACATATCCGAATATAAAATTTGAATTCGAAACAAAATTTTTTTCTTAATATATCATAATTCAGCCATTAAAGTAATATGTTAACTGTGATTCTTTACAAATTAATTTCTTCTTCTTCTTTTTTTTCTTTTTGAGACACATATGTGAAGCTCTTTTACATAACGCATTTCAAAACAATTGGTGAATGAAACACATAGCTATTTGAATGATGAGTGTTTTTTATGAACGTCTTTCTTTAGTCATGCTATCCATTATAATAGTTTCAATGAAATTTATGACTTCTCGACGTTCTAAATGTCATGATAATATGATCCAATTAATATTGTATACAATATAATATGCATAAAATTGTTCACACTTTCTAGGTGATTATTTACATTTAATTTAACATTTACAATACAATGTCACTGTTGATCGACGAGTATCAAATATTGATTAGAAATAAAAAGAAGGAAAAAAAGCTCAGCAAAGTAATGTTAATTTCGAGTTGATCTTTAAGAAAAGATCATTCGTTTCTAAATCTCCTCCTTTCACGTTATTGTTAGGATCTTTCGTTCTGCAAAAAAGAAAAGAAAAAGAGAGAACAACTAGCTGCTGAGAGCACGATTAGACATTCATTTATTCAATAGGCATCTATTTGTTTTCACACTTGTCTTGCTTAATCTTTTCTCATTGTTTTCGCATTATAACAATGACCACCTACTGATGTGGATCATACTCTAAATCACAGTATGATAGTCACTTGAATTGATTTAACAACAGATTTATAACAACAATGTTTTGTATATTTTTTCTAGAAAATCGTGGTATAAAAGACACACAAATACAAATAAACAGAGAAAAAAAACCTATTATCTTCTTTTTTCTTTTCTTTTTTTTTTATACATAAAGACTATCAGATGTAAATGCTGCTTGTTGACGATGTTCAACAAAGGAATATAATTGTTCAAAACGTTTTAAACTATCTTGATAATGCTGTTGTGATGATGGTATAGATATAATAGATGGTGGTCGAATGGAAAATTTTTGTATGCGATCCGACGATAAATCCGATGAGCCATAAACACCATCATCGGAATAATTCGCATCAATGCCAACAATTCCATTATTTAAATGTGTTAAATATCGTTCAACCTAGAGACAGGGATAAACAGGAAAAGTAGATTAGAGATTAAAATTTAAAAAATGCGTCTTAAAGACTTTACCTTTTCCGAATAGCTGAAATCACCGCGGTCAATACCACGAGTATTGACTACTTTTAAATCATTCGCTTCTTTAAGTCCATACTGATAGATACGATTGGATGAATTCTAAAGAAATTTAGGAAAAAAAAAGAATAAAGTACAAAGGCGGTAAAAAGATGCTTAATCGTGTCTCAAGAAAAAATACTCAGCTCAATGTAGCATACAATCATTAATCCATACACAAATGTGCGCATCTGTTCTCATCGTCTATTCACGTATGAATAATCAATACAATAGAAATTCGTCTATAGGTGTCAATTGACAATATATGTCTACAGAGAAGACATAAAAAAGAAACTCAATCGAAATACTTACAACTCCATCGTCGAGAACTTCAATTGTTGTTTTTTGTAATGAATCAGCTCGTTCATTTGAACTATTCATACTTTCGCACGAAGAATTTCGTATAGATTTCTGTTGAATATTAAAACATGAATAACAACATAAACATGGAGATTTCTTTTTCCGTTGAAAGAGAAATCCAATTAGAAAACATATACCAATTGTAATTGAAGCAATAAAAATTATAATAAAAAACGATAAAACTAACACTAAACTTATATTTTCCATTCTAAGTTTTCTCAATGACATTGTTTCATTTATTGAATAGATATTAATTGGTATCGATATTGTATTAGTTAAATTGCCGCTATCGGCAACAGTTACATTTACTATATAAGAACCAAGATTTAAAGGCATCGTGCGTAATATTAATGTACCATTATTCGTTAAACTTAAATCAAGCGATGGTGTTACTGTAAATGAATATGAAAATAGATTCAATTGAAAAAGATCACGATCTTCAATTTCAAATTGTGTTATAATAAATGGAGTTTCAGTCGTTTCATAGGATATCAATATGGTTTCATTATAGGGTATTGATGAAATAATATCAGGTGGATTATCATTACAATCTTCTAGTAGAATATGGAAAAGAACAGTTTTCGACAACGATGGATGACCATCATCTTTACAAGTTAATTCAATATTAATTACGAATTGTTCAGTTTCATAATCGAATGAAGGTGAACCAGTTATTTGTAATGAATATGCATTCAATGTTAAATAGACTAAATTTAAACGAGTATCATTTACTGAACAACGAATACGACCATTCTCATTCGTATCTTCATCATTGGCATAGATATAGAATAGTGAAGTGCCTAGAAATAAAATATTTGTTTTTTTTTGTAATGAATATTCAGAAGAACATTAATTTATATCGAACTGGAACTTTTTAAATACCGATAAACATAGTGAACTATCTACCGTTTAAGTACTATTATCATACACGATTTCCTCAAGTGAATGTTCCGGAAGAGAAAAAAATAAAAATAAGTTTTTCACTCTAATCGCATCATTATCTTACCTTTGGGAGCACATTCTGATAGACTAATTGGTTGACTATCATAATGACTACCATTAATATTTGTTATTAGAATACTTGGACTATTATCATTAATATCCGTGATATCAATTATCAATTGTGCATAATTACTTAATTGTGGCGTGCCATGATCATGAGCTGTAAAAACAATAACTTGATTCTATAAGCAACAAAGCTGAAACGTTCAAGAACAAACCTGTAATTGATATTGAATATGAACGTATTCTCTCGTAGTCTAAAGGTTTAATTAAATATAATTCTCCTGTATGTTCATTGATACGAAATGTTGATGATGAATCTTCAATCGAATAACTAAGACGAGCATTTTCATTTTCATCGCGATCGTTTGCATGAATTTGTAAAATAACTGTATTGATTTTATTATTTTCCGGAATCGATTGTTGATAAATCGTACGATCGAAAACTGGCGGATGATCGTTCACACTGAAAATTGATTTATTTTTTTAGTCAAAAAGAAAACTGAAATTCAAATTTTAACATACTCAGTTATAATAATTTCGATTTTTTGTTGACCCGACAACGGTGTTGAGCCACCATCGTCAGCAATTAATTGCAACAAATAATTTGATTTTAATTCGCGATCTAACGGTTCCATTAATTTCAATACAGGTTTATTTGTTTGTATTAAACGAAATGGATTATTTATTATTGGATGTAATTTATAATTTTGTATCGAATATAAACCGTAATCATTATCAATAGCTGATTCAAGTGGAATTTCATAACCTATGGGAACATTTTCTGCAATGGATAGTTTAATAAACGACTGTTTAAATGTTGGAGCATGATCATTAATATCTAAATAAACAAATAATAAATCCCTTTAGTTGTTTACTTATTCTATTTACCTTCAATAACAATTTGAATGGTACGAATTGAAATGTTATTTGTAGAAAATGTTTGCAAAAAATTTAATGTTAATACACAATATGTACAATTACATAGATTTCTTTCACATAGTTCTTCTCGATCAAGACGTTGGTTAGTTGTATATAATGATTGATTTTGATTTAAATTAAAGTAAATTCGATATAGATACGATGATGGTAACCATTGTAGACTATTTGTTGATGATATCGATTGTAACAATAAAGTATTTGGTGGAAGTTCTTCATGAATATATATTATAGATGTATTATTATTATCAGCTGAGATTAGTGGAAGAATAAGAAGAAATAGAATGAGCATTTTTATATCTAAAAGAAACACAGATGTGAATATGACTTGATTGAAACACGCACATATAAATACACGCGTGTGTGTGTGTGTGTGTATTATAATTGAAGATGAAGTTGTCATCGTAATTGTTCTCTCTGTTCTCCTTTTATCACATCTTCATCGACATTTTCGTGATCAAATGTGATCAAAGAGCAAAAGATGCGGAAACATTTTTTACTTTTATATCAATGGAAAAATTTTTATACTTTACGCGATAATACCTATGTCAATAAAAAGTTTATATCTCATTTTCTATTATAGACGCGTCCAGTCGATGACCGATCATAGAAACATTTTAATACTGTTATGTTGTTTTTTTTTCGTATGAATGTAATCAGCTATCTAAAAACGATCATGGGAAATGTTTAATATTTACCTGTGAAAAGGAGCTGGCAAACAAAAAAAAAGGCGAAATTTCAAGGTTTAATCACGTTAAGTAAAAGAAAGAACATCTTAGTGCATTAACTAACATATAGATGTTAAAAAATGAAAGTCGACACTTACTCTTGTATGTGACGTTGCTACGTTGAGACGACGTTCATCGGCTTCTTAGCTCTTCAAGTCTGATGTGTGTTACATCAGTGGTCACAAAAGTAAAATGAATAGGAGTGAACAAAAAATGTTTCTTCTACGTCGTCAACGGTTTTGTCATTCAAGTGGTTCAGCCAGGGGCAAGTGTATATATATATATAGGTTGTAACAGAGAAGATAGGAATACAATTACATATATGTATATATCTTACACATATGAGCTAATTCACGTCTCATGTATGTAAAGAATGAAATGATATTTTCTTGTTAATTATTGTTCAATATCTCACCTAGACGTCGAAAATGGATTTATTTTATTTCATATTTCGTTGGATAGGAATAAAAATTCTACACAGCAGGAATGAATAATAATGATGGTGGTCACAACTGTGTTTTTGTTCACAAAAAAAAAAAAGAAGAAAACGAGAAGGAGAGAAAGCGAGATTGATCTCTCATCTTTACCTCTCTCTCTCTCTAGGTGTATGTGTACGAGCTGGTTCCTTTTTCTCTTTCGTATAGTGTTCAGCCGAAGGGAAGAAAGTGAACTTTTTCTCTTCTTTTTCTTCTTCATTTTTTTATATTAATTTGGCTCGCTGTCTTTCTCTATCTACTTTAGTTATAGATCTCAAACTCATTAGATTAATCACTTTTACCTTCGCTTCATTTACTATTGAGAGTCTAGATAGACGTAAATGAACTACGGCACAACGATAACCGTGTATGAACCGAAACTGACAATTTAATTGACTTTTAAGATATTGAGACAATCGAAGTGTGGAAAACAGGTGAAAAATTGATCTTTGTCTGTCTCTCTCAATATATAAAATGTCGGTTCAACATCAGAGAGATAAATATTTTCGCATCACTGTCTTTCAATCATAAAAACACATTCATTTTACAATTGATTGTTTCGTAGATCAATAAAGAGAGAGAGAGAGAGAGAGAGAGAGAGAGAGAGAGAGATATGACATCATAAAAATGTTATTCCGATTGATCTTGTCGTCATTTAATAACTGAGATATCGATCATTTGATGATCAATAATCATATACAATATACTTTAGAACAATATTGAACTAGTAAATAGATATTAAAAAAATAGAAAAATGATGAAGCAGTTATTTCCGCTATGTGTCACATCGATTTGCTATTCTAATCAAATTGACCATCTCATTGAAAAATGAGAATGAAACCCTAAATTAGACCTATTTGACACTTGTTCACTTTCTTCCGGCTGAATTAACCATAAAGAGAAAGATGACCATCTGCGCATGTACGTGTACTTGTTTTCTACCTGTTTCACAATAGAATCTACAACGTCTCACTTATATTCAAATCAATGAATGAATGAATATCATTGTATCTTCACGCATAAACACGTGTTAGTCATTCATGAAAAAAAAGATCAATGACAATGATGATGTTATTAAGTTCTTTAAAACGCACACAAGTACTATGGTTATGAAATGATAAATGCTGACCTCTCTCTTTGACCATCTTATTAAAAGAAATCCTATCGGAGACCATAACTCAAGCATTACTTCTCTTCGTTTCCTTTTAATAAAGGAAAAAGTAGATGAATGCCGTAGGCGAGAAGTTAATGCTACAAATTAAATAGAACGATGTCGAGCTTTTTTCCGTATGAAACTTAACCTTCTTTTTAGTCCTTTATTTAAAAATAACATATATATATATTTCAACAATAAAAATCACAAGTTCTCTTGTCTACAATCGTTTATCATATGACAAAAAATAAAATAAAATTCACCTGAACAGATGGAGATTTAGTCTCTCGCGTCAATGATGATCGTTTGGCATTCTCGTGTGAGCTATAAATCTTGTCCTCACATTCGTTGGCCATTTTTCTTAGCCCTACCTATATGTACATGTGAATACACGCGTGTGAGTGTCAATGTCTATATGGACATTCACGTCACTTGACATTTGTTCTTGAATATAGACGCATAAAAAACAAAAAAAAACCAACAAAAGATTCGATTCGCTCTCTTTTGTTGAATATAATTTACATCTTGGTGCCACTGTATAAACGCGGTATTCATCTGCTCAAAGGTACCATAAATATGTGTACAGTCACATTGTCTATCCATTGGGATTCAGTGTTTGTATGCTTATACTCATTAGAGAAATGATCGCAAACGTATTTGTCATCACACAACAGTCGCGTGAATGAACAATAGGATCAAAAGCAAAGCGCCTAGGCTATGGTATATATATATATATATATATATACACACGCGAATAAAAGACTCCTGCTCGTGACTCTCTTGAAAACAGAAAAAGAAAATAGAGTGACCAACGTTTTTCTTCTGTTTATTATTTCAACAACATTAAATCACTTATCGTTTTCAATCAACAGACTCACATAGCTATCAATTGACTATCGATGTTTCCTGTCGATTTTAAGATTGAAATACTTGAGACAGACGAATACTAACTACTATTAGACATATTTACATCATTTCTATCAATAGAAGATATTCAAATGGTTTGATTCATTGCATGTGATATGAATGAAAACAATGGATCATTTTTAAAAAGCCATTGTTAATTTTTGTTTTTGTTGTTATTCATCCGCTATTTTGAATAATTAGTAGTAAAACTACTTTTACTCTTTGTCACGCGATTGACACCTTTGAAGTTTCGCTTCATTGAACTCTCTCTCTCTCTCTCTTACTTTCATTTAGTATTTACCCGATCCTTCATTTCACTGAAAATTACTTCCTTGTTTGCTTTTCTTCAACATTAAACTACATAGTTTATTGTGATAGATCAAATTACTGTTCATCGATTTCTAATTGACACACATGCGTACTCATGTCAATATACATCTGATATATACATATATATGTGTATGTCAAGAGTAAAGGATTAGAGTTCATCAGCATCTTTGTATTTATCTAACTCTATGAGCACAAGTACAATATTCAACGGAAATCATGCATGCTACATATGTATAAGACAACAAATAAAAGAAACAGAAATACTGATATTCTTCGTGTTGAATAAATGTTTGAGTAGAATAAATTTATTTAAATAAGAAAAAAAGATTAGTTTAAAGAATTATTAATCAGATCTTTGAATAATAGTTTCTTCTTCTTCTTCTTCTTCTAATTACTTGATTCTACACATGAACACGTTTTTATTTTATGTCAATATCAACAAAATTTTTGTTTTTATTATTTTATAAGAAGAAAATACAATTTTAAACACATCTGACAGTAGGACTATTTTTTTCTCTTGAATGCAAATTTTCATTTTTAATGTTTTCTAATTATTGCGCGACGTTCATTCGGTGTAGTTGAAACGCCATGTCGTTTACGTTTTAAACTACCAAGACTATTTGGTGATAAATTGTCCGTTGATTCAATATTGTTTGAATCATTTTGCTGAGATTGTAATTGTTGTGAAACATTTTCTAATTCATCACATGCCTAACAATAGATATTGAGTAATATTTTCTCAAAAAAAAAAATAAATAAACTAATTTACTCGACACAATTCATCGTCATCAACATCATCATTAAATTGATCATAGTCTGGTTTATTAGTCGATTGCGACATAATCTGTTCAGCACGTTGTATCGATGTTGACGAGATTACAATTGGCTTCAAAAAAAAACGAGAAGAAGATAAAAATAAAAGTTTTTTCGCAAAATCTGTTAACAAATTGAAGGAATTCAGTGTTCTGTTCACTGAATCGAAAAAATGGGTCTCGCATTGTTAAGACAACCGTATTATTTCATTTTGTTGGTTATATCAAAGTACAATTCGATTGTGTACAGAATAGAAAAAATGCTTAAGCCACCAGGCTCTATTCAATGACTCGTCATGACCGATTGAATGCTTCAGGTCTATGATTCAATTCTATTTGATACAATGACATTACAAATAGATCATGTACTACACACACACGGAGAGAGAAACGAACGTAATAATATATCCAGATTTAACTCTCGTATTTCATTCTCTTTTCAAAGAATATTTATACTGTTTTGGTTAAAATGAACGTGCTTGTTAACTTAGGACATTACTCAATATTCTATGATTTTCTAAACAGAGAAGAGTCATGTCAATGACAATGCTTATATTATTGATCAATTTTGTTTCAATTGTTTTCCCTATTATTCATTCACCTTGTTACTAGCCGTCATAAAAGTTGTACTAGTGGTAATTTGATTATCTGTCATGTGTTAATTTCAATCTAGAATATCAACAAATACTACTCTAAAAGAGTTTATTTCCTAAGTAAAAACAAAAACAACAACAACAACAATAACAAATTGATTTAATTTTTAACTGCTGGTTGTTTTTGTACAGAATCTGATTTATGTGTTCCATCACAAAAAGGTCTTTTTTTCGATTGCTTACAATTACACCACCAAACATCTTTTGTTTCTTCAGCAATATATTTTATGGGTCGAAATTTCGGATTTAATCGTACATCATGATTTCCCCATACACGTTTACACATTCCATCGCAAAACGGTTGTGTATTTGCCCAACCACATGAACAATATGAATAGGCTCGGCCCTTTTCAACACGATATTTAAATGGAATTTTTTCGTAAATACGCCCAAGAGGCGGTCCCGTCAATGAATATTCATCAATAAAACGTGGTCGTTCTAATGGTAATGCAAATTTTTCTTCGTTAGTTTCAGGTATACGAATTGTTTGTTCAGGATGTGTAATATCTGGATAGGGAGCAGTACGATGATTATATCGAATAATCGATAGCAAAAATGAATATGGTTTGACTAGACGATATGAATTCATCTGAAAGAAAAAACGACTCATAAAATCTATTATTTCGTTTTTCCTCAGAAATCAAAAACTAATTATGGTCATTGTAAATATCGTTATTCAACGGAAAAAAATCATCAAAGAATGCATATATTTGAGCAAGGGAAACAAAATGATAAAAACTAAGATGTTTTGGGTTCTTCTGTTTCTCTTTCACTGGAATCAAAAGTCATATTGCATTTCTTTTTTCTTCTTGGCATTCTTATTTAGTGACTTCATGCATTGCATTGGCTAGATATGCATTATTTTTCGATGTAACACCAGCCATTGAAATACGCCCATCTTTTGTTAAATAAACGGAAAAATCTTTGATTAATCGTTCAGACTAAATTAAAAACAGAGACAAATGGCTATGATTTCTTTTTTGTTTAATTTTTACTCTAACAACTTACCTGTTGTTGATTAAGACCAGTAAAGCAAAACATACCAATTTGATCTGTTATATGTTGCCAATTCTTTTTTGAACCATTGTTTTTTAAATTATCAACTAATTGTTGACGCATAGTTATAATACGATCAGCCATATATTTAACTTCTTTCAACCAAATTGAACGAAGATCTGCTTGGTTTAAAATTTTAGCTGCAATACGTGCACCATGTACGGGTGGATTTGAATACATGGGTCGAATTAAAATTTTTATTTGAGACATAACTCGTTCGACTTCATCTTTATCTTCACAAACAGCAGTGAATGCACCGACACGTTCACCATAGAGACCTTGAAAATGAAAAATTCAAAAGTATTATTTAATAAAACTACTCGTCAATACTATCTACCCATATTTTTAGCATAAGATTGTGCTAAAATAAGATTATGTTTATCTTCAACAAATTTTCTAACTGCGAATGCATCTTCATCAATATTTCCACTAGCAAAACCTTGATAAGCCATATCCATAAAGACAAATAATTTACGTTTTTTAACAATCGCAGATAGTTCTTTCCATTGTTCAGGTCGAGGATCAACACCGGTTGGATTGTGCTTTGCAAAATAAAAATATAAATTGACTATAAAAGAAAAACAAATTAAACCACTTACTGCACATGCATGAAAAAGAATAATTGAATTTTCTGGAATTTTTTCAATGTCTTCTTTTGCGCCATTAAAGTCAAAACCACAAGTTTTCGGGTCATAATATCGATATGATTTAACATCGAGCCCAGCATGTTTCATAATTGGTGTATGATTACCCCATGATGGATTTGGTAAATAGATAATTTTATTTCCAGGAAAAAATTTCGCCTACAAATGTAATTATGTTTCTTTACGAAAACATAAATCAATCGACTTACGAGAAATGTAGCTCCAATACGAAGTGAACCTGTTCCACTGATACCTTGTACTGTAGCATACTAAGAAATAAAAACAAATAGATTATCAATAAGAAGTCGCCATTGTTTACATACTAGTTGATCTTTGATAACTCGTGAATTGTCACCAAAAGCTAATTTTGCACTTGCTTGACAAAAGTCGAGTACACCAGATATAGGTGCATATTCTTTATCGAGATTTTCATTAGCAATTAGTGTTTCTGCTTTTTTAACACTTTCAAGAACAAATGGTTTGCCCTCGTCGGTACGATAAGCTCCAACGCCCAAATTAACTTTAAAACAAGGTGAGTTACCGAAAAATCATTGAACAATAATTGATGTTTACTTTTTTTTGGATTAGTATCCCGTTTAAAGGCTTCTGTAACACCAAGAATTGCATCTGGCGGACCCATTTCGACATTGGACCACCATGAGCTAAACAAAAGTCAATCAATTACATATTTTCTGTTTGTACAATAAAAATTTAACATGATAAATTTACTTTGTCGAAGCAAGACGCGGAAATTGAGATAGGATCCATAATTGATGTTTACTTGTTAAAGTAAGTGTTTGACGAACGCTCATGTTTATTAATATAAAGGAATCTCAAATCTAAACATAAAACATATATATCATGATAATCATAAAAAAATTCAATCAAATGTCGAAGCAAAAACAATAAAAACAACGATTCCAATCCAGTATGACCGTTGTTTGATAAAATCCTGATCGATCGATAACTATTATGAAACCATTGTGATGTGCGGGATAAATATCTTTATAGAGGACGCCAATATCCGTCATCATAGAAAACAGTCTTTTTTTGTTAGATGCCTTTCAAAGAGTCACGAAAACTATTTTACAAATATTTGAAAGAAAATTCTGAAAAGTCTCGTTTGTATTTTTCCATTCGTCAGTGATACGTTCAACAGTGATTCATAAATCTGAAAAGAATTTGAGCTTATTGAACATCTCATGGATTTATTGATAGCGAAACAAGATTCCGTATAGAGTACGAGGAAAATTAGCTTCCTCTCATGCATGAATGTTGCCAAGATGTAATTGCAATGCTTAGGGATCCTTCTATTTATTTCTTATTTGTTTTCATGATCGATCATTGATTGACCATTGCCATTTCATATCTGGCAATTGATGATTGAGAAAATATTCTCAACTATAGATAACCTTTTTGTTTTGTAAAAATGCAAAGAACCTATACAATGAAGACATGAATAAACATGATTTATGGGAAGTATGATAAAAATAAAATAATAGATAGGAGTATTTTATTTAAAGAAAAATAGTTATTACATTGGAATCGTTTATTTATTATATTCAATGAATCAAAATACATTTACTTAAGCTACCAGACATGATTGATTAGAAACAATACCAATCCGGTCGAGCTCGGTAGAGGAATACCTGAATTACATCTGTCTGTTGAACAACAAGCGGTTCGCACACCAGCTCCAGCAATGACGCTATTTTGCTCTTGGTAGTTACTTATAATACCACGTTGTGCGTAAGTTACAAGAGGCACAGCCAACGTAATAGTTTTCTACAAATAATAGAAATAGAAAATAAATTTGGTATTTTATAGATATTGAAGTTTTCAATACTAACCCAACATGAATACCCTAAAGTTTCGATTCCAGTTGCTATTGTCGTGCTATTATTGACATTATCACATCCATCACACGAATAACACACAAGCCCAATAGCAGCATGCTGCAAGACTGAAAGAAAGACAAATGAATTTGATTATTCTCCAACAATTAATTCCTACATTTGAGTAACTAATGTAATATGCTTATCGAAGAAAACGATGCTACTGAGAATAATATAAGAAAACGGCATAGCCATTTTTAGGTAGTAATTAATAATGAAGCAAATCTTTACAGTTCTATCTCAAGTGATGCTTTTGAAAGAGTCGAGCAATAGGTTCTATACTCTTTTCTCCGTTCCTTTTTTTGTGAGTATCAGTAAACGAAATCGCTGACAAGGAAACTTACAATCTGGATAACTATTGCGAATGTTGCCATTCAGTTTATTGCTTTCTTCCTTTGTATCGATTCATCGTTAATTGAATAGGAGTATAATTATATTTTAACTGTCTTGACAGAAAGGATTTCTTTTTGAGATCTTCATGATTCATGATTTTCCGAGCACACTCGATCTGAGAATATCGATGCATCGAGCAAAACATAGATAACTAGCTAGCATCTCAATTTAGTCAAGGATACGATATAGAGTGTGAAGCAGAAATTCCAAATAACCAGAAACAATCAAACCTAGGAATAAAATCAAAAATATTTCTATATGTTTTATCCTAACAACGACTTTTATGGCGAGGTACTAATTATCTATTGAATAGAATGTGGTTCCCTACTGCTTTGTTACATTTGAAGAATTTTACCTTAATCAATCAACAACTTGAAGTTGCAATATTATTGAAAAACAACCATCATAGAATTTATAACAAAGAAAAATCTACCACGATCTATTAGGTCGATTGAATATTTCGTTATCTCTTCTGCAATACATATAAATTGATAGAGTAGTACTTACTGGTTTTCGTCTTAATTATCGTTCAGCTTGACATTTGCAGTTTTGTGTTTATGAAGCATTGCTTGTAAGAGAACAGAATGTGTTGTGGAAAGTTTGAGAGCCGATAGCAGCAATTCCATCTCGATACTTCTATATTCCGTTGCGACGAATATTTTCTCATTTTCTATTCTCCAGATCAACGCTAAACCAAATCTAAAGTTTTACTGCTGATGATAAATAATAAATCCTCGAGATCGTGTAATGTTCAATTGAAATCAACTTTTGAACACATGCTAATAGACCTTGGTCTGGCATCGAAGTCGGCCTATATTTCCTATATTTTTCTCGAAAAACTATAGATTCATTTGTGATAAGAGTTACATATTCTTCTAATATGTTCTACTCATATTATCAACATTTAAATGCATTTTATACAAAATAGTATTAACATATTATTGATCAAAAATATTGTTTATTTTCTTTAAACTATAAATGTGTTTTTAAATGATCTTTATTTGACATATATGGGTGAAATAGAGCGAACGCAAATTTGTTTTTGTTATTTCTGTAGAAACGAATGCTATTCAATTTATTTTACCGTTTAAAGATCTTATTATTGATTTCAATCTTTACATGTTAAAACACACTATTATCTATAATACTGTACGCAGTAATGCTTTTAAGATGTCTAAATATTTTTTGTAGAAGAAGCTAGCATCCTATATATTTGAGACTACTGATTTCTAAATATTTCTTTTAAAAGTTTTGAGGGTTCCTGCGAAGTCAGCTGATCATCAGATAGGACATTTGCAATGATTGGCATCGCCATAAAACAAAACTCAATGTAGAATAACTGAGATGTACAAATTTTGTATATTTTGTTGAATCATACAGTTGTTCCTCAACTGAGAAAATATCAAATTTCAAAAAAAAAAATGAAGCCGATGCAAACAGTTCTTATTTCCTATTATGATAAAATCATGCGCATTTTAGAGAAAAAATTGCCGACTTGTCAACATGATTTCAATGTGTTAGTTAGAACGAAAATATCTTTTAATCAAGAAAACTTGCAAGAAAATTCTCAAAAAGTCAAGTTTCTAGTTTTGCATTGAGCCTTGTAACATTGACTATTTTTGAATTAAACCTACTAAACTCATAAGTGTTATTCGCAAATCAGAATTTGTGAAGTTAACACGGGAATATGCTTCCAAACTGAACCGTTCACAGGATGCCAGAGGTCTTTATTCGGAGAACAGTAGTCACAAAAGGTTGCTTTCGTATACTTACTCATTTTCATTGCATTTACTTCAGGCATATTAAAACGTTTTATATGCATTTTTTAATTCCCTACAAAATAGTTTATTGGGCATTGGGTCCCTATGTGAGTTGACTGTAAAAAAAACAGTTCTCTGGAATTTGATCTTTCTTCGTCTAATATTTCAATAATAAAGTTTCGATAACAGTGATTTGTAATCATGTACGATGTTAATATTAGGTTATGTTATGCGTTTGACGAGCATTTTCTTTTTCTGCGCTTTATATCGCCTCTTTCAATGTTTGAACATTTAAAACGTATTATGTTTTGCTATTGCGAAGACCAAAACGATTCGTACGAAGCTATTGTATCATTCTGCAAACAATTACATGACTTGTTTGGATATAAAAACTTCGCCATCGAAATCAGCTAGCTTCTGACGATAAATCTAAGTACCCTAAAAAATCAGTAACACTTCAATGAAAGCCACACCACAAATTCACCATACTTTTGATCGATCTAACAATCTCGTCGCATCGATTTCATCTTTTATCAATATTTATTGAGTGAAATAAAACTATTGATTCAAAAAAAACCTGACAAGAACTTAAGTTTATTGAGGATTTCATGCATTTATTGACAGTGAAGCAAAATCGTGTATTGAGTGAAAGAAAAATTATCTATGTCTCGTGTATGCATATTGGCATGCTGAAATTGCAACGTTTATGCAACATTTTTCTTGATTCTACTTCGTTTTCATATCTTTTCTATGATCGATCATCTATTGACAATTATCATTTCATAGCTGGCAATCAGTGATTACGAACATATTGTCGATTATAGATAATTCTTTTCGCCAAAAATCAAAGTAACCGATGTCACTTACACACGATTTATATGCAGTATGAAATAAATCATATAATAGATAGAAATAGTTTATTTGAAGGAAAATTGTGAAGAAAAATTAGTTATCATATTGGAATTGTTTCTAAATGTCTGTGATCATATGCATAATATTCAATGCATGAAAACACATTGAATGATGCTACCAGCCATGATTAGAAACAATGAAAATCCGATCGAGCTCGAGACAGGAATGCCTGAATTACACAGGTCTGATGAACAACAAGTGGTTCGCGTACCAGTTCCAGCAAAGACGCTATTTTCCTCTTTGCAGTTAGCGAGAATACCACGTCTTGTGTGAGTCACAACACTAGCTGCCAACGTAATAGTTTTCTACAAATAATAGAAATAGAAAATAAATTTGGTATTTTATAGATATTGAAGTTTTCAATACGAACCCAACATGAATATCCTGCACCGTTGGAGCTAGTTATTAACGTGTTATTATTGACAGCATCACATGGATCACATGAATAACACCTGAGACCAGTAGCAACATGTTGCAAAGCTGAAAGAAAGACAAATAAATTTGATTATTCTCTAACAATTAATTCTCTCGTTTGAGTTAACTAATGTAATATTCTTACCCAAGAAAACAACGCTGCTGAGAATAATATATGAAAATGGTACAGCCATTATTACAGTAGTGATTGATAATGAAGCAAACACTTACTACAAGTTTTATTCGACTGATGCTTATTAAAGAGTCAGGCGGCAGCATTTATACTGTTTTATCCGTTCCTTCTTTTTTTGTGAGTATTATTAAACGAAATTGTTGACGAATAAACTTTCAATCTTGGCAACCATGGTAAACTATTGCATTCGGTATATTTTTTCATGGTAATCTATCGTTATTTGAATACGAATGTAATTCTATCCTAAGTCTCTTGACATAACAGATTTGTTTTCAGATTTTTACTACTCAGTGAACACCCTCGAAATGTTTCTTGCAGAGAAAAATATTTGAATCAGTTTTCGGATAAACTAAGAACAGTCTAGCTGAGATTATTTTGAAAAATCACAGTAAAACATAGATCCAGAGATGTACACGCATAGTAAAATGTAAAGTTGAATTCAACTGCAGTTTCAAATTCTAGTCTCTATGCGAGTGTTACCTGAGTATACAAAAATATTATTTTTGTCTTAATTTGAATGCTGAAAACTAAGAGAAATATATTATTTGAAATTTGATGCTTGAAGTTAAAATCAAATCTGAAATTCGAAGCGTATTTTCGTTTTTAGATGCAGAGAGAAGAACACATATAACTAGATGACATCTCGACGCCGTCAAGTATACGACATAAAGTGTGAAGCCGAGATTCCGAATTACTCGGAACAATCAAACTCAGGAATGGAATGAGGCTTCTCACTCTTTTGTTATATTTGAAAGTTTTGATCTCAACCAATGAACTGTTTGAAGTTAAAATTCATTACGAAGAAAAATCTACCAAGATCTATTCGATCGATTGAATATTTCATTGCCTATCATCAGCTGTATTTACAGCTGTAATACATGTAAACAGATAAAGTCGCACTTGATGTTTTATTTTCTTAGTTATTGTTCAGCGTATAATTTGCAAAGTTCCTTGCAAGCTCGTGTTTTTCGAGCGCTGTTTGGTCAGAGAACAGAATGTGTTGTCGCAAGTCTGGAAACAGGTAGTAACGATTCCATCTCGACAAAGATTGATATATCGGCGATTTTTCGACTCAAATCAAGTCAAATCAATTCAGATTCTAACCCGATTTTCACAATATTTTCTTTTATCGGCGGTAAATGATGCAAAAGTTCTTTCCTTATTCTATAACATCGTTTAACTACCACTTACTATATCATTTATTAATTGAATTATTAAAGAAACAAAGAAATCAGCGTAATTCCATTAACAAACGTTTTCGAAATGAGGCGACCAACAAAAAACTTGAGGAAGAAGATTTTCCATGGAGATTTTAGCAGTCATCAATTTCTTTCAACGGTAACTCTTTTGATGGAAATATTAGTTGATTGGATGAGATCAAATTTTTCCACTGCAACAAACCAGGAAGAAGTCTGATTCTACTCAAGAGAGGTTTGTTTGTTTTGGGTATTTGGTGCTTCGCACTTTATTGCGCATTCTTGCAGAAGTCGAGACGCAACGTAGTTGATTGTTGCTCTTCGATGTATACGTATATATATATATTATAGAGAAAGAATTAGTGAATTGCCAAAATGATTTCGATGCGTTACTTGAAATGAAAATATCTTCTGATCAACAATACCCGAAACACAGTTCTGCAAAGTCAAGTTTGAATTTATCGATTGACCCGTGATACTTTCAATATTGATGATTTAAGAATCACTCAATATTGAGTTTGTCCTGAGACATTCGTCAATACGACTTGTAAATCATAATTTGTTAAGTTAACATCGAAATATGACTCTAAACTGAACATTTTACAGAATGACAGAGGTCTTTATTTGGAGAAAAGTAGTGATAAAAGATTTCTTTCGTATACTTAGATATAAATATTCTGTTGATAAAGAACAACGATCGAATGAAGACACTTGTTCATGTTCGATAAATTTTTATATTCTGCAACCACAGTTTCAGAAACTGTTCTAGAAAATTAAACTACTTCAGGCATACTAAAGCGCTGTATATAGATTTTTTGATTTCTTACAAAATAGTTCATAGGACATTTTGTGGTTCTGTGTGAGTTGGCAATAAAAACCAGTGCTTTGAAATTTAATTTTTCTTCATTGAATATGTCAATAACAGTTATTTACAATGATTCGCCGTGCTGCGCTTTGCGTCATCTTCTTGCACGCTTGAACATTTAATAGATATTATTTTTTATGATTGTGGATTAAGAAACGATTTGTTCAAAGTCATTGTATCATTCTATAAACAGTTACATGACTTGTTTGAACAGATAACCTTTGCCACAGGAATCATCATGTATTGACCATTGCCATTTCATGGCTGACAGTTACTGATTGAGAGAAGATTCTCAACTATAGATAATTTTTCTTTTTACAAAAATGAACGTAGCCCATGTAATAAAGCTGGAGTTACGCATGACTTATTGACAGTATGCTAAAAATAAAATAAAAGATAGGAGTTACTTGTTTTAAGAATAATCACGTAGAAAAATTAGTTATCATATTGGAATTGTTTCTAAATGTCTGTGATCATATGCATGATATTCAATGCATGAAAACACATTGAATGATGCTACCAGCCATGATTAGAAACAATGACAATCCGATCGAGCTCGAGACAGGAACGCCTGAATTACACAGGTCTGATGAACAACAAGTGGTTCGCGTACCAGTTCCAGCAAAGACGCTATTTTCCTCTTGGCAATTAGTACGAATACCACGGCTTGTGTGAGTCACACCAGTAGCGATCAACCTAATAGTTTTCTGCAAATAATAGAAATAGAAAATAAATTTGGTATTTTATAGATATTGAAGTTTTCAATACTAACCCAACATGAATATCCTGCACCGTTGGAGCTAGTTATTAACGTGTTATTATTGACAACATCACATGGATCACATGAATAACATCTGAGACCAGTAGCAGCATGTTGCAAAGCTGAAAGAAAGACAAATAAATTTGATTATTCTCTAACAATTAATTCTCTCGTTTGAGTTAACTAATGTAATATTCTTACCCAAGAAAACAACGCTGCTGAGAATAATATATGAAAATAGTGCAGCCATTATTACAGTAGTGATTGATAATGAAGCAAACACTTACAATTCTAATTTAAGTGATACTTTTGAAAGATTTAAACGGTATTTTTCATACTTTTTTTTCAGTTCCTTCTTGTTTTGTGAGTATTATTAAACGAAATTGTTGACAAAAAATTATAATCATGACAATTATTTGAATTATTTCATTTGGTGTATTTTTATGATAATCTATCCTTATTTGAATATAAATAATATTCTATTCTAACTCTCTTGAAAGAAAGGATTTGTTTTCAGATTTTGATTACTTTGTGAGCACAATCGAAAGTTTTCTTGCAGAGAAAATTTCCTAAATCAGTTTTCGAATAAACTGAGAACGATCTGTCTTATTGAGATTGTTTTGAAAAATCACTTGTATGCAGAGATGTACATGCGTAGTAAAATTGGCAGTGGCATTAAATTCAAATTTTAACTTCCAATCTCTGTGTTGATGTGACATAAATATGCAAAAATATTGTATTTATCTTGATTTGAGTGCTGAAAAATGACAGAAAAGTAAAATTTGAAATTTAAATCTTGAAATTATAATCAAAATCGAGCTTACAGATTTGAAACTCGAAATCTATTTTCATTTTCAGATGGTGTGAGCAAGACACAGATAGACCATTTGAATTCACTAAAATAAAGCACAAAATGAAAGCGAAGTTCTGTTTAAGCTTTTTGCATTTGCCATAAATCTGATGTACTTCTACTTTCATATTTGAGGAGAATGCCTTGTTTCTTTGAAATATATCACAACGCTGTGCTCTAACAATATGTAATTCCTTTATGATCTCTCTGAATTCTATTCTCCCAGGTAGTTATATGCTAACTTGTGAGAAATAAGAGAAATACTAAAAATAAAAGATTCGACGAAAAAGATACCTACAGTGTCTCTGCTATGCTAGCTATCAATTCACACAATATTTTGATGTTGTAAGACTCTCAATACAAAAGCAATTTATTGTCGTTCAATAAAAGAAGAGCTTATTGCAACTAATCAAAGGGTAGATAATTGGATTGTTTTGGAAGCTGACTGCGATGAAGATAAATAACTGATTGTTTAACCAACTAGTCTGCCACAGCACAGAATATCAAAGTGAAATTTTGGCATTAGCGACATAAAGGTACATGATAGGCTTGTATTGACGAGTCATTTTCGTTTGGAATTATGGATATTGAAAATGAAAGTTGATATTGTATTATTTGTAAAGAATAATGTGATTGATTTGAAGGAGTTATCTATTATGGGTTAATAAGACATCTTCATTCAACGATGGATTATTAGCAATGTAATCAAACAAATACTAACTCTATTTGGTGCAAAAATAGGTGATATAATGTGCATATTGACAATCATTACAATGGGTGCACCATAACTGCTTGAGGATGTTGTTTTTATCATTCCATAAGGTCAACATATTATCGACAATGATGAAAAAAATTGCTGATAAAAACGAATCTATTAGCAATACAAATGCGCGCTGTGATGAAGAGTACAGTATCAGTACAGTCGAAGATGGCCTTAAATGCGTATTTAATATGGCGCATCATTCGAATGATTTCTTAATTCACAAACATCGCTGTTTTCTTTAGTGTAGAAAAGATTTCATAAAAGATTTTTTTTTCTTCTTTATTATGAATAATATTAATATCTGACAATATACGTATATGCCTAACATGTTAAAAGTTACAGTAGTATGTTTTTTATTCAGTTCAATGGAATATTTACTGCATGTCGATTTTTGCTTGCTCGTATAGCATAAAGTGAGAGTTAAACAGAAAGAGGAGAAAAAAAGAATAGTATTTCTAGTAAATTTTGTTTTCATTTCTTTCGTCGTTCAATAAATTGTTGTTGTTCAATCATTTGTTCCCAACGTCGATGATCAAGTCTACTGAAATCATCATGTTGTGATATCATCATTAAATATTGAGTTAAATTAAATAGTTCTCTGTCAGTGGTACGTGTAAAATGTGCGCGCTTGAATGGACGAATTTTTAAACCATTTAATGGATTTAATAAAAAATTTCTAGATACATCATCAAACATAATTGTATTTTTTTCCGAATAAAGTGTAGGATATTTTTCCCATATGACAGGTAATGGTTTAACATCTTGAAAACCGTATTCTTTCGTATAAACAGATATCATTGCGCCAGAATCCCTGAAAAATAAGAAAAATAAAACTAAATGTAAAAAGTGGTTTTATCGGTTTTTCTCATTGTGATACAAATTTTTGATATCATTATTTTATTTGATTGCAAAGAAAGTTAAAAATACTATTTTTCACTGTAAGATTTCGATCAGTAGAACAATTTCAAAAATAAAATAAATGAAATACTCAAATTCGTCGCAAATATTTGTGCAGATTCTGCATACGAAACGAGAGATGATCATAACCTTACAATAAACGTATATTCTTCCTCAATTTACTCATCGTTTTTCGATTAATTTCAATTTTTTTTCTAACGGGAAATCAAACAATAACGTACATGTAGAAAACAATTTTATAATTAAATGTTGTATCTGTTGTGCGACCTTGTGAGATGCCTTCGACGCCGAGCAATTTCATTTTAGATTCAATCCATTTCATAGATGTAGCTGACCATATACCAATATCATAATGTTGATAAGCTGTTGTTAAAAATTCATGTAAATGGGGTCTCATTAATTCTGCACCTGTTTCAGCAGCACTACGATGATCGAATAATGTATAATCAATATCTAGTACAAGTAATTTTTTTCCTTGTCTTGGTTCATTTAAAATTTTTCCTTGATATGTATTGATTCGACGTTCTAATTTAGTTCGTACTTCTTCACGTTTCTCCAATGGTATTGTATCTGGATCGTCGATCCATGTTGTATCTTGCTGTTCTTCTTCTTGTCCTTCGGATAGATCCGGTTGAACTGGTTTTGATAGATTTAATTCCGTTATTGCTTCTTCTGGTGTACCCATTAGCATGATTTTCGATGAAAGATTTAGTTCATCTATTGTAGTCGTATTCGTTAGTGCTCCTGCTACTTTCAATTTCAAACCCATTAGTTTCTGTCGATCGGGTAAGATATTTGTTTGTTCATAAATTAAGCTTTTTAATTCACTTAATGTTTGTGTTGATTGAAGGTCAAATGTTAATTCTTGTTTATTCCATTTCAGAATTATTTTATTTGGTTTATTAGTATTATTAGTAGCCATCTTGAAAATTAAGCAAAAAAGTTTTTGATTAGTTTATTTTCATATTTTCAAAACATATTAATGAAAGAAAAAAAAGAATAAAGACATTCTCATGTTTATTCATCTATGATCAAGACGAAGGAACAAATAAAAAACAAAGCATGTTGATGTGATTGTTCTTTTGTGTTTTGAATTAGTTTGCCTTTGTACTTGTGGCATGAATCAAATCTTCATAGGTAGCAAGCCACATTCGACCGGATGTTTCAAGTGATCTAAAAATACAATGAATTGTCGAACTTTAATTGGCTGCTGGAAAATTTTAAAATTTATTTACAATAAATATCGAGAAGAGCCCGTCCCATAGGTTTAACTATATATGGAATCAGGAACCGCGAAGGGGGGGTGTGACGGTACGGTCACTACTGATTTTATTAATATATCTATTCTTTTCTATATGAGTATAATTAATCGTTTCTTTTTCTTGTACGCGCCAATATATAAAAAATCAATGTATCATATACTTACTGTTTTTCCTTCTAAACGAGTTACTATATATTCGTCTTTGTCAACAAAATAGTAGAAGAAGATTCTATTGCCTTTTTCTTCTTCTATTCTCAACTGTTCTTCAACATACTCAACGCTAATTCTTTGAACTATTGTTGAATAACTCTCGTTCGTTTCTCTATCTTGTCTTGTTCAATAAATCATTGGTATCCTTAGTCAAGTCATAATTCTTATCGTTTCTCCAATTGGCCATAAACAGTTATTGTGGCTCCTGGTATTTCTAATAGTTGCACATCAGTCGACATCACTGAGAGCGTAACAAGTGGCGATCACACCAGGATTTGACGTTGTGAGTTTTGTCTCTCGTCGGCCTGCCAATAATTTCCCTTTACAATTACAAAACGTAAAATTTCAATCTGTATCAATTTTTTTTCACCAACACGATTATCATCTTCTCGATCGATTTCGTTATCATCAATGGAACATCCTTCTTTTGATAAAATGGATGATTTCACTCAGGCTTTTCGTCAGTCCACAACACCAACAAATGTTGCCCTTTCAAAAATCGATTATATTAATCAAGATAAAGTAGAAAAGCGTCGTCATATCACTCTTGAAAGTATTCAAGATCAATTAGAATCGATGAACGATCGTCTTGTGCACATCGAAGAAACAGTAATTTCACGAAAATCTACCAATATGAATTCCAGACCTTCCAGTCGTTCGGTTCGAATCGAAAATTCCACAAACTTTCTGCCAGAATATATTCAAGCTCAAGAGGAAAACAATCGACTGAAAATAGAGCTTGCATTAGCACGATCGCAAATGAATAATAATGAATCAATATCATATCCGAACCAATCGTTATCATTGATTCCAACACAGTCGCCAATACATATGAAAGCTGAACAATCCTCATCTCCACAGAATCAATCATCCGTTTTTAAACCAATTAAAAACTCGGTGAGTGATAACAATTTTCATTGTTCACAGGTATTAATGCCTACCAATATTATGACACCAAATGTCATTCGAGCACCACCACGACCAACATCGTCGACAGTTCAAATTCCACCATTATCGTCATTAGATATTTCTTCGTTATCTACTCTACCTTATACAATGCATCCTAACAACAATCTGCCAAAATTCAAAGGTTCAGCAGATGAACGACCAGTTGGATTTTTATCTGAATTTGAAATTCGAACTGCTACACTCGTTGGAAAAAATGATACTCTTCTATTACATGCCGTCCAACAAGCATTGTTTGGTAGTGCACTCACTTGGTTCGGTCAAATGCAAAATTCTGACAATCCTGTTCGCAGTTGGTCGGAATTTAAAACGAGATTTTACGACCGTTATCGTACTCCTAATCAGATTCGGTACTTTCGAACTGAACTTAATGTCTTGTTTCAAGGTGATAATGAAAGGACAATGGACTTTTTGGAGCGTTTAAAGTCGCTGATGATCGAAATCGATCCAAACTGCAACGAAGAATGGTTAATACGTAAATTCGTCGAAAAAATTCGTTTGGATATTCGTGCTCGTTTAGATTTTGACGCGAATCTTACAATGCGAGAACTTATCAAGAAAATTCTAACTATTGAATCTAATATCGACGAGCTGAAAATTGTTGAAGATCTTAGACGAACAGCTCTACAAAAAAGGAAACCTCCGGTTAGTATCACTACGAACAATATTTCATTTATTGACTCTAGTGATCAATATGCGCCATCATCATCGAATAAACCAACTGATCATAAACAAAATTATAATCAACATTCTCATAATAACAACAACAACTCATTCGACAACAATCGTAATCGTATTAGTGCTCATAATACAGACCCTTCTATTAGCATTATGCATAGATCCAACGATTTTAACAAACAACAAAATACAAAGAATATGAATAACAATCATCATAATAATAATCGTATTAATAATAATAACAATAACAATAACGATCAAAACAATAATTATAATAGTTATGATTTCAACAGTAACAACGATCAATATAATAACCGGTCGAACATCAACAATGTTAATAATAATTGTACTGACGAATATCATTCTAACCGTTATGACAAGCATGGCAACGCTACCAAAAGCCAACGGCCAACAATAACGCTTAATAGAAATTCAACTCGAACTACAGCTACTGCCAATTCATCCAATAATTATAAAACTCGTTGGTGGTGTCCTCGTTGTGAACGGCATGGCCATTCATGGGAACGTTGTCCATTTAATACCGAAAGTATTAATTATCGACCTAATTCAACATCATGTCATTTTCCTACAATAATAGCAAATTCGCCATCACCTGTTTCTCCGTCGCCATCTCATTACAACAATTCTCATTCGGAAAACCATCACGGAAGATAATGACCGAAGAGGCATTATCTTCCTTACGTTCACCTTCATCCTCTTCGATTCCGTCAACATCCGTCACTCTACCAGCATCTAGTACTCCGACATCAAAAGATTCATTGTCGTCAACAACCATGGTACAAACTAAATCGTCGGTTGGAATATCCAATTCAATCAATGATTCAGATCATTTATGTAATTCTCAATTCTTACCTCATTCGACAAAATCAATCGGATTCATCGTTCCACCTAATGCTTCGAATACATCTTACAATTATCCTCGAGATTGTTATCTGACTACGGAAGCTAAGATCAATGATATTCCAGGAATTGTTTTACTTGATACTGGTTCAGGTGTTACCATCATTAGTTCCAGTCATTGGAAGATTATCAATTCTGGTGGTCCTATTGCTCCTTACAATGGACCTGAAATACAAGGTCCAGACGGTAGTTCTATTGGACCGGAAGGACGTGTCGTCGTGCAAATTACTTTAGCTGGTTCTACTACACATCATCCGGCAGTTCTTGCTAGAAATTTTCATCATCTTATTCTTCTTGGAAATGACTTTATGAAATCCATTGGACTTGTCCTTGACTTGCAAGACAATAAGATGTGGTTACGTACTGATCCAACTCGAAGATATTCGATATCATCTGATCTTACGCAAGCAGGCAGAATTGATGTTCCGGTATTATCTACTGAGCGTCGTGTCATCGCTCCATATCATATAGCTTACATTCAAGTAAACACTCCAACTTTTCTCTCACATGATACTTGGGATGCTTCTATCACTGGTCATCGTCCGCACATCGCCACTGCCAACAGCTTAATTCGCTTTAAGGATCAGAAGTCATTCGTACAAATTATTAATTGTACTGCTCGTCAACAAAAATTTCATATCGGACAACATATTGCAGTGGCTGATTTATACATTGACGATGCAGATTACGATATGCAACATGTTTCAAATTCATCTTCATCTATGATACCGGAATCACCGATGCCCAATAACAAAGAAGGATTATCATGCACATTTCCATCGTCATCTACAACGTCGATTAACCAATCAACGTTCGATTCGCAATATACTTTACAAAACAATTCGGGTTCGTTGATTCTTTCATTGCCTAGTGTGAATGTAACTTGTTCTGATTTATCATGTCGTTCGTTTTCTTTCTCATCGTCTTCACCGAGCTCCTGTACCGATCAGCAAACCGTACCACCATCATCCCACTCATCAACACTTATTTCATCTTCTACACCATCTTCTATTTCATTTTATTCACCACCTCTTATCTCGTCATGTTTATCGTCTTCTACCTCTTGTCATTCGCCTTCATCTATATTTTCTACTTCTTCTTCTCCTGTTAATCCTGAATTTTTGCGTGACCTTATCGTTAGCGATAGTGATCTTAATTCTGAACAAGTTGCTCAGTTACAAAATCTTCTTTTGAAATATCGAACTTGTTTTAATGAAAAAACAGGTCGCACTTCATTAACTCGACATCATATTGATACTGGCGACTCTAAGCCTATAAAGTTGCGACCGTATCGCGTATCACCCGCTCGTCAAAGTATCATTTACAATCAAATACAACAAATGTTACAAGACGGTATTATCGAGCCAGCTAATGGACCATACGCCGCTCCTGTTACTTTACAACCGAAAAAGGATGGCTCTTTGCGTTTTTGCGTCGACTTTCGTCAACTAAATTCTGCCACTGTTCGAGATGTTTATCCAATACCTCGTATTGATGACACTCTCGATCAGTTACGTTCAGCAAAATATTTTACTTCTATGGATTTAAAATCTGGGTTCTGGCAGATTGAACTCGATGAGGAAAGTCGACCAAAAACAGCGTTTGTTACGCATGCAGGACTTTATCATTTTACAGTTATGCCATTTGGCTTAACTAATGCGCCTGCGACGTTTCAACGCCTTATGGACCTAGTTCTAGGCGGTTTGAAATGGAGTTGCGCTCTAGTATATCTTGACGATATAATCGTTTATTCTTCTACGTTTTCGTCTCATCTACAACATCTTGAATCTGTACTGCAACGAATTCAAGCAAGTGGTCTTACTCTTCATCTATCTAAATGTCAATTTTGCAAAACAAAACTTCGATATCTTGGTCATGTTGTTTCACAAACCGGTATCGAACCTGATCCAGAAAAAATTCGTGCTGTACGTGATTATTCTATTCCAATTCGGTTGAAAGATGTTCGTACATTTTTGGGTCTTACTGGTTATTATAGAAGGTTCATTAGAAATTATGCTACCATCGCTGAACCACTAATCTCGTTAACTCGTAATACAGACAATAAGCCATTTCACTGGTCATTATGTTGCCAACAGGCTTTCGATCATCTACGTCATTTGTTAATAGAAGCACCAATCATCGCGTATCCTCAATTCGACAAACCTTTTATTCTTCAACTCGATGCGTCTGACGTTGGCCTTTCCGCTATTTTAGCTCAAAAGCTCGTTGATGATGACGGCGTTCATCGTGAACATGTTATCGGTTACGCTAGTCGTACTCTTTCTGCGTCTGAGCGTAAGTTTTCACCAACTGAGCGCGAGTGTCTCGCTATTGTTTACGGTTGTTCTCACTTTCGTCCATATCTTGAAGGTGTTCGTTTCACTATTCTAACCGATCATAAAGCACTTAAGTGGTTACACAACACTAAAGATCTTAATAGTCGTCTTGCCAGATGGGCAATGCAAATAGCAGTTTACGACGTCGATATTCAACATCGTCCAGGTGTTGAAAATACAAATTGCGACGCTCTTTCACGTGCTCCTGTTGATGATCTTTCTAATTCTAACCAAGTTATTGCAACTCAAGAATCTTATGATTCATCATCGGTTGTAGATCATGGTTATTCGCTCGTACTTGACTATCTTCGTCATTCTTCACTGCCACCTCCACAACTTGTTATACCTATTTCACTTTCTAATATTACTAATATATTTTCACCGATATCCTCATATTCTATTTCTCTAGCTAATATACATTTCGGTGATAACATTAGATTATATGAAGATATAAGAATTGCACAATGGAAAGAGAGTGAACTTCTTCCACTTCTTAATTATTTACAAAATCAACAACTTCCGGATGCTGCTGGGCAGTCAAAGATTCATCAACAAGCTTCTTGTCATCGACTTGTTGACGGTGCGCTTTATCGTGTCTTTCGTTTACCTCGATCTGTTGTTGAAAATTCTTCTTCTAGTGTTGCTTCTGATTCTCGGTTATTTCGCTCTCACGAACAACTCCGTCTTGTTATTCCGACATCGAAAATTGTTGAACTTTTATCGCTTGCTCATGATCATGCAACGGCCGCTCATCTCGGCCGCCGCAAGACTTTATATCGTCTTTCAAATCGCTTTTATTGGCCACATATGCGTCGCGATGTCGAAGCATATGTTCGTTCATGCAAACTATGCCAACAATTTAAGGCTTCTACTCAGAAACCTGGTGGTTTAATGCGTCCTATAGTCGTCAATGAACCGTGGAATACTGTTGGTATTGATCTAACGGGACCACTACCTAAAACCCGACGCGGTAATTCTTTCATTCTCGTCGTTATCGATTATTTCACTAAATGGATTGAACTCTTTCCGCTTGCTAATACAAAAGCAAAAACAATCGCTCAAGTATTCGTCGATGAAGTTTTATGCCGTTTCGGTTTTCCAGTTCGAGTTATTTCAGATAATGGTGTTCAATTTCTTTCGAATATATTCACCAATGTATGTTTAGCTCTTGATATAAAACATCAACGAACACCACTTTATCATCCACAAAGCAACTTATGTGAACGCGTTAATCGAACCATTAAACCATTACTAGCTGCACTTGCTTATAACGATAACAAATCTTGGGATATTAAACTTCCTCAGATCGCATTTGCGCTACGGACGGCACCAAGTGATTCTACTGAACAATCGCCAGCTTTTCTCATGTTTGGTCGTCACCCACGCCAACCATTAGATTTATGTCTACCTTCACCTGCGCCTCTAGATCAATCTCCTACAAAGACTGATTTATTAGACTATCGCAAACAATTGCTTGCTGATCTTTTACCAGCTTATGCTAGTACTAGAGAAATTCTCGATATTTCTCATCAAAAGCAAGCTGACCAATACAATCAATATCATCGTTCACTTCAATTTGAACCTGGTGACTTAGTTTGGGTCACCGCTCTGTCTGGTATTGCAATGGGAAAATGGCGTGGAAAGAAACTCAGCGCACGACGTGAAGGACCTTACCGTGTCATGGAACGTTTATCTTCCTTGACTTATTCATTAATTCATACAATTACTGGTCAACAACTTAGTCCAATCCACGTCAATCGTCTCGAACGCTATTATTCCTTTAATAGTATCGACTAGATCCTTATTTTTCTTCTTATCGATTTCCTGTTCATTCGTTGTCTTCTCGATCTGTATATCCAATTCATTTTGTGTTTAAAAAAAAAATCTTATTCTACCTTTCTCTTCTTTTCTCTTCTCTTCCTTAGTTTTCTCATCAATTATTTTAATTATCTATCTCGCCTGCCATTTTCATTATCAACACAAAACTTTAATTTTCGTCATACAACATATCTTCTCTCTTTCCCTTCTCTTTTATTTCAATCTATCCTCTAATCACCAAACATCAGCCTTTCTTCCACCATCAAATCTAACGGCCCAGAGGTCCGTTTTCATTTGGTACGGGAGCCCTGTGACGGTACGGTCACTACTGATTTTATTAATATATCTATTCTTTTCTATATGAGTATAATTAATCGTTTCTTTTTCTTGTACGCGCCAATATATAAAAAATCAATGTATCATATACTTACTGTTTTTCCTTCTAAACGAGTTACTATATATTCGTCTTTGTCAACAAAATAGTAGAAGAAGATTCTATTGCCTTTTTCTTCTTCTATTCTCAACTGTTCTTCAACATACTCAACGCTAATTCTTTGAACTATTGTTGAATAACTCTCGTTCGTTTCTCTATCTTGTCTTGTTCAATAAATCATTGGTATCTTTAGTCAAGTCATAATTCTTATCGTTTCTCCAATTGGCCATAAACAGTTATTGTGGCTCCTGGTATTTCTAATAGTTGCACATCAGTCGACATCACTGAGAGCGTAACAGGGGGGGGTGTACACCCTCCCCCCAATAAAACGGTCTAGCAAAGAATTGGGCAAAAATGAAGGATAGACGTATCCAACGTCCATAGAACGCGTATTCTAATTTTAAAAAATTGCTTTTTTGAGTTTATTATGCTTATGTGTGAAATAAACTAATAATCATGTTTTTTTCTGTTTTTCTTGTCATGAGTTTGCTCGAAAAATAAAGTATTTAAATTGAACAACCTGACTGTGGTGTTGTATTAAAAAATTTTCACTACGAGTACGTCTCTTAAAATTTTTTTACACTTTACACCTCTCAATCTTAGACTCTTCGCGCGGCCCCTGTATGGAATGTTATATTTTCGGCATAATGCCATTATGTCCGATTGGATTTTTATAGAGATTATGTCTTGGCATCGTCGAAAATAAACTGAAGAAAGCAGTCATGAAACAATGCTTTTTTTTCTTACTTGAAATAATTAATTTTCTGCTTACTGATGTTCAATTTGAAAATTTAAATGACCCGTAAACCAATCATTAAATGGTGATTCAATAATATTACATGTTCCTTTTAATTGTAATTGAAGCCATGATAATTTTGAATCGTCATACGATACTTCCATGACAACATGATTCGATTGTGAGACAACAACTATTTAGAATGAAAAAAAAACAATAATGTTTTCCATGAAAAAAGACATTTTATTTCAAAAGTGTAACATACCAAACCAAGTACCTTCGAATGCGCTACAATGATAAATTAAATAAATAAAAAACGAACAGAATATGCAAGGAAATTAAATTACCCAATTAAAAAATGAAGGTTCAATGCTCCTAGTGAGATTAATGAAAACAAAATTTCCAATAATATAAAGATAACAAAGCAAGATCCTAAAACAAAAGAAGTTAAATCAATTATATTTATATATATATTTCTGTAAATTTTACTATCCACTTTCATCGTTTACTAGCATGTCGTATTGTCATAAATTGAAAATAGACAGAAAATAAAAGTGGAGCCGCTAGAGTTTATAAAACTAATACATAATCATTTTATTGATTATTAGCTGATTTTTACCAAAACAAACATATAAAAGTTTGTAGATTGTGGGGCATTGTTTTTCCATATTTTTACATTAATTTTAGCTTTGTACAATATAGATAATATGAGCTTATTGTAAACAAAAGAAAAACAAATTTACTCGTATTGGAATTGCATTTCCCAATAAAAACAATGGTTCTACACGTTATCAGGATCTTTGTCGATAATATTTGGTTTTGAATGATGTTGAAAATGCATATTATTCCACCAATCAGCACTTCTTCCCTGAACAAAAATTATTATTATTCAATAAAACAATACATATGTATCTATCTATCATAACAAACTTTAATGAAGCCGAGAAAAAAATGATGAAATGCATGATTCCATGAAGGTTTGTTGAATACTGATAAATGACCAAAATCATGTTGAATCCAGCCACATTGAGCCTAGATTAATTTTTAAAAAATTCGATCCATCAATTGATTAAAAGAAATAAATACAAAAACAAACTTCGGCAATAATATAAAACAAAATTGCTATTAAATAAGGTAGCCAACTTGTACCAAAACGATTTAAAACATAATAAACAGCAAATTCAAAAGCTAAAATATGTAAACAAGTTATAATAAAAAAGAATCGATTTGGTTGAAAAAGTTTCTAAAGAAATGTTTTGTAAAATTTGTTGTGCTATTTCTATCGTGAATACAATGGATTTTACTTTTGCAATAGCTTTTTGTCTTAATTGTTCAATTTCATCATTTAATGCTTGATCATCATCTTTTGTAGTCTTTTTATTGTCATCGCCGATTAAATCACCGATGTAAAATGTTTTGAAATATTTTTGAACAAGAGCAATATTAGGATGAAAAGCACGAACTGGCTCCTATCGGGCAATAAAACTTCAATTTCACTTTTATTCGTGTATATTTTATTTCTTACAGTTGAATCTTGTTCAGCATAATGATTGAGAACAGTCTGTTCACCTGGATGTTTAATCCAATTGGTAACATCATAAATCCGCTTGTCTATAACAATCCATCGATATTTTTAACTCGAATGACGGTCAACTTCATCCCATGTGTATTGTTGTTTGGCTGTTTCATCCTTAATGGCCCATTTTGATGATTCTTGTTGATCATCAACTGATATGAGAGAATCACACTCATATTCGACATTATAATTTCTTTTGAAAGAAAATAAAGCCGACGAGATAGCTGAAGAAGAACTATTTTTATCTCAACGGACAAGATGAAAATGTAACAAAAAGAGCGGCAACGTATTCTTTCATCTGAATCATATTGCTCACTCTCCCAGGTAAAACTCAAGGAGGATGACTGTCAGCAAACTTCATCGTAAGTTTAAACAAGAAGAAAAAGGAAAAAAAAGGGCAAGAACAGTAGGAATTATTAAAGCGCGCATGCTTATATAACTTACCTGGTTAGTTGTTTCTATGGACTTTTTTCTTCTCTTTATTTTTTCTATGTACTCTCTATAAGAAGAAGAAAGAATTAACACCAGGGTACACATACATCTACTAATAGACATGAAATATGTCGATAATTGAAAGAAAATCCAAACAACAATCGCACGTCGATTTCTACGAAAAGCTAACAAATGAACATTCACAGTTTGTTAGAACAATAGAGAGAACGCATACTGTAGTAGATATTTCGAAAAGTACTCCTTTTCATTCTACGCTTTCAAGATATTAGATGGCATAGGAAAACAAAACACGAAATGATTCTGCTATTGGCACTGATTTATACTTATGTCAACTTTTGAGAGTGGAAAAAACGAATCAGATATGTTTCAATATTTGATTATTAGTCGTATACAGCATTGTGGCATTTCTTTTTCCTAATGTAATCTTAATGATAAAAAGAAAACTAAATTATCCATGTCAAATAAAGAACTAACATAAATACAAGAATGTCGAGATCATTTGCAATAGCTCTTCGAAATTGATCTCTACCAGGAACAGAGTACACCTAAGACTTACAAAATTTTGTATATATATTTAATTAAAAACTTTTATGATTTATTGTGTGAAAAAAATTAGTAGAAAACTTTCTAAGCAAACTGTTATATTTAATTTTGTTAAGTGTTCGTATAAAATGATTTCATTGAGCGTCGAGTTCATTTGCTATTGTTTGAAACTATTGTTTGGATTGCATCCTTGAAATAAAAAGAATATTGCACTATTGTTTACAGCAACAAGAAAAAGCTAACCACTGCAAGAATTGTTAGAATTTGAGAAGGAATTATTAATTTATTCTCTATTAGCTTATATGTAAACACATATATACCTAGCCGGTACCACATTTTGTTTGCAACATGGTACAAGAGGCGAATATGAAATTTGAACATCATAAGAGGATTGAATACTCGTCTATATTGCGCTCTTTTTCTACAGATTACGGATTCTTTAGTAGATACTTCCGCAAGCAATGATAACTGTTGTTGACATATGATTAGATATCGTCGATCAATAACTTCTTATTATAGTTTACAAGCGAATATATCTCCGGATAGTTAGAATATCATGATCGTTTTATGAAAAATTGCATCATACTTTCTATTTTAATTCTGTAAGGATTCACTTTTTTTATTTTGCAGAAGACGAAAATTTCCCTTTAAAAATTCAAGCAGGCGACGATTGATAACAAACGTTGGTACGCATGAACAAACTTTTGTTCGAGCTTTCAACATAAAAAATAACTAGATCTCAAGCATGAATACTCATTGTATCAACCAGTCTATATTCTCGACTAGTATTCTAAGTCTACATATCAATAAAGAATATTTTTATGCATAAGTTAAATCTTACGAAATTTCAAGTGTTAAAGCAATATATTAGTTGTCCACGTGCTCGATATTTTCGAATAGATGGTATTGAGCAAAGATTGATTACAATTGCTTCATCATATTCCATATTTGATGAACAGCTATGTTCCAAAAGCAAAATGTCTTCCATAATTTCCTGTAAATTTTCGTTTTAACATGATTCGAATTTGAATGAAAATGTTCCGTTTATGTAACGGTAATTATCGTCAATAAAATTTATCGAACAAGTTTCCGGCACTAATTAATAGTGAAAGATCACGTTGAGTGAAATCAACGGAACGATTATTCATGTTGATTTCTTATCGGATAAATATTAAAAGCATTTTGAGTGCTTCTTCATTATATCAACCAATAATAACATACCAAACTTTTCGAGTTCGTGTCGTAGGAGGATATTTCATACACGTATGAGATATCTAAAAAAAAAAGTGAGAAAAATTAATTATTTATTTAATTATTTTACGTATCGCTCGTTGATTGTTTATAGAAAATTAAAAATTAAAATATTTATTACTATCTTTCATCATTTCGAATAAATCTTCTGCATATTCAATCATATTAACCTGATGATAGGATCGATTAAGAGGTAGTGATAAATTATCTATTACATTTATCATGTCATCACGAGACGGTAATGATAGTTTTCCACATAAAACACGTGCAATTATATGCGATTGTACTTCAGCAAGCGGAAATGGTACTATGCAATAAGGGATGGTCAAAAATGAAAGTGTACCATCGGGGAAATCTGCATGAAATAATTGCTTGTATAGTGGATACACATAGTGACTATTGCATAGACGATCTTGGTCAACTTGTAATTTACCTTGAAGAAAAGACATTCGATATTCATAACCAGTAGCAAAAATGATCAAATCAGGTTTAATTGAAGTTTGATTTTGAAAGTAGACCGTATCTTTGTCAATACGCTCAATAGGTGGTACAATGGAAAATGTTGTAGATAGATAATTAGTGCATAATTGTTTTCCATTTTGTCGAAGCGTATTCAGAACTTTTTCATACTGGTTTTTATTTTCTTCTTTCATACTTAATATTACTTGTTTAGCTATTGGAGCTAATTCACTTGAAATATCAACACCAGAATGGCTAGCACCTACAATAATAACACATTTATCGCGATAATGTTCTGGTTCTCTATAAGAATGAGAATGTATTATCGGAAACGTTCGACTACGCAGACCAGGAATATCATTAGGTATATACATTTCAGTATAGTGACCGTTTGCTACACATATTGCATCGAACTGTTCTGAATAAGTTGCGTAATTCTCATTTCTCGTCACTAATTTTTGATGAGACCGTTTAGATATTTCATTTTCTTTATCAATTGGTACTGTATATGTAACTGTAAATGTTTCATCAATTGAATTGACTTTTGTATTCAAAAGTATATGCCGATATAGTTGATGTTTTTCGGCATAGGCAATTATATAATCTTCTACATCTTTACAACCGATATAGGATTCAGGATCAATGTTTTGAAATGGAAAATCGCTAAATTGCATAACACCACAAGGTAGATTTGTTTTTAAATTTTTATAAACAGCTGTTGTCTCTGATAATCCATCTGGATCATAATGCCATTGACCACCAATAAATGGATTTTGTTCGAAAACAGTTGGTTCACAATTATAGTCATCGGATGAAAAAACACGTGCACATGCTAAACCAGATGATCCACTACCAACAATACATATTCGATGACGTTTCATATTCAAAAATAAAAAAATATCTAATTTATCTGCAAAATAATAGTTTGAAAGGATTTGATTTATCGAATCTCTTAGGAATAACTAATTGAATATTATATATCACTTTTTCTATAATAAACTAATAATTAATTAAAAAGAAATAATTCTAATGGATAAGATTTATACTAATAGAATTTCAGTCTTACAGAACCATCTATGAAGAGGGCATACGTTGTACATATAAACATGCTACAACAATTATAATGTGTCAAATGGAGCTGGATAAAAAAAATATTCTTATGTATAAGTGTTTGACAACTGGTAATAAATTCTATTTTATTTTCTCATATAAAATTTTGATAGAACTATACAATTGAATAATTAAATTTTTTTAATACAAGTAAAATATATTGTTTGCCTCTTTTGTGGAATAATACTTGAGGGTGTGGAAAATTTTGTTATTAATCATTACCGAAATAATGATTCAGTGCACGTATTCGATTAGATTCTATCGAGGCTTTCTGCTCATCTCACACAAACATCGTCCATCCGTTGATCATGATTTCAATCGCTGAGACTAAAGCACACTATAACTTGTAGTTGCTCAACTTGGATTGATCTTATGCATTCATAGAATTCTGTATGCACTCATATTCGTTCCTAAAAATTTATTTGAAATCAAATGCAGTGTTATTAAGAGAGAGAAAAATTAGCTCCATTACTAGGCGAAGAAAGTGCACGTTAGAGTACTGTAATCCGTGCAGGACTCTAATTGCAATACTAAGTTTAATATTTATCTTCTATTATCGTCGATCACATCGATACTGGCTTTATTTGGGTTGAATTTCAATATTATGGTTTCTCATTCTTTTCACGAGCATTGATCATTACTGCTCGATCTTTTCTCACGTTTAGTTACATTTCAACGGACTTTATTCTTCGAATTGTATTGGCTACTATGGATTGACTTCATGCCTGTGTAGTCACCGAACGACTAGCTATAGTTATTCTTGGTATCAATTTTAACTTAATCAAAAGTAAAAAACTGGCTAAAGTATTTGTTTTTATCATTCCACTATTTATATCTGTTTCTTTTTTACATGATCCAATCTATCGTGATCTCATTCATGATAAAGAAGAAAATCGAACGTGGTGTTTAATTACTCTAATGTCTAGTATTAAAACATACAAACAATAATTCAAAAAGATGATTCAAAGAAAATGGAAGTTATTACAACTTGCTGCCAATCGATATTGATTCATCAAAAAGAACTATCCTCGCATATATACCCTAGTCAACTCTCCCTAGAAGAATCCACAGGGAGTCCTTAGGGATTTCGTTCTTTTTCGCGGATTCCCTGGGGACTCTCCGAGGAGTTGTCTGGAGAAAATGGATGAAATATCTAATTACTAGTAAATTCTTCTTAATTTTCTAAAATTAAAAAAAATTAAAAAGTTTTTTATTTTATTTTAAAAAATCTCATCGATTCTCCCAAGAGAAATCCCCGAGGAGTCCCCCAAATAAAAAGTCCCCGGGGACTCACGATAGGGACTCCTCAGGGATTTCGTTATTTTGCGGGGACTCCTCGTGGAGTCGTCGGGGGAGAGTGGATTAGGGTAACTTCTGACCTAGAAACATTTCTTTTAAGCTTATATAAATGTAATCGCTTGACTTTGTCTACTTTTTATTGTAGAAAATAAAATAACTCGAGCGTCTTAAAACAATTTTAAAGAACGAAGGATCTCTAAAAGTTGGTATAAATTGATAGCTATGCCATGCGGCTACCATCAAAAATCTATATAGTCCCAGATTTTATAATTACTCACAACTAACGAAATCAATCAAACTGTGTGTGACGATTTTAGATAGAAGAGATGCCTGTACTGATGATATTACACTTTATTTAACTCTTCAAATCATAAATCGCATCGATTACATATATAGCACACGCTTAAATACTCAACCATTTGAGAGAGCAATGAAGAAGGATAGATAAAGGCAATAGGTGTAATGAAAATAAATGGCACCATAAGACCAAATATTATGTATAGGTTACACTCGAACGAGAGCATTACACCCCTGGATGGAATTTGGACGCTCTCCGCATATAACGTTACACTGTCGTTGTTTTTGATTCACTTGCATAGATTTAAGTGTAAAACACATAATGCTTTCCAAAAACATTGCTTCGTAATTGTATATCAAATATGAGCACACAGATCAGGAAGGTCTTGTTGTTCTGGCGTTCTCGCTGGTCCTTATGCTTGTTAAAAAACGCAAACATCGATTACTATGGAATTTAGCACTGAAGAAAACACGCGAATTGATTCTAATATTAATGACTGATTTAAATTTTATTTTTGAGGTCATGATAAATCTCAAATTGGTACCAGCTTTCGCGAAACATCTGATCACTGATATCTGATTTTTCCAAAATAAATCAGATATTTACTTTTTACCCTACCGATAGTTTAAAGCTCTCAGCATAGATAACGTACTTGCTTCTCACCTACAGTTTGAAATTCTCAGCAGATACCAGATATACGGTGTAGTTGTGAAATTTAGAATTATGATCTCCAAGTCCTATATCATTTGTTCAGTTGTGTGGTCTGCTATCAATTTCTCGTGAGTTCGTAGGTAACATAGTGTAAATTCGATTATGAAATGGAAAAGTTTTAGGAGAAAGTCGTGTGCGAGACATTCAGTTGTTGGCACATTTGGAAATTTCCTCAGGTGAATCGAATAAGAGTTATTCGCTTTTTGGTTCATTTTTGCGCCAAGAGCAGACGAATAGAGATGAGTGCAAAGTTTTCTTTAGATTCGATCTCTTTTTAGCTGCTGACTCAAAAGTGTGTATGATACGGTTATCATGGAAGAATATTTGGCGTAAGAATTTAAAACTGCTGCTGGTTTCATATCTCCATCGTCACTAATTCTCATTGTTCCTTTGTGTATGTTCTCTTTAATATATTTTGATAGAAATCTAGCACACGTTATATCTTTGTTGTTCGTAATATTGTTGCTCTCAAGTTGCAGAATTTCGCATTGTAAACCAATTGAAAAAGTGTAAGAACACAGAACGCGTATCAGAATATAGCATAGAGGGAAAGTGTATGACTCATATTGGTACAAAAGGGTTGCGCGCCATATGATGTGGATAGAGCATTATCAAAATATCGGCATTTAGAGTAAGAGGAAAAAATTATTAAATGTTCCCAGGACGAACAATCCGATACCCGGATCCAGCCGAACTCGATCGGTTTCTGCAGGATTCTAAGCAAATCCGGATTGCGGATCCACTCAGATCCCTAGTGTTGCAAATCCGATCGATTCTTGCAGGAATCAGTGAAAACCCGATAGGTTTCTTTAGGATCTCGTTGGAATCCGACTTCTAAAATTCCTATCGAATTTGGTTGTTGGATTTGGTCGGATGTTCACCGGATTCCAACACTAGGGATCCGTTAGTAGTTCCTCAACCCGGAATCTCATAGGACTTTGTCGGCTCATCGGATTTTATAAGATTCGATCGGATTCGGTATCGGATTCGTTCACCTGGGTAGAGTTCAACAATCTCTACAAGAACATGAGTGTTTAAAAAAATGCTTTTCCTATTCTGAATATAAAGCTTGAAGAAAATCAAAACAACTATAAACATTTCATTTATCGAATATTAACGAGCGTAAATTGAGATTTCAATGGGTTCAGTTAATTGACTGTTTCTACTGTCCATGCAGCTTGGAAGAGTTATTTTCATCGTCAGTGTGTGACGCTGCATCTCAGAACATCAATTAACAGTCGATCAGCTAAAATTATTGAAAATTAAGAATATTATGTCATTCAAGAGACATGAGATTTTATTAGTCTGAGCTGTTTCCTCCAAGTTTTTTATTGGAAACTGGATTCGAATTTTTCTTGATATGCATATTCTTACAGACCTTGTCGAATTCTATCTAACCATATAAAAATATCTATTAAAAACATGTAGAAAATAACATTTCTCTCTATTGAACGACTGAAACACATTAAAGAGTTTTTTTGGTGTGTCAAAAAATGTAAGATGCAAAATGCTTAGTGTTATTTATTGATTTGTGAAAATTTTTTATAATGATCCTCGAATTAGCGACTTATTTCAGTAGAAAAAATTGCATAAGGATCTTGGCTACGGTTGAACTGTTTATAACAGCTTCATTAAAACGATTTTCGAACAGAGCAGTTAAAAACACTAAAACAATTGAACAGAAACGGTGTATAAAACGTCGTCTCTTTTTGTCATTTTTTATCGAAAATCTTATATTTTTGACAACCTTGATTCTCTAAGGATTCCTATATTTAAAAAAAAAGTGCAATCGGAGGCCAGAGTGAGATAAAAATAAAAGAAGTAAAAACTACACTAGCTGTCTCCATCACGTTTTACGCGTAAAAATGCCGAGCATGCTGTGTGGGTGTCCATGTGGGCATGCATGACTAAGTTCGTTTTTCACTATTCTTCACAGAAGAGAAGATCAATCATTTTCATTAATTTATTCATTCGATAAAACAATTAACCAATCAAATATTTTACCAAATCATCGATCTTGAAAATTGATTTATTCTTTTATTTTTAGCTTTTCGTTTCTAAAATATAAAATTTCTTTTATAAAAACTAAAATTTTAATTTAATTTTTTTTACATTTCAGTTGATTCTAGCGACAAATGTCAAAGAGGTTCTCTATATATGTTTGAAACATGGTTGTTTATCAATCTGACGATCATCTGCTGTTCTTTTAGGCTATGACATTGAAAGTTTGATATCTAGTAAAAGAAAGTATTCTTTACAGATATGCTTATTGATCATCATGGCATTCGACTATTTCATTTAATTATTTTAAGTCATTTATTAAAATATGGTATTACATTAACTGCATTATCTGATTTAGCGTTATCACCAAATCTATGTACAAGTATATCTCTGCACAATCAATCATTTGGTGTTATACATAGTTTAAACTTTTATTCTGGTCAATCTCAACCACCAAATGTATCATGTTCATGGATAATTAGTAATCCTCAAGCATTGAAATGGTCAAATTATATTCTTTCATTGCGTGTTATTGAATTAGAAAATGATCCAATACATTGGTTCAATGAATTAACATTTTGGACTGGTAATAGACAAATATCTATTGATGATATTAATAAACGAACATATGTTTTATCAACATCATCATCAATACAGATATTTTTTCGTACGAAGCCACCTCTATTGCAAACATTTAATCCATATATTCGTACTAATTTACGTATTCGTCGATTTTTAATTGAATTCATTCATATTAATAATGATTTTATATTAACAACTAATGAAAATTATTTTCGTTGTTTATCTAGTGGAATACTCATACCTAAACAATGGAGATGTAATTGTATATACGAATGTTCATATGAAGATTACAGTGATGAAGATAATTGCCCATTATGTTCAACGTACGAACCATCAAACAGTTTATTATGTCAAGCTAATGAAAATTGGTGTTTACCCGATGTATCAAAATCTTTCAGTGATAATTTAATTCAAGTAGAATATGATGAAGATGACTGGATGGCATCACATGTAAATTATAGTCGAAAAATGGATCCAAAAGGTAGAGTGATCTATATAAATAGAATATCAAACGCGAAAAAAGTTTATCATAAAAATGCACTGTTTCTTTCATCTTGCCGGTCTATCATTTAAATAAATATTGATTGAAATTCGAAACCATGATGAATTATGAATAGCATTAAAAGAAAAATTTGTATAAGACTTAAGAATACGCATTGCTAGTGGCAGTACTTTACAGTGACTTACAAGCATAGCTCTCATTACATGTGTGTTCGTGTTTGGTTTAAATATGGAGTTTTATGTAACGATGTATTACATTACCTCATGATGCATTGCTAAAGAAAGTTAATCGACTGTTAAATCGTGTTTAAGTCTAAATTAAGATATTTCCGAAAGCAATGTTAACTTAAAACTTGCTAAACAGTTAAACTGCAGTGTTTCTATTCTAAGATCCAGCTTTGTAATGTACTGATAGTCGAAATATTTAGTTGAAATTGAAAAATATTTGTCTTCTAGGCATTTGTATTCCACATGATGAATATCAACAATGCTCCTACTCAACAAATACATCACATTGCGAAAGAATTCTTGCATGGCGACAAGATCATGGTCAAATTTTACTTAATAATTTGCTTCTTGATACTTATCAATCACTATGTTTTGTTATAATAGCAAAAGAACAATATAAAATAAAATTATTTATAAATCAAAATCAATTTCTTGAACAGCGATCTGATTTTGAGTTCATTATCTATGATGGAAGTGAACAACAAAATAAAATTCTTGCTTCATCAAGTTGGTTTTCGAGTAAAGAAATTCTTCAAACACGCCAAAATTATATAGCAACTATTGTTGTTCGAAAACGTTCAATTCAATCATTATCAATAACAGCTAATCAACACGATGATGATGATGATGTTGTCGGATATTTAGACACAAAGAAAAACATTCAACGACGTGATACAAATTCAGTTCTATTAAACATAACATGGTTAACAAGTATTTGTCCAGATGATCAACGATTATGTGGTGGTCATTTTGAGACAAAATGTTATACCAAACAACAACGATGTGATGGTAACTATATTTATTTTAGATTGTTCAAAACAAAAAAAGAATTCCAATGCGGCGTTTTTTGTTCTTGTTAAATAGGTATTTGGGATTGCATTAGTGGCGATGATGAACTTGGCTGTTCGCCAGAATCATGTCCAACAACGTTCGCATGTAATGATCGTTTACGTTTGCCAACAGATCAACCGAGATGTTTTACATGGTCAGAACGTTGTAATGGAAATTCATTTTGTGCTAATCGTACCGATGAAAAATTGTGTTCGAGTTGGTGGTGTAATTCAAATAATGGAACATTTTTATGTAAAAATTTAAATTGTGTTTATGAAACATGGGTTTGTGATGGTAAGTTAAAACAAAATATATTCTTTCAATGAAAATCAATAGAAGATATGGAAGCTCGATCGTGATTTGTTTGCGCAAGATATACTGTATTGGTTTTGGTACCGGAATCGGAACCGGAATTGAGATCAGGCCGGAATCAATGAAAAATGATTTTACCGGAACCGGACCAAATAATCTTAGTCTTACATATCCTTCATTATTGATTGTACATATTTCACTTAAAATAATGTTCAACTATTAGTTTTATAAATTGATAATAAAAAAAAGCAAAATATTTTTTCTCTCTAGGTACTGATGATTGTGGTGATCATTCTGATGAAGTGAATTGTCCATCACGTTTACCTCGCCGTATCGTAACAGCTGCAGTTATTGGCGCCACTGTTTGTTCAACATTATTTATAATTGCACTTGGTTGTACATGTAAATTATTTCATTTACGTACAGCTGAACGATGTGCTACATCACGTTTACTTAATCCGCAACGTTATATTGAGCAACGTCGTCAAGAAATACAACGTGAACAAGAACGACGTTTACATCGACATAGTCGTCTACAGACATCAATAACATCTACAGATAATGTAGCATTGATAGCAAATGAAGCAAGTCGTATTGCACCACCTTCTTATAATCAAACAATGGGCCTGGTGGATGAAAATGAAGAAAGACAGGCAGCACTTGCTGAACATTTAAGACTTGCAGGTCTAGCTAATTATATTACATTGCCGCCTGTGCATAGTAGCAGTAGTTCAAGAACATCGAGATCGACATCAAGACATCGACATAGAAGACATCGTAGACATCGACATCATCATCATCGACGAGCCAATAGTGAAGGTAAATTAAATTGAATGAGGCGAACATATCTCATTGTTTATTTTTGTCTATTAAGGTTCGCGTGTTGCTTTACTTGAACCAAGTGTTGTAGTTCCCAATAATGCTTTTCCTATACCGTCTACATCGTTTTCTTCCAATCGTTTAAATCGATTTCGTTCTCAACTTTGTTCATTGTTTGCTGCTAATCCTACGACTCCCAATCATAATAACTATAATAACAGTATTCTTAGCAATTCTATATCAAATCAATTCGATATTTATGAACAGCATAATCAACAAACTTCAGTACAACCGATTATTCTTAGTACTCGATCATATTTTAATTCAGATTTTATGCAACCACGAGAACTTCCACCACCCTATTCAGAAGATCAATCAATATCGTCAAATCCAACAACAATTATAAATAGTCGGCGTAGTAGTATCGGTGTTGTTGTGGGTGGTGGTGGTAGTGGTAATGGTAATGGTAGTGGTAGTGGTAGTGATCATGAACCAACAAATTCTACTAATACAATATCATCATTGTATCGTATTCGTAAACAACAAATACCTATCAATACATTACGTGATCGTATGAGACAATTTATAACAAATTCAACAGTACGAGATGATTTAACTCATTCAATACAGCCGACTACAACAACATCAGAAATGAATTTCGAAGAACAGCCACCTGTTGCATCTATGGAAGACGATGAACAACCAAGTAGTGATGACGACAAAATGTTAACGCATTAATCGCATAGATTGATCTAGTTTTCATTTGTGTAAAAAGATAATTTATCTTTGTTGTATATCACAATTCTTCTTTTGTTCAATATTATTTCTATTAACCCGATCTGATGTTTGTCATGCAGGGGGCAAATTTTTATTCCAAACTTTTTTCTTCGTGTGTGTACCACAGTGATCATCTTTTCTTTTCTTTACTTTTCCTTTTTCTCTTACACATGTAATCGTAGCGTTTTTTCTTCTAGTTGTACTATAACAACTACCGAGATACAGTGGTTCTTGTATTTTTCTACATACTCACAAAGATTAACAAGTTTTTTTTGTCTATCCGCTATTATGTTTATTAAAAGAAAATACCGTTTTTATTAGGAATAAATAACTACATTATATATAACTACAACAGAATATATGTATGGAAGAACAACTAAAATATTCTATGATTAGACTCTCTCTAGGGTACTCATTTGTATTCATATATGATACATGCTGTCTCTTTTTCTTCTCATCATAACTCGTACTACGGTCAATTTCCAACAATGAACAGAATAAAGAACAAAGAAAAGAAAATTAATTCAATCTACATTGAAACGAGACATAGAATATTCCCGGTTTTTTTTTCCTGTTGTATCTATTCTTGTGGTAATGACAAGAAACATATAAGCACAAATCAACTAGTACTGTCCAACTGAGATTTCAACTAGTTAAACTGTATGTGCATAATATTAACAAAAATAGGCGGAATCAGTATAACAAAATGGTATTGTCGCATCATCGTCATTCTTATTATTCGATCAAAAAAAAAACTAGAAAGAGAGAGAGGGAGAGAATGCTAGAGAACCAGGAAATAAAGAAGAAGAAAAAAAGAAAAGCAGATAAAATTCGATTGTGATCAGTGACTAACTGGATCACAAGAGAATGAGAGTACATAACTCTATCTCTATATATTCTCAATATGCAGCGTTTTTTTTTAGTAGATAATAAAAATCACAGACACGCAACAAATAGACACATTAGATTCATCGAGTAAGCAATTCCAGTTTCTTATTTTGCTTTATGGACACCACATGCATACCAAATATTTCGTAAAACTAAGTGTATTCTCAAGCACTAGTAATCGAAAATAATGTTTTATTATTGCTTGAGAGTACCCCTTAATATTCTACGATCTATCATCTATGTTTAATCAAACTAATTTATCTTTCGATGAAGCTACTATTGATATTCATGCAATTGATAATTTGCAACTGTTAGTTTGTCAACGGAAACACAAACTGTTCTCCTGCAGTTGTTCTTTCTCATCTATATGCAGCGTTGTACTGTCTGTTAAAATAAAAAAGAAGACTTTTTCTCGTCAGATAATTGTATTTACAATCTATTTTCGCGCACTTGTAATATAAAATGACTAATTCTATATGAATATCATTAAAATCCGTATTTGATAGGTAACGACATCTGCTACCAGTTACTAAACTATCGGGTTGGCTAAAACTTCAGACCTGACTTTTTAATTCTCCTCTGCAACCAAGCAAAAAAATAAGTATTAAAACGTGAGCAGTTTTTTTTTATATTGACTCAATGCACCGATATAAAAGAACAAAAAAAAATTGACTTACATATTTTTTAGTTTAAGATAAATCACATTACATTGCCATGGATATGTTCATATTCGCCCTTGTGTTTTTAATATTTGTATGCTTTATCCTACATCTATATACGCGACAAGTTGAACCACAAATCAAAGATCCTCAATATCGAGTTCTTCAACAGATTTTTCTAATTGTTTATCTATTAGCACTTTGTAATATTCGAAACGAAGCTTATGAAATAGTTTCAAAAAATTATCATTTTAATTTTAGCTGGTGATTGGGTTCAAGGTCCTCATGTTTATGCTTTATATGAAAGTTATGGAATTCTAAAGCATGAGATTGAAATACTTTTTATTGCTGGATTTGGATCGTCAATGATATTTGGTACAATAATAGCTTCATTAGCTGATAAATAGTAAATAGACGGGGAAAAAATAGTCTCTAATCGTAAATATTCTTCGTTTAGCGGACGACGTAACACATGTTTATTATATGGAATACTTTACGGAGTATCATGTATAACAAAGGTTAATATAAATAAATTGTTCTTCTTTTTTGCATAGTTTAACTCTTTGAATTATGCAGCATTTTCCAAGTTTTCAAGTATTGTTTATTGGGCGAATACTTGCTGGTATGGCAACATCAATTTTATTTAGTGCCTTTGAATCGTGGCTAGTTAGTGAACATCAACGAGTATGTAGATTAAATTTAAATCGCAGCAAAATGTTTATACTGACTTTTGTTTTGTGTCTAGAGAGGTTTAGAATCTAAAACATTAGAAACAATATTTGGAAATGCTTATTTTGGAAATTCAGTTGTGGCTATACTGTCCGGAGTTATAGCTCAGATTGCTGCAAATACTTTTGGATATGTGTAAGATATTATAAAAAAAATATTTTCATGTTGAGAAATTTTCTATTACTAAGTTTCACAATATAAACTCTATTAAAAGATGTCCTTTTCTGGTGATTTGTTGCAGTACTTTAGTGATTTTTGATGCCAGTATGTACTAAATGTAAGGTGCGCGTAATTCCGAAATCGAGTAAATTTTTTTTCTCTTTATTTATCTATGGTTAGATAGAGCTCATTGAACTCTACAAAACTGTATATTTGAAAAAAATTTCAACTCCTTTTTTTGACTTAAAATATAAAAAAAACTTGATTTTTTGAATAATCAGCAAAATATCTGTTTTTTTTCACAAAAATTAGTTTTTTGGACTATTTTCATTGTTTCGCAAGCTCGAAAGAATTGGTTTCGGATAGAGCATGTAAAACTGCATATAAATGATATGAATTTGAAAATGAAGTATGATTGTTAAGGTATGCTAGGAGCCTAGACTTTTAGGCTTCTACGACCGTTTCATGCAATCGACTCGAGTAAATTGCAAAAGTATGTAGTCTCGCTAGCTTGGATATTCAGCCAAGATTTTCACTTCATTTTATTCAGGATATGACAGGGAAAAAAGTTACATATGATTTTATTTTTATTCCACACCGTTGATGAGAAATTCAATTTTTTCGAAATCTCAGAAAAATTGCTTAAAATCTTAGTTTTTATTCGAGATTTTGACCGTTAAAAAACATTTTTAAGTAAAATGGATACGATATTCGGAATCAGCATAAAAAACTGCATAAAACAATATCAATTTCATCTCAAAATATTTTTCAAATGAAATTAGACCTGAGGGGGAGCACAGGCGAAATTACTTGAAAAAAGAGCTGAGGGATAATCCAGGTCATATTTTTGATGAAAAACATTATGAGATGAAATTGATATTGTTTTATGCAGTTTTTTATGCTGATTCCGAATATCGTATCCATTTTACTTAAAAATGTTTTTTAACGGTCAAAATCTCGAATAAAAACTAAGATTTTAAGCAATTTTTCTGAGATTTCGAAAAAATTGAATTTCTCATCAACGGTGTGGAATAAAAATAAAATCATATGTAACTTTTTTCCCTGTCATATCCTGAATAAAATGAAGTGAAAATCTTGGCTGAATATCCAAGCTAGCGAGACTACATACTTTTGCAATTTACTCGAGTCGATTGCATGAAACGGTCGTAGAAGCCTAAAAGTCTAGGCTCCTAGCATACCTTAACAATCATACTTCATTTTCAAATTCATATCATTTATATGCAGTTTTACATGCTCTATCCGAAACCAATTCTTTCGAGCTTGCGAAACAATGAAAATAGTCCAAAAAAGGAGTTGAATTTTTTTTCAAATATACAGTTATCTAACCATAGATAAATAAAGAGAAAAAAAAATTTACTCGATTTTTGAATTACGCGCATCTTACATCCCTGACAATACACCCTGTATACTGGTTAGGCAGTAGTATTTTGATTTAAATCGATCACATGTTCTTTATAGCCTTCAAGTAGAAATGTTTGAATATAGTATCAGCGATATTTCCGACTTTCGACAAAGTAAATCGTTTTCTTCTGAAACTTTCTAGATATTCTCTAAGGATCATTAGTATACAATGCTTAGATTTTGAGAGAGAATCAACATAGTTCATTTTGAAAACATTTGATAATTTTAATATTAAATCATTCAGGGCTCCATTTGATACAGCAATAATTATATTTGTTGCTATGTGTTTTCTTGTGGTAACAACTTGGTCAGAAAATCATGGAGATGCTCATGCACCTATTTCTCAATCATTTCGATCAGCTTGGGTATCGATTAAGTCAGGTATATGATAAAAAAACAAAACTAAGGAATATATCTTTATTTATTTAATCGTTTTTCTTACGGTTTAATCAAGATCGAAAAATATTTCTCTTGGGTATTGTACAAGCACTTTTTGAAGCATCTATGTATGTATTTGTACTTGAATGGACACCGGCGTTAACTGGAGCATTGGATCAAGAATTTATTGATAAAACCGACAGTAAAAATCCGCCGATTCCACATGGTTTGAATGAAAACGATATTTTGTGAAATACGATCGAAATATCTTCTATGTATAGGATATGTTTTTGCAACTTATATGGTAGCAATGATGATGGGATCGAATTTCTTCAAGGTACTTTGTAATTATGCCGCTCCAGAGTCATTTATGAGGTGGGAAAAATTTGGATTTACATAATTGTGTATTTCAATCGAATTTTATTTAGATACATTGTTATCATTGCGGCAGTATGCTTGAGTGTACCTGTTTTCTTACCACGAGTAAATTGAAGCGATATATGAGTTTGATTCAACGTTAAACATCTTTTTTTGTTCAATAGGCTCAAGTGACCATGTTTTCTTCATTTTTAGTCTTTGAATTTTGCATTGGTGTCTTTTGGCCGTAAGCATAGTTAAAGCAGTGAATTAAGTTTAATTTTAATATTGATTATCTTAGTGCTATGGCAACCATGCGCAGTAAATATATTCCTGAAGAAGGTTTGTTTAGAAAATTTAATTTTTTTTATCAATTAAAGTATATTGTTCTTTTCGTTGGTATTTAGCTCGTGCAACTGTTATGAATTATTTTCGCATTCCATTGAATTTCATTGTTGTTGTGATACTTCTTAAAGTGAGTTATACTATAAAACAAAATCTTTTTTTCTCGTGTAAAATACAAATTTTTTATTTTATAGGATTTCGAGTTGAAAGTTATCTTTACGAGTTGTGTCTTTTTTCTTTGCCTATCTGCTATAGCTATGTTTTTATTACACAAGTGAGTCTCATAAAAGAGAAAAGTTTTTCTTTTCAATCCATATATTGTCTTCGTTTATTTTTAGAGAATCATTGAACAGTATCCATTCATTGGCTCCTATCAATAAACTATCAACCGAACAAGAAGAACAAATGCTACATTTGAATGCATCAGCCGGTGACAATGCAAATGACAATGTCTAAATGAGAAGCTCAACGGCATCAAACGAACTTTGTTTTAGACTCTCTTCAATTAGGATCTCAATTTCTCTGTATTCGTTTTTTCTTTTCTTGTGATAAGGTTTTCATTCTGACAAGTATACTGCGAATTTAAAACTTGCAAATTTGTGATCGTTTGCTTACATGTTTATCTTTTTCTCTACTTTTGATTGGTGTGATTTTGCACGTACTTTTTCTCGTCTCGCGTGGTTCTATTTACTAACAGAAGCAATTTTTTAAAAAATTGTGAGATATTTTATGGATACACAAACTAATAAAATCATTATGGGTTAAGAATACTATGATTGTTGTTTCGCCCTTGCCGTACTTTTGATTTCGAGCAAGTTTTCTTCTATCTACACAGTCCATTGTCTATTCAAAATCGAGGGATTAATCATATAAGATGATCAGTCAGTTATTGTCCGTTTTTCTTCTTAGCTGAAGAAGACGACTATGTTCTATGCATGTAGAGAAGGGTGACTTGTGTATATAACATATGAAAGAGAAAAGAAAAATAATTTAAACAGTTTTATCGTTCGTGTGTTCGTCAGTCTATACGATTGTGGATAGAATGGTTAGAGTACAAAGATACAGGTATGTGTCATCAAAAACTAACTTTTGAAAAGAATAAATCAAAAAGCAATGAGTCGAACTTAACGATACAATCTGTTGTCTCGTAGTACCATTCAAAACAACATTAAGGCAAATGTCATACAAAGTTTTATATAATTATAGGTGCTCTACGTTTATCAATGATAATTAATGTATTTGTTCTTGTTACTACATCGGCAGTATTTTATATATCAAAAGCACTTATATTTGAATTTGATTATGCAACAAAAAAAATAAGATGACCGCATACTTTTTGATTATGATGTAACATCAGCACTACAATAATATATTGTTAAGTGCATCAAAAGAAGAAGCTACGATAATTCCACATATATTAACAATTGAGAAAATTCAAAAAATGTAAGTTGACTAAAACCATAAAAACTTCAGAAAGATAAACATTTTTGCGAGTACTTGCTGTTTTAATATCGTAGAACTTTTCTAACCGAATTTAAATTAACTATTTCTGTGTTTGCATTTTTGCCGTACACTGGACGAAAAATAACTGCATATATTTCACCCTAACCAGTGCCATATACTTCACAGCTTTGAAGTAGGGTGAGCCCATACGAGATTTACGTTGTGATAGTTTCTTTGCAGTATTTGAATCAAATAGTTAATACTGGTAAACAGAAGGTAATAAATGATTTGCAAAGGCAAAGACAGGGAACGACTCAATGACAGTAAAATCATCAGTACTTTAAAGTAAACCAATGTGAAAAATTTAAATTATGATAAAAAGATTTCCTATTGAAAAGTAGTCAAATGAAAGAAAATTATAATTTCGTCTGGGTGTGATTGGCTAACAACAATGTACTGCTAGCCATGAAATAGTTGATCGAAATTCGAGATTCTCGAAAAGAAAAACATTCCGTATTGTTATATTCATTCTAGTTACTATCATCGATTGAACTCGACAAGATCTTCAAACACGTAATCATCAACAACCACAGCATGAATTATTTCCATTACGTATTCCATCTATGCGTAGTTTTTCTTGTTATTTTTTTAACTTCTAGTTTCAATGGTATTTGACAAAGACTATTTTTTTAATTAAGTGCAGGTGATATATTTCTAAACTATGATGACATTCTGAACAGTTACTATTCATATTTATTTCTTATCATTGATGAAATTGAATTATCATTCGCACTGGTCGGCTGAATAGCTCATTATTTCGAGAAAAGATTCGCGTAGAAGAACGGAAAAAAATCAATGAAATGCTTGCAATAGAATAACGAACTACACGAAAAGAAATGTCGTTAGAGAAAAGATTGAATCGTTATCTTTCTTTTGTTTTCTTCTTATGAACTTGTACAGATTGTTTATTTTCTTAAAAGGTCAGTTGATTATTGAATGTATTTCATTCTATGGTTCTAGATTTAATTCCAATCGATTCTTATTAACATCATGTCACATGTCCAACCAATAAAGCCACCACGTTATTCATCAACTTGTATGTTTAAGCAAACCTTTACGTTTGCTTTTGTTCGAATGAAAAAATGCGTCATTTTTCTAGATGAAGATGGTACATATCAATATCGACATGTTATTTTGGATAAGAGTACGTTAACAACAATTCCAAAGACTCGTCTAATGAACGAATATGAATGGCGTGCATTGGGAATTCAGCAAGGACCGCATTGGGAACATTATCTCATTCATAAACCTGGTAAAATCTTTTCATTTTAATATTCTTCTTTTAATTTGTTTTGTTTTTGATTAGAACCATTTGTACTTATGTTTCGTCGTTTATTAAAATATCGTGCTGAATTAAATCCAGCCATGCAACAACAAAATACTCATTTTCCCACGACACGAATGCCGACTAGTTCAACATTGAATTTATCAATCAGCCATCCACTTGGTGATTCAACAAATATGAAAAAGAACATGATTATCAATGGTGGATCTCGACTAGCTATAAATCATTATAAAACTATGCATGATGCTATGGATGAAAGCAATGATGACTTACGAGAATCCGACTTTGCTAGTCATGATTATGATGGATAGATAAATGCTGTGCATTAAGCTCTCTTTTTTTTAGTTTACCGATGTTAACAGATAATTCTTTTCTTTTTCTAAATTTCATTCTTTCATAATCTGATCAAATATTTTCGTTTCTTTATATAAAAAAACAAACTAAAAGCAATTATTTTATTTATTTTATTTATTTTAGATTCATTTATATTTGTAGCCGTTTGCACGTTCTTCTGTTAAATTCTACTGTTAGCAATGGCCGCTAAAGATGCTGCACAAAAAGAAAAAGAATCACAGAAAGAACAAATTTATTATTCCGATACATATAAAGACGTATGCTTTTTATTTAAACATTCTTCTCGATTTCAACTGTTTCGATTTAGGAAATGTACGAATATCGCCATGTTATTTTGCCCAAAGAAATTGCTAAGAAAGTAACGAAAGGTCGACTATTACCAGAACATGAATGGCGACATCTTGGTGTTCAACAATCTCTCGGCTGGGTTCATTTTATGATCCATGAGCCAGGTAAATGAAAACAAAAAATCAAGAATTAACTCATTACTATTTTCTTTTGTGTATTTATAGAACCACACATTTTGCTATTTCGTCGTTCACTCAAAGTTAGTCAACAAGTTCAACAGCAGCGCGCTGCGGCAGCCGCTGCTGCCCAAGCTCAACAACAACAGTTCAATATCCTACATATGAAATAACACTTTATTTTTTTCTTCTTTGAAATAGATAATCTCTCGTTCAACCCGTGATATAACATACCACATTGTAGCTTTGGGCATGTGTGTACATTTTTATTCTTGTCTGTTCTTCTTTTGTAATAATCAAACAATTACTTAAAAAGATACGCAGCATTATTAAGTTCTTTGATTGCCTATATATTCATATCTACGCTTGTCAGATCTAAGTGTTTATAATTATAAAACTGATCTGAATTATTTTCCTCTTTTTTCTTCTTATGCTTATTGTTCTTAAAATTTCGTCATGTCTTATTTTTTCTGTGCGTCGTGATAATGATATTAATGAAAAAACGATTAAAAAACGATTACGGAATATCTTTATCATAAATAATCGCCTAACTAGAAAAAACAAAAGCACGGCTTAGAACCGAAAATCTGATACAAATATAAAAAAGAAAAAAACATGTTATAGAATATTAATATTTAATATAATGATAGAAATATGCTTGAAAGCAATTCAAGAATATTTTTAGACATCGACAAATATTTCATCATTGGAAGAACGGTAACATCTGCGTTCGTATTAGATAAATATGACGTTTGCTATTCAAAATGTTCTTGTACGTCATATGGAAGGTGCGCTAAATGATGCATCATGTTAAATGTGCATGACAATTATGAAAATCGTTTTTGAGAAGGAGAACGAGATCCATGTTTATGGGTCTTAATAAATAGAGTAAGAAGGGGTGATATGGCACACGATTTTGAACTTTTGTCTTATTTTGCTCATAACTCTTTTATTTTAAACGATAGAAAAAACTTTTTGCTGGCAATTATATAGAAAAAATATTTTTCTATTCAACAGTGTTTTTAGATTTTGAAGATCTCATCTGGTAGCGTTTCCACAGAGGTTTTAGTGAGACCTACTATTCACTTTGCCAAATCACCCCTCATGGGGCGATTCGGCACGCAATGTATACATGCGGGGTGATTTGGCACAACTTTTTTTTTACTAACATTTTTGTAAATGATCATATTTTTATATGAAAGAAAAACTGGAAATTAAGATTGATATAGGCTTATAGAGAAAAATTTGGGCTATCTAATGATATATTTTTTATCAAAAAGTCTTTTGAAATTGTTTAAAAAAATATCTTTTATTAATCATGTAAAAAATACATGGGATTGCCAAATCATCCCGCATGTATACATTGCGTGCCGAATCGCCCCATGAGGGGTGATTTGGCAAAGTGAAACGCTACCAGATGAGATCTTCAAAATCTAAAAACACTGTTGAATAGAAAAATATTTTTTCTATATAATTGCCAGCAAAAAGGTTTTTCTATCGTTTAAAATAAAAGAGTTATGAGCAAAATAAGACAAAAGTTCAAAATCGTGTGCCATATCACCCCTTCTTACTCTATACACCATTTGATTCTCAATAACATATAACTCATTATGCAAACTTATAGCATGTCGTGTCATTTTTATACTTTCAACATGTATAATTGATGGTAAACAGTAAACAATTCTTTAGCAATGCTTTTTGATAATTTTTGGTTTTTTTGGGTTATTACGTAGATCAGCTGCAGCAGGCGGATGCCCACCTGGAAAACCATGGGTATATTGTTTGATTGATCCATGCACTGTGAATTCAATCTGTATCGTGATATTTCTTAACATATTGTATTAATTCTAGACATCTACATGTCCAGGTGATAAAAGTGCTACATGCACTGCTAATTATTGTGGTGGATGCAATGCAATTTGGACTTCAGCTAATGGTAAGTCAGCCAAGTGTAGTACGTGTCCATCTGGTCAAGGTGTTGTTCAATGTTTTGTAGACCCGTGCAAAGTAAGTTTCAAGAAAATAACTTATATATATTTTTCATGACGAATTTTTTAGTAGGATAAGACTTGTCCAAAACATCCTGACACTAAATGTGTCGCAAACTATTGTGGAGGCTACAGTAGTGTCAAACTTGGAACTTGAATTCAATTGATAATAGAAAGTTTCAACTTTCAACTCATAGCGATATATGTATGAGTCACGATTATTTAGAATGCTATTGGTTTAAAAGTTGAAAATTTCAATTTTCACTTGAATTCAAGTTTCAAGTTTGGCATACATGGGAGGCTACAATGCCGAATGGCTCTTAGCAGAGATGAGCACAGGACAAGATTTTCCTTCCTGTCCTGTCCTGTCCTGTCCAACATTGAGTTCATTCTACCGCTCGGCAGGACAGGACAAAAAATTTAGGACCGTCCGTCCTGCTGGCCGCACGACGAAATCTTATCCTGCCGCAAGGCAGGACAGGGCTATATTAGAATCTTTGTCTTGTCCTGCAGGACAGGATAAGGTGAGGGCGGGACAGGATAGGACAATTAGCATGGAAAGTAAAGCATATATTCCACCTTTTGGAAATTATATGACCAATTTATTTCTTCACGATTTTGATTCATCACAGTTCTATCCATAATCAGCAACTAAGTTATTAAAGACAAAAGAAAAGAATAAATACAATACGAAAATAGTTTGATAACACATATCATACAAAATATATGCAGCTCGATCTATAAATGCATCATCAATATAATGAAGCTATCACAACGAACAGCAATACAAAAAAACAAACACAAAATCTTAGAGATTTCAGCATTATAAATATGCTCAAGTCCAAAACAAAATCATAAACGTAACAAAAAATAACATAAATAATTAGAAAAAATCTTCATATTTTTGCATAGATCGTACTAGGAGAATGTTGTCTAATTGTTCTGGATCTAGATCAGAGATGAGCACAGGACAAGATTTTCCTTCCTGTCCTGTCCTGTCCTACATTGAGTTCATCCTGCCGCTCGGCAGGACAGGACTATCTTAGAATGTTTGTACTGTCCTGTGCTTATCTCTGGCTCTTAGCCAGTGGACAACAAGTACAATGTGGAACTACTGCTAGTCGTAGTTAACTCATTTGATTCAGAATTTATTTTGAATAATTCTTCTTCTGAATAAAAAGAAAGATAATGATAAGAAAGAAAAATAAAACATTCTCAATTTATCAAAACACATCGTTACAAAGAAAAAAACAGATAAAAATATAATATAGGTTTTTATCAAACAATAAACATGCTCCGTTTTATCGCTGTTGCCACAATTTTAGTGCCTTTAATAGCAGTTCTATTCGGTATTATAGAGAATGCTCAATATGTAAGTCTACCTAAATCGAAATATCTTGGTCCAATCCAAGATCGTCTTCCATCGAAAAGCGATGAGTTTGGTCGTTATACGAAACCGCTAGCACTCATCGATTATTCATGGACCTCTTCATCAAAATTATTCGATTTTATTGCATTTAAACATTGGGATTTCAAGTCAGTTTCAACATCAAATTACTTTATTGTCGCTGCTATCGCAAATTTTAATTATGTTGCCAATGCATTTGTCTATATTATTGATCGAACCAGTCAAGAAAAAACAATTTATCAATATGAAAGTAGATCTATTTTAGCACAAGCTATTAAAGAGCAAGCCAAGTCATCTATTGATGGATGTACACATTATTATCAATCGTCATCAGAATATATTCGTCTATGTTATAATACAAAAGACAAAGTCTATGAAATCGATATAAATGTACCAATGAATAATGGTCATCAAGTATCATTAGATTCAAAAATAGAATATTCAAATGAAAAACATCAATCCATGGTTTTAGTCTATCCAGTTGAACAAACTCGTCCAGCATATACACATAAAATAGCTGGTTTATCTGCTCGAGGAAACATAAAAATAGATAATAATAAAGAAGAAGAATTTCTGGACGGTGTTGGTAGTATTGATTGGACTTCAGGTTATCCAGAAAGATTATGTCGATGGAAATGGTAATTGATTCATTGAAATGAGTAATTTGATTTTGATTTTTAGTATTTTAGGGTTTCTCTTTCGACAACAGGAACAAATTCATCTAATGAGGAATCTGTTACAATTGGTATAAATCTTTCTGATTTAGTTTACAATGATCAGAATGGTGTTTCAATGGAAAGTGCTGTTTGGTGAGTTCAGTCATATTAAAAAAATCTAATCAAGTTAATAAATATCGTACATATAATTATATATATATATATAGGATGAACGGACAAGTATATACAGTCAATAAAATGATCTATGAATTACCTGAAGAAAAACATCAAACGAAACAACCATGGAAAATCTATTCTTCAGAAGATACTAGTTCCGAAAGTCCTAAGATTCGTCTTAATTTTCAACCATGGGGTAGTCAAGAAGAGCATATCAATGTGTTTCTTGTAACTGGAGATTTCGTTCAAGTTTTTGGTATTTACAGTGGAACCATAGAGTTATTTGGTCAAACGTATATAATTGAAAATGGTTTTGGTGTTGCAGAAAATCATCGTGCTAAATGGTGATTCAAATTTCATGGTTCGAAAAAGAAATACTCTAATATTAAACAAATTCATTAGTTATTTATATGTGTTTTAATGATTATATGCATAGATACATTTATATTTCCTAATAATAATATATATACTAAATAGATAAAGAAAATTTTTTAAGTATTATATATTTCTTGATAAAATTGAAGAGAAAATAACAAAATAAATTGTGCATTGAAATATTTAATTACTTAGAAATTAGTTGGATTGGAAAACAAAATTAGTATATTTCTCTTGTAAACTTGTACTACCTAAAGAAATGACTCAAAAGATTTCAATAAAGTTTGACCTATATTACTTTTCTACAGGACTAAATCGTTATGCGGTCTTTTTTTTATCTCTTGATACATCAACATAGGATAGTGTTTACATACTTTCATAGTAATAGAACAAAATAATAGACGAAAGAAAAACAGCGATGTTTACAACATTCTCTTTTTTTCATGTGTAATAGTTAGTGATAGATCTGTGCTAGTACGTATGCTCGTACACAGTAACACTTGAATATTTCTGTAAAAGAAAATTTGCAATAAAAAAGAAAATTTACAATAAAAAAGAAAATTTACAATAAAAAAGAAAATTTACAATAAAAAAGAAAACTTATGTTATCAATGTCTCCGCCGAAGCGCATTCGTCATGCAATGCATACCACCACAACCCTCTAGTAAACCGTCAGTTGGAATTAAACCGACTCGACAAACATTGTTCTGAATCATTTGTGCAACAATACCTTTTTTTCCGTCACCTCCTTTGTAAGTCAAAACATGACAATCATCAAGTACTAATACATTGTGGCGACATTCTCGTTGTTCAACGATAGATGTTGCTTCATCTGCAGCATCATAAAATATTAATTCAGAATCGTTGAGTAATTTTCGAAGTGCTTGACGAACATCATGTCCATGTGAAACCCATCTTGCTTTAATTAACATATTATTATTACCATCATGAGTTTCTATTGTAAAAACGCCCATTTGATTAGCTAATAGACCATGTAAAGTAAACGCATGTTTACCGACCGTAGAAAGAACAGTATCAAGATGCATATAATCACGTTGCGGAGGTATGACAATAGCAATAACTTGACGAAAAAGACCTGTTCTTGCTAGCGCTTCAATACTGCTGCGATTCGTTCGTTCACCACAGCCAATAAGTAAAATTCCTTGACCATAATAAGCTAAATCACCCCCTTCAACAGTTAGATATTCTTGATCATTATTTCTTGTTTCCCATTCAACAATTTTCAAACCTGAAGTCGATAATCGTGGATGATATTGAAATATGACACGAAAAATAAGAGGTTCATTTTGACGAGCTAGTTTAGCCATACGCCAAATGAAGACATTTTTTTCAATAACTGAAAAAGCATCACGTGTGAACAAAAGGTTAGGTAATGGTGGAATAATAAATTCATTATTTCGATCATACATTGCTAGAATTGTTGCAGCATAATCTGAATTTCCTAATTCAGCTTTTGTGCAGGCAACACCAGTTATGACATCTTCAACTAATTGTTCTGGTGTACGTGTTAATAGCCATTGATTAAGAGCCATAATTAAATCTTCATGATCATGATTTATATTGTAGAGACTATTTTTAACAATTCCTTCAATTAACATATGACAAGCTCTTGTACTATGCATGAGTGTTTCACGTAGAAGTGGTTTTACATAAAGAATTTTTGTACCATGATCGCTTAAATATTTCGTGAAAATATCATGCGATTTTTTTGTTGAATTAATATCAGGAATCGCATCAAATAGTAGTTGATCAAGATTGTGTTCGTTTAACCGAAGAAGTTCATCACCTGGTCGATGCATAATAGTCAACATCAATTTACCACTTTCAGATTCATTACCAACATCAAATTTAGAAAACATTTTTATTAATTTGAACTGATAGAGTTTGATACAGAATATATATATATATACATATATGATGAAAAGTGAGCACTATTTATATCAATTCAGAGTATTAGTAACAGGGGAATCAGCCTACGTAAATTGTTGCCAGCATTTCGATTTTGCGTTCTTTTTTTTTGTTGGATATTCTTTTATGTAGGTCAGTAATACGCAGATCTTTTTATTAAAGTTGACTCAAATGTCTACATCGTCTACGCCATTGTAGGTATGAAATGAATCATCAACTATTTTGCAGCACAAAACTGTCCGCACAATAAGTTTCCATGCTGTGTAAGACACACCTCTTACTCTTGAATCAACACATGGCTGTTAGATAAGAAAAATATACGTATATAATACTTCGAGAATAGTTCTATACTTCAAAATTCCTATAAATAAAAATGACGTTTCATTTTTATGAATCATATCTTTTTTTGCGACTTTCTTTTTTATCCGTTGTCGAATAACCTTGAAAAAAACATGCCGGAACAAAAAAAAAACACTTCTATCCATTTTGTTTTAATGATGATGTGTGAATTTTTAGCTGGTTGAAAATTTCTGAGTAGAAATAAATTGAGAAAAACGGTGACAATTTAATCAATCATAAACCAATCAAATTGAACTTGAATATGTGGATCTTATTATAGCTTCAAAATCTTAGTAGTCTATTTCTCTTAGGAAAGCAATGGTTTGAAAGAAATGAAAGAAAACATTTCTACGTTGTTATAATTTTCAATTAAAGTCGTACCAATTAACTCGTTTTCTTAACGATTCTAACCGAACTCTTTCTTATTGTTATTTGGGAATGATGAGTTGTCGTTTCCAATCATTTCTATTCCGTATCTTGGCAACGACACATCCCTTTCTTTTCAACTTGAGAATGACTTCTAGAAAATCTGTTTGGTGAAAAGTTAGCTCGCACTGTTAGCTCTATGCTTGGGGATGACACCATAGAGCTTTGCTATACTATGTATATATATATATATATATATATATTAGCCTACATACATGAATGAATATGCAACCGAATGGATGAGTATATATATGTATATAGTCAACACGTGTATTGTAATGCAAACAATAACAGTATAACTACACGTAACAAGAAGTACGACCAGAACGGATAATGAAAACAAAGGATGACCAGGATGATGAGAATAGAATGAATAAAGGATGTGTGTGAGTGGAACAACATGTATATATAGGGTACACGGTACACACACCGATCACGCGCTGATTACACAAGTGGCCACGCAACAAATGACGTCATGTCATAATCATATACTAGCTTAGCGTTAGTGTATATTCACTGACGCTAACACGCACTTAAACCGTTGGAGTAAAAACCATTAGATGTGTGAAACCGGATGGAAGCAATTTCAATTTTCGTGATCGAAATTCACATTTGAACAAACTTCGAACTAACCGAATGATAGATGTACAAATCAGACAGCAGAATAATAATATTCTTTCGAAAATTTTCAAAAAGCAAGCAGTTCTTCAAAATAACGACTTTGCTGAGAGCTTTGAGCGAGCTAAATGCTCCATTCGTTCGATGAAATCAAAAGATCTAAAAACATGTTTTTCGTCGAATGGAGTTCTCCAATCTGTGATCTCTAGAAGTACCTTATTCTTCGCCCGATTTTTCACGTTTGGATTTCATGATGCATCTAACCAATTTTCAAACCGTTCACATCTCGGTAGTCAAGGAATCCCGGCAAGATGCTCCCCGGATAGTTGCTCCGCAGTGCCACTTGCTCTCCGGACATTTGCTCCCCAGAGACACTTGCTCCCCGGACACCTGCTCCCTAACTGTATTTAACAAAAATGTTAATCAGCACGAGATTAAGATATAAATTTATTTATTTGAGGGTGTGGGTGTATCGGGTGTGAGTGTGTCAGTACAAGTATGGACAAATGGTTATCCTCTTCACTCACCCACACCTACACTGACACCCACACTCACATCCACACTAACACCCACACTCAGATTCACGCTCACACTCACACCCACATCCACACACCGACAAATAAATAAATTTATATCTTAATCTCGTGCTGATTATTTTGTTAAATACAGTTAGGGAGCAAGTGTCCGGGGAGCAGGTGTCCGGGAAGCAAGTGTCACTGGGGAGCAAAAGTCCGGGGAGCAACTATCCGGAGAGCATCTTTCTGGGGAGCATCTTGCCGTTTACCGTAGTCAAGATATACCTACGCATTTCTACTGCTTCTAGCAGTGGTCACAGTGGCTAGAGCAGCGGCTAGTCGTTTGTCGGTGCCTTTCATGGCTAGCCGATGTTTGTCTACCCAACCTCCCATGCAGCACAATATGCAATTTTGTGAATGTACAACTCATTTTAATTTCGCTAAACTAAGAAAAAGAATCGGTGCTTCAGAAAAGAACTCCTCACGTGAAATTCGAAACTACTTCTTCGTTAAATCTATTTCTAAGAAAGAGTGCTATATTTATATTCGCGAGAACTCGCATTGAATCGAAACTTTCTATTGACAATATCAAGTATCATCTCACAGAAATATTATTCTCTCTTCAATGTTGAACACTTTCCAGACGAAATTGAATTGAAATATTCCCATTAGAAACTAGTCGCTCGTCAACGTACCTCGACATGATGTGAAGGGTAAGCTCCATCACTAAAACAAAACTACAGCTGATCGCCAAATGATTCTTGACAATCTCTAGGAAATCATTCACACAGAAAAACTAAAGAAATATCTCAGAGAAATACTACCATATGCGACAAAATGTCGAGCAAAACGAAAATCGTATCCGGACTCCATGTACAAGAATCGTAAACGATCACGCTTGTTCGATCTTGACTTTGGTCAAAATGTACAGAGTCTAAATATCTTACCTAAAAAACTTGATTCAGATTTTGAAAAACTAATTGTAGATTCAGGCTTCTCAACCCAGATTACCCATAGTAAAGTTTGATTAACGGACGGTGGAGCCTAAAACAAAGGAAAAGTCTCATATATATATATATTCTTTTGACTTACCACAAACAGACAGACAAACTTATTTTTATCTCATATGAACCTCCCCAAAGTCAAGGGAATAAAAAGAATCTTTATGCTTGTAAAATGGCAATCAATGAATTCTTTGTTTCCAACAGATAAAATAAAGAAAGATTGTTTTTTCCATCATCGGTGAATAGACGAAAGACTAATACAACAAATACGATATCTTAATCGATATGATTTCCTATGAGCAAAATCAGCTCGAAATCTGATACCATTGAAAAATAAAGTTGATTCATGAAAATTAATACGCAAACACTTTTCTGATGATCATATTTCTGCATGTAGTAGCATATTTTCTTTTGTGAGCTACGCTGTAATAATGAAACATTAGGTTCTCAATGACAGACGAGTCTTACTATTTACTTTACGTTTATTTGATGAAGATAAATTAGAAAAAAAGTCGTTATCTGTATTTTACAAGAATAAATATTTTATCTATCGTTATACTTTAAATAGTAAAAATCTTGATATTTTTATTGTACAAAGATAACTATTTTATTCTTTATTATAAGGCAAAATAAAAACAAAGTACCACATCTGATTTGAATTGCGAATAGATAATATTTCTCGTATTGCTTTTCTAAGATTCGGATAAATAGAAGACTGCGATTTAGTTTATTACTTCAACTGGTAAAAACTTCAAAAAGAATGTCTTTCAACGTGACCAATTCTTTATCTTAATTACAATGACTAAATTGCTCTAAAAAATATAGATCAATTTTTAGACTTTCTAGAAACACTGCAATAATTTGAAGAGGTGCAACTCGAAAGACTTAAAGTCAAGAATATTTTGGCTTAGCTACTCTATCAAATAAAGGCGCTTTTTAAGTAGTCTCGCAACCAATTAAAAGAAATATCTTCACTAAACATTTTACAAAAAAATGTTCATTTTTAAATCAATGTAGTGTTTACGAGCGACATCTAAGTACAATAGAATGTATTTTGTTGTCCTTGACACCAATGGACTAGTGGAAATCTGTGGATACAAACTTTTTTGAGTGACTGACTGCTTTGATCGGTCGATCAATACTTGTTCTTTTTTTCTCTCGTACTTATTCGAACGGCTTTGAGGTTTGTTGTTAAATATTTCTTTTTTTTCTTTTATTTAATGTATTTATAAAAATATATTTCAAGATAAGAATGTCATCATCGAGCAATGGCACAGCTAGTGTTGAAGTAGGATTGATTCTCTTGTATTGAATTAGTGTTATCTTGTACGATTAATTTTTAGTCACTTGCTGAAGTATTTCGTTGCTTCATTTGTATGGAAAAATTACGAGATGCTCGTCTTTGTCCACATTGTTCAAAATTATGTTGTTATCCATGTATTAGAGTAATGAGTTATTTTCAATTTTTGAAACAACATCAATCCATATTTATATATTTGTATAGAGATGGCTTACCGATCAACGTCAACAATGTCCACATTGTCGAGCAACACTTCGTTTACATGATCTTGTAAATTGTCGATGGGCTGAAGAAGTAACCAGTCAACTTGATAGTTTAAAAGTCAGTGAAATGTGTAAACAAAAACGTGAAGAAAAAGACAAGTCAGTTCTAATCAGTATTCTAAATAATAAAACAACTACAGTTTCTATTTTGTTTTTCATTTTAGATGCGAAGTACATCGAGAAAAATTAAGTGTGTTTTGTTCATCATGTTCAAAATGTATTTGTCATCAATGTGCTTTATTCAATGGTTCGGTTAGTAGAATAAAGAAAGAGGAAAATTTTCATTTAAAAGTCTAAATTTTATTTCTATTAGCATGCTGGCCATAATTTTCTTCAACTCGATGATGTCTATCAAGCAAATATATCTGCTGTGAATGAACATATTGGACAACTCAAACGGCGTCATGTTGAACTTATTTGTTTAATACAAGATGTGGTATGTATCTTTAACTGTATGCAACGAATAACAAACAAACGACCAAGTTCTTGTTTATTATTTTGTCTAGGAGAGAAATGTTGAAAGTGTCAAAGCCGCAAAAGATGAACGACTTCGAGAGACACGAAATGCAATGCATGTTATGCAAGCTAAACTTGATGAACAACTTAAAATCAAATTAGACGCTTTAAATGGTAAGTTGGGTATTGAAAAAAGAAATGTTTAAATATCAATGAAAAACTTTGCTATTTCCTATTGGCTTAATCCGATTATGTACTGTTGCGTGCTTTACATATACGGCTCGACGGAGTGAGCAACCTATTGCCGTCGAATATGTTAAACAAAACAGAAGTCCTTGAATGCCTAACACAGTGACATACTCAATCGTTCAACTTCTATGAGAAGGTTCCAATGGAAATAAAAAAAATGTTCAGCTTTTCAAAATAAAGTATTTCTAATTGAACTTTAGCCGGTAGACATGGTTGATTACCTTGAACGTTTCAATGTTAAAAAAGATTGACTTACATAAAACATTGAATATTCTATTGAACTCAATTAACGTGTTCTCTTGTGACAGATTGCTGCTTTCTGAACATGGAATATTTTTAGAACTTTTAGTTCTATCGAGAGTTCCGAGATGTTTTCTTAGAATTAAATAATTCACTTCATCCGTTTAGATTTTCAAGATTTGGAATCTATGTTCGACAGCTCTTGTTCATAAAACATTCGATTAAATTCTAATGAAGAAGAGTCAATGGTGATAATAAAATTAGTCACTAGTGTGAAATTTATTGACTTATCAATGAAAATAAATTCAAAGCGTAGCGAAGATAAAAATCTGTTCTTTTTCTCGCCCGTAGTTTATTCTTTTCAGACATCAGCTGCATTTTTTCCCCATAAACTAAGAGCATGTACATTAAGTTAGAAGAATTGATCGTCGTGGGAGCCAATCGAATACTTCAACCATAGTGTATCATGTTCTTTTTCACGGTCTATGTCATCATGGTAAAAGGAGAAAACAAAGTATTCTTGAAAGTTTGAAGTATAGCTTAAGGAACTGTGTGACCGACATTTTTTCGTCATGGTCATGGTTAAAAGCATTGGTTACGGTGATGTTGATAGTTGCATCATCAGTATCATCATAACAAATTCGCACTTATCTAGTATGACTATTTGACATAGACTCAATGCACCTTGAATTTTGATCGATACACTCAATGCACAGCTCATATTTTAAATTAGTCAGCTAACTAGTGAAAGCATTCATATGATCTTCTATTACCAAAAAGAAATAGTAGTCGCGTTTTGAATTGAAATATAGCAACTATTAAATCGTGAAACATCCTATTGATTGATTATTTCTATTTTTATAGGTCAACGCCTTCAATTCTCTCGTGAAACAGAATTAATTGAACATGTTTTACAAGATATCGAACATCGTGTATCGACAAGTGGTAAAGCTGAAGTTATTGGTAAACAGCAAGATCTTCTTAATTCTATTCAAATGATTTATCGAAAACCAATGACAAGTTTTGTTACAACACCTGTTCCATGTGATTTTCCTAGGTAAATCGATTTTTTCCCCTACATATAAATAGAGTAAACGAAAATTTATTTTTTTGTTTTTCAGTGAAATTGTTCCACAATATGATTCTAGTACATTTGTCATAACAAATTTTTCGATTCTTCGACATAATGTTGATCCAATTTACAGCCAACCATTACATGTGAATGGATTGACATGGCGTTTAAAAGTTTATCCAGACGGTAATGGTACTGTGCGTGGTACATATCTATCAGTATTTCTTGAACTAACGAATGGTTTAAATGAACCATCAAAATATGAATATCGTGTCGAAATGATTCATCAATTAAGTAAAGATCCATCGAAAAATATTGTTCGAGAATTCGCATCAGACTTTGAAATTGGAGAATGTTGGGGTTATAATCGATTTTTTTTACTCGACGCTTTAATATCCGAAGGATTTTTGGATACTGATAATGATATATTAATATTACGTTTTCAAGTACGTCCACCAACATATCATCAGAAATGCCGTGATCAACAATGGTATATTGCCAATATCGAAAATGAAAATCATTATTTACACAATGAAATCAAACTTTTGCGGGAAAAAGTTCATTTTCTTGCATCAAATAAACGACGTAGTTTACCATCAACGGAGAAAAACGACAACGAAGAAATACTTTCAACTAGTCCAATTGCGGATAATAATATTAATATTGATAATAATTATACTAACAATAACCAACGAGATAATGCAGGAAAAACAAATATTGTAGATGTAACAAGAAGAACTGATCAAGAAGATGAAGACGATGATGATGAACATACATCTCTTGAAGTAATCACTATTTATTTTTTATATGATTTTATAACTAAGTTTTCTTTTAGTCCGATCCATCGTATCATATGGATTCTGAAGAATTAAGTTCAGATGACGATGATGATGACGACGACGACGACGACGACGACGATGAAAATGATATTGATGTCGAAACTGCGTAAGTTATATTTTTTGAATTCTTTTAAAACTGAGATTTTATTGACAGTATTTCATCTGTGCGGAACTAATAATTTGCTTTCTAAGTGGTCAGAGCTCCTTTTGAAATAGTAGATCAGTATTTATTTATTCAGCTTACGGCTAGGCATTTTTTGAATCACATTTTTTGAGTCATTAACTCATAGGAATCAAAGTTCCCAATAGACATTATATTTTGTAAACGAAACTCGTGAGTATATATCTCGACTGTAATGGTAGTTGTACAAATATTCTCATCGACAGACAGTAACCGAACATAATACCTCAATCTTGAGCAATAGATATTTGTTCTTCTGTTACTCTATTTAACCAGTGATCGAAACACTTGTGGCGTATCTTTTAGACAAAAATGTTTTTTATTGTTGACATAGTTGTTTAAAACAAATAAGATACAGACTTGAAAACTAATTTCTATCAAATGTTAAAATAAAATTTTTTTCCTTCAATAGATTAACTGAAAACGACGTCGAAGAAGGCCCAACATGTAACATAACAACTTTTACTCTTAATGATCGATCTACACCTACGGAACAAAGTCTTCACCAACGATATTCTCTTATTATTGCTTCTCCTGCTGTCAGACCAAATGATGTAGCAACAACGTCTACAGCAGCTACAACAACACAGACAGCATCAACAGTAGCAAATCCTGATATAATAACAACAGATCCTGTAACATTAAGCGTTCTGTCAGCTGATATTGATAATATTGTTCAGCATGCATTCGATAGATGGAAAAATGAATCTATGGCAGTGAATAATCAACCTAGTATTATGAATGAGTCATCACCATTTAACAATGATGACTTTTTACTTGCTGATTTTTTACAACACTCTGAAAATGATCCACCACGTGTAGTTTTACGTTCATCAGGTAATTTAATGAATCTCTCTTTTCTATTTCAGGTTCAGAATTATTGATCGATACATCTGATGGACTCGGTGCTTTTCTTTAAAATCTTTCCTCAAACTTAATTACGTTCACTAGAATTGTTACATCCAATAGCTAGATCTCAAATAAAACGAGATGCATAAATCTGTTCTTTTTTTCATCATTAGATAATCAACCAAATATTTCTTCTCTATTCCGCCCAATAATACAAAATAGTACCAATGAATCTACTGCTTCTTCAAGTAAATATACATATCTTTTTTTTAACTATATGAACTTATCTCTTCGTTTGGTCTAAATAGCAGCAGCTGTAATTCATGCATTTCATCCACAATATCAAACGTCATTGAATAATTTGATGTTACTTAATTCTCAAATTCAACGATCAGTGTCTCCATCGGATCTTAGTCCTCCACAAAGACCTCGCAATCGTCATCATCATCATCGTCATTCAACAACGGCACGGCGAACACAAATAACACCAGCTGTTGTTGTTAATGATGAACAGCAATCATCATCTGAACATAATAAAAATAATCTATGAAAGAATACTTATTCTTCTAGAAATCTCATCACGAGGAAATCATTGTCTTTTTTTTTCTTTTTTTTCTTATTATCACACGTATGTATAATTGTTTCTCTGTGATGTAACTGTCAATAGATTAGAATTGAGTGACTACGAGCATTTGTATCGGTCTATTAATTATTTATTCTTTTGTCAAATAAAAACGAAAATCATTTTGTGTGAGTTTCAAGTTTGAAATGCATTCAAGAACATAACTGAGTGTGTTTTAAAGATTGCATATATATATATTTATATGTGATAAAAGATAATGCATTTCAAGAGCGACATGTTATTCGAATTCTAATGGAGTAAGTACACAGAGGTTACCCAGCAACAACCCTTTTGAAAATACCTACAATTAGTTCAACAAAAAAATTCTATTAGTAACGTAAAGAATCATTTCAACGTTAATAACTGTACATGTATGTATGTATGTAACACATTGAGATGTCGGAGGCGTGAGTGTCTGATTAAGATTCCTTCCTATTCGTTCTTTATATTCCGTTGAGTAAAAAGCATCACCTCACACTTGTCTGACCGACATAAAAAATTTTCCAATAAGTTAACAAGTTTTATTGTCATCAAAAACTAATACAAATCATGCCACCTAAATCTAATACAAACGGTTTTTCTAATCGATCGAATCAATGCTATATGCCTGCTTGGGCTACACTTTGGACTGTGATCGGGTCACTTGTTTGTATATGGGATGCAACTTATATTATAACACGACCTCGAAGTATGGCAAACGGCGATCTATTTCATATATTTTCCCCTTATGCAAAATATATAACACTTGATCCACTGTATGGAAATCTACAAAATGCATTTGTTATCGCACAAAGTTGCATGAACTATGTTGAATTAACTCTTGCATTGTTATCAATTATACTTTATCATATTGTTGGACAACGTAATCTAGGTTGTCTTCTTCTATTAGTAGCAAGTGCGATGACATGGTCAAAAACAATATTATATTTTGTGCATGATCATTTTGAACGATCATTACATCCGGAAAGATCACCTGTTCAAATAGAAGCATGGGAATATATATGTCTATTTATTATGCCAAGTCTCGTTTGGGTTGTATTTCCGTTTGCCTGTATGTGGAGTATAGGTCGACAGATACTTCGTCTACTCAATGTATCAAATGAAAAAACGAAGTATTACTAGCGATGAGTCGTTCTTTTTCACTTTAAAGCAAAATTGCCCTATACCTTATGATTTCAATCGGTAAAACAGATGAATATTAATCAGCATAATGTAATTAAAAAGAACTATTGTGATTTCATTTTAATAAATTTTGTGAAGTAAAATTAAAAAAACTTTTATTTAAAAATCATAATGGATATTTTCAACAGATTAGTAAAAGGAAATATCTTGATTGATGTCATTCTCTTTATTAAACTAAAATAATCGTAGGTCTTGTTATTGACTCTTCTAGAGCTACGATATCTGTATGAGCTGCAGAATTGTAACATGAGAATACCGTTAAATCTCATTCACGAATGAATTTCATTCAATTAAAAATAATAATTATTGATCAGAACTAATAGACATCGACATAGATATGCTTGTCAAATGAGAACGTTATCTTCGAAAAAAAAGAGCTTCAAGATCTGAATTGACGTTTTTATGAAACCGTAGCCTTTTCGGCGAGGGCATGAATCCTAAAAATTTTCTGCAAACTAATTCTAGCTCACAGAGATAGACTTCGATAAGAATATATTTCGAATACTTCTTATCCTGACACATAAATTTGTGATGCCAGGGCGTGATTTTTATAGCACTCCTATTCACTGGCATACTTCATGTTCTTATATGCAAGGTAGGAGCAACAATTCAGAAGACCAGAACATTGTGTTACTTCAATTGATGTTTGTATCGAATCTAAATTTCGAGTTGAAATATCAGACTTTCTGCAATCCGTAAGTAGAAAAGATAATAATTGTAAATGATTTACTGTGAAACTGTATTCACAACTTTTTTACGTCTTCATCATTGACGGATTTGCTCCGTAAGAAATAAAAGTTGACATAAATACTTGATAACTGCACCATATGTTTATTTAGCAAAAAGTGAAAATAGATTTGCTTCTGCCTCATAAACGTATAACCATTCAACAGAAACACAGAAAAACTTAAATAGTAGTAGCTGCAGCTGCTGCTGCACTTGGATTATGAATCATAGCTTCGCCTAATGAGTCCAGTAATTCTTTTCTATAATCATCAAAATCTCCGTCGATTTCATTGATTTGTTTGTGTTCAATAACCCACAGTTGACAGTTTGTTTCACGTATCAGTCTTTCGTCGTGCGAAACAATGATGACACCACCTTTGTATTCATTAATTGCCTCTGCTAATGCATCGATTGATTCAATATCGAGATTATTCGTAGGTTCATCAAGAATCAATACATCAGGTTGACGTGCTATTAAATCTGAAAGTGCAACACGAGCTTTTTGCCCACCAGATAAATCTTTCATTTTTATAGGATGAGCACGACCAGGTAAACCAACACTTCCAAGCGATTTTCTTGTATCTTGTTCGGGCATATTAAATGATCGTCTTAAATGTTCAATAGCTGTTAATTCTAAATCGAATTGTTCACCGGCATGTTGATCAAAACGACCAATACGAAGACGATGATTTCGGCGAATTTCACCACGAGTCGGTTCTATCACACCCATTAGTAATTTTAAAAATGTACTTTTACCTAAACAAATAAGCAAAAATAAATAAATAAATATATTCATTTTGTTAAAATTTTTTCTTCAGTAAATATTTTCATAATGATCTTCAGTCTTACACAATCATCATTACTATTTAAAATCTTTACGAATTCTAAATACATACGATCTATCTTCTAAGATTTTTATGTTAGCATGAAAATAAAACTCTTGATCTACATACCAACACCATTTGGTCCAACAATTGCAATTCGACTAGCCATATCAATGCCAAAATTGAGTTTTTCAAAAAGTGTCTCACGATTTTCATAACCAAATGAAACATCAAATGAACCTAATACTGGTGGATTCAATGGAGGTGGCGATGGAAAACGAAATCGAACTTGATATTCTCTTGGCTTTTGTAATAGCTCTTTTTTATTGACTACTTCCTCATCATTGGTTTCTTGTTTTCGTCCGCGAGCTTTGTCTTTTGATTTTTGTTCTTCACGTTTACCAACTTTTGCTGATGCTTGTTTTGATGAATGACCTTGTTTTTTCAATGCATCTAATGCACGCTCTTGTTTTTCATAATCTTTTAATTGTTGCGAACGTGTTTGTAGAAGCATTTTTTTAAACAATGAATAATTGCCTCTGTAGTAATATAATTTTTTTCCATCCAAATGTATGACATCCGTACATATATTATCTAAAAACGACTGATCATGAGATACAACTAATAATGTTTTCTTCCATGATTGTAAATAGTTGTCGAGCCAAATAACAGCATTAAGATCAAGATGATTTGTCGGTTCATCAAGCATTAATAATGTTGGTTCAATATAGAGTGCACGAGCAAGAGATATACGCATACGCCAACCGCCACTAAATGATTTCGATGGACGAGAGATCATTTCCGGTGTAAAACCAAGACCAGCAAGAATTCGGCGCGCTTTTGGTTCAGCTGCATCGGCATTAATAGCTTTTAATTCATCGTAAACATGTCGTAGTTTATCTTGTAGATCATTATCTCTGGATGTTTCAAGTTGAGCTTCAAGTTGCTTTTGTTCTTCGAGTAGTTTAACACGTTTAACATCGGCTATTAATAATATTTCAAGTGCAGATTTTTCATCAGCTTGAACTTCTTGTTCACACAATAGAACATCAATATTTGGTGGTATACCCAATTGACGATTAGCAATATGTTTCAATAGGGTTGTTTTGCCCATACCATTAGGCCCAACCAGACCATATCGACGACCATTCGCAATATTTAAATTAGCATTAACAAATAAATCATTACCGCGAGCAGAAATAGAGAAATTTTCAATTTTAATATCGATAGCAGTTTCAAATAATTGTGCTTGTCGATTTTGCGTTGCTGCTTGAGATATAGAAAATTGATCAGATTCAGCCGTTGATGCAACGAGTTTTTCAAAGGCTAATTTTTTCTCGAGAGCTTTTAATTCTTTTCGAGTTAATTTTTTTTCCGTTTTTTTATCACTTGACTCTGCTTGCGTTGATTCAACATCAATTTCGGGTTCTTCGTTATCAGCAGGAGTTTCTTCTTCAGCAGCCAATAATTTTTTTAATTCTTTACTTGAAATTTTCTTTTTGGTTGTTGATGTTTCTGTAACAGGAGCTACAAAGAAACATGACAAGCAATGATTATAAGAAATCCATGCACATGATATATTGAGATAAAACTACGTTTATTAATATTCCTATTTCAAGATAAATCAAGCCATTTTTTTCTAGACTTGAAGTCAAAATTTGCCTCCACCCAAAAAAATCAACATCTTCTATTCTATTAATTTCATTAGAGAAGTGTTTGAGATATAAACTTACCTATTGGTGTAGGCTCTGGTTCTTCCACTGTAGTTAGTTGTGGTTCTTCTACTGTAGTTTGTTGTGGTTCTTCTACTGTAGTTTGCTGTGGTTCTTCTACTGTAGTTTGTTGTGGCTCTTCTGTTACAGGAGTTGGCGCTTGTTGATTAGTTGGAACATTTTTTTGTTTTTTCTTCGATCCTTTTTGCTTTTTTTTGTTATCTTCATCAGAATCATTCCATTCAATAGGTGCTGAAAGTGAATAGAAAATTATGTTTTAAAAAAATTTATTCTGTCAAAAAAATTTGATTGCAAACCTTGCGAAACTTCTTTGAGTTCGATTGGTTCATCTTTGACAACAGGTTCATCATCATGTTTAGTATTGATTTCTGCGCCATCGTCAGAATCAACTTGAACAATTAAATTTTTAATAGAAATTTCATTTGACATAAATAATCAATCGGCTTACCTTTAGTTGTTGGCTGTTTACTACCTTTCTTTTGCTTATTTTGTTTTTTATTACTATTTTTCTTTGATTTAGTATTATCGTCGGATTCATCAGAGAAGTTGACTTCAGCTAAAAAGAAACATATATTCTAAATCATAATAGCTCCAAGTAATCGTAAAAGAAAATATTTAAGCGCCTAAAGAAAGATTCCATCGCAAGGCTGTTTTATTTTTAAGAAGACTTTTTATAACAACATTCATCATATAGAATAAATATTTTATAAATGGAACACGATATTTCGACTTCTCAGCTGAGCTGAGTCCATGAAAACTCTTATGAAATAGAAAACAGCCTTGGAGAACTCTCGCTAAATGATTATGATGCAATGCGGCAAAAAGTCGAGGACGTCGTATTTTGTTCGATCAAAGAAATATGTCATGTTGTACTGAGAAATCTCGTAAACTTTTTGTGCGAAAATTCGAATTTTACCTTGTTGAACATCTTTGTGAATAACAGTTGGCGGAACATCATTAATTTCATTTTCATTTTCATTTTCATCTTCATTATCTGATGCTACATTCTTTTTACCACCTTTTGGTTTTTTTCGTTCGGATTTATTTTCATTTTGTTTTGATTCAGCTGGTTCATTATCATTAGTTTTATTTTGACCTTTTTTTCCTTTAGTTTTCTTCTTGTTTCGATTATCATCATCGTCTGAATCAGCCGGAAGAGAAGCTAGACAAAGAAAAACAAATTTAATTTACTAGAGAATTTAAATCAAACAATGGTACCTTGTTTACTAGATGCTTGATCATCAAGGTCATTGACTTGTTTATTATTTTTCTTTCCTTTATTTTTTTTCTTGTTTCGATTATCATCATCATCGGAACCAGCTGAAAGTGAAGTTAGGCAAGAGAAAAAACGTTAATAAAGAATTTAAAATAAACAAAAAACGACTTGTACCTTGTTTTACCGATGATACTTGATCATCAACATCATCATCGTTGGCTTGTTTATTGTTTTTTTTTCCTTTACTTTTTTTATTCTTGTTACGTTTTTTATCGTCATCGGAATCGTTCTGTTGTTGAACATTATTAGTTGTTGTTGGTTCATTTTGGTCATCATCATCAGATTGTTGAAGTTTTGGTTGATTCGTTTTCGTTGGTGGCGGTGGTTTAATTTTCGGTTGAGCATTTTTTTTCTTATTATTTTTTCGTTTAGAATCATCGTCAGAATCATCACTATCATTACCGGCTAAAGAAAGATTTACTAGACCTTTCTCTACTTGTTCGAGACGGTGTGCACGTTTGGAAGCCATTAAACGCGATCTGAAAAATATGAAAAAATAAATAACTGACTATCCTATATATCGGAACATAAAGAAAGCTAATTACATAAGACCACATTTGATTACAATTGCTCATGTTAATGAAGAAAGATATTATTTTTTTTCTATTTCGTAATTTCCAGCGTTATTTACTGGTCTGTTCCAGTGTCCATAAAGGTTGTTAGTATTATAAGATGTCACTAATCTACAGTCGACGTTATTATGTAATTGTATAGACACAATATGGAAGAAGAAGAAAAAAAAGAATTAAAAAAAGCACGTTCAGATTTATGTGTGCCGATAAAAAAAATAATGGAACTCAATGAAGATCAATTTTCAAGGTCTTTCTATCAATGAAAAAAGAGCCTAAAATGAATATTAATTCATCTTTGATTACAATATAATCTACACAATCTCGGATAAAGTATCAATAAATTTGCTACAAGTTCATATTTGATTAAAATTATTCGTTTCTATTCTAATTTGAAGCCACACATATTTCGAACAAATTATTAACAAGTAAATAAATGAAACCCAATCAAGTCATATTTGATACGTCCTTCGAGCATTCTTTTCTATTTATATATATATATATATATATCGAAGTCAAAGTCGTCATCCTATCAGCATAGTGTTAATAGTGTTATGGACAGCAGACGTCGAAAGATGCTGCTAAACGTTTAAGCTTATAGTTGCACTATCGCACATTTCTTAGAATGGCCAAGTAATTGTAGCTAATACATTATTATTTATGTATAATTATGAAGGGCTTTTTTGATAATCGATGATATGTGATTATATAAAGATAGAGTCTCCTTGAGACATTTTCTAGAAAATAAATGTTTATTAGTTAATCAATCATGATATTCAACAGTGAAAAAGACCAATACTGTATCAAAATCTGATTAAGTTTGTTTTTTACATCAGACAAGGAAATCTATTGAATCGATTGATTTAATTACTTGCAATGTTCACAAGGCTATTGTTTACTAAGTCTGCAAAATGATGTAGACTATACTTATCTGACTTGAGAAGATTTTCTATTTGATCATCACTGTCTATCATAATTCGAAACGACATATTATGCTTTTAATAAATATCCTTCGATTAATATATGAAGCCATATTCGTTGAAAACAAAAACGTTAGATTCATGCTGCTGCTGCTACTACTTCATCATCTATGTACGTATATCTCTTCTATTGTGTTAAGATACACATTAGACAAGTGATCGTGAGAATAATTTCTTGTTTGAACATATCACATCGAAGTATTTGATTAGAAATGAACGATTAGCAAATACTTCTTATGAAAAAAAAGCATCATGTCTAAATGTAGAAGAAGTTGATGAACGCGCTAAATAGCATATAAACGTTAGTACATGATGATAGTCCAATTGCACTTAGAAAAGAAGCAAACTATGTGTATATATGAGTATGTATGTATACCATGTCTAATTGCCTAAAAACCGAACGATCGACGTAACGATTTTCTACATTCTCATCATTATTACTCACTCCACCCCATTCTTCCTCTTTTTATTCTCTTAAATCTGATTATCAAGTGGTATTGATGAGTAGTAGTAGTACAACGCATGACGATGATGTTGCCCGCTTCGTTTTACTGTTTGTGAAATACATCAGTAGACAATAGAAAGAGAGACTCCGCCATTTTCTATACAACCCTCTAGGCGACGATTGTCGCCTCAATAAATATATTAGTCTACTTCTCTTTTGGTTGCCTTATTTTTACTATGTTGCCACATCGCGACAACACTTGTCAGCAATCTCGAAGCCCCTGAACAATCACATGAGATCCGATTTCGAGGTTATCTTAATGCTACAGCCATTTCCATTGTTAGTCACGCTGAATTTGAGATCTATCTATTTGATCGGTAGTAATATTGCGTCTGCTATGCCGATGATATAGCTGTTCAATTCTTCTCTTCTCATCGATGATTATTACTAATCAGTATCACAATCAATTCTCTTGCTCTCCTTCTCCCTCTCTCTCTCTATCCATCTCTCTCCCCCCTCTCTCTGTGTCTTTTCGCCTCTGGTCGTACTCTTTTCTCTCCCTCTCTCTCCCTACTCTTTCGCTCTCGTTTTCTTCTCAGCTTTTTTTTGTTCTTATAGAAAGAGAGCGCAAAACGAACGCACGAACGAACGAGAACAGAGCTCATGAATGTCCAGTGTATATGTGTATACGCGAGTAACGTGTATGAGTAAAGAGCATCGTCACTGCAACTTCTATTCCTGCTGCTATTACTGCTATTACTGCTACAACTCCTTCTTTTCATCATATAACAATTATCGCATTTCTTCTCTTATGTATCTGCTTTCCTGTTGATACTCGTTACCAGAACCCACATTTACAAATATATAACCAGAATCTCCTTCTTTTTTATTATTACTACTAATGTTTAAAGCAAATCGGCAAATGCGAATAATCGCATTCACAAGATGACCCTATTGTTGTTAACGTGTAGTATTTATATTCTTCTATTATCTCAGTCACATTTTATTGGGGCATGTCCATCTGTTTGCTCCTGTCATGGACCCAATGTTGACTGTAGCAATCGAGGACTACAAACAATACCACCTGGAATACCAAGAAATGTTTTTAAACTGTAAGTAGATTATTCATATAAAGTAGAATGTATTAAAAAAAAAAGATAAATTGGTTATTTGACCTTGATATATACACATATAATCAATGAATAAAAAAAAAGAAGAGAGCGTTCTAATCTTTTTTTTTCTACTTGATACGTGTTTGCATGACGATTCAATAAGATTAACTTGTAAGAGAGCAGCACAACTGCCCAATTGATTGCCGATGATGTCATTACGCACAATTGAATCTTTGCGAATGTGCGATTGAATTCTTCAGGTGTACGATTGTATGATGTAAACTAGAAAATGAGAGTAAAAGAGCAGTCAAAATGCTTCTCACGTTTCCTTTCCTTTTTTCTTAGTTTTATGTTTTTTTATCTGAATTGAATATGCAAAATGGATTTATATGTCCTTCGTGATAGAAACAACGCCGCGTCGTTTCGCTCCATTGGTAACTTTATGTTGGTATTATACAACTGTTGTCTCTACGATCACTCGCCTGTCGTTTTTAGTTAGTCTCGATAGATTTACGTTTTATCGAATGGGCATGTCATCTTGTATGCACCGAACACAGTGGTAAAGATGTTTTCATCGAAAAAAAAAAGTAGACAGACAGATGGACCTTCCCTATGCGTCGATCTTTCCATTTTATTCCTTTGTATTGCCGTTTATTTTCTATAGATATTGCGTCATAGAATCTTTTATGCAACCTTAATCATAATCGGCAAGTATTTATATCGATCTTTGAGCACGGAACGGAACAAACAATCATAGTATATAGATATAAAGATATATATATATATATATATATTTATGTGTACTTCTCACTAACGTTGCCGTTGACGCGTATATGGACGCTCTTTAGTGTTCTCGCCAGGTTGAGATAGATCAATGAACGATGTATAAAAAAAAGATTACGCCGTACACATGTGATCTGTAAACAAAAGTGAAGCGAATGCCAAGTGTTTTTGTTGATCATATAGAACAACAATCGTTTCTATGTGTATGTAGATATGTGAATGTTGAGAAAGAATAAGAAGAAATATGCACGCACACCTTAGCTGATCGTAGACAAGATTGACGTGCAAGCATTGCTTGCCCATCTATATAGATATATGTCTTATTTTATCATTCCTTTTTTTGTTTTGTTTCGTGCGAACCAATTTCTTGTCTGCATATTTCTTCATATACTACAGAAGCAGAAGAGAAAAAAAAGGTCAATGCTCATCATTCGTGATGCAACCTAGGATCAGGTACCTTAAAATTCGGACAAGACGATTAAACACGAAGGAGAAAAAAAGTAAAAATCGCACGGTTTCTTCCATATTTTAAGACATGAATATTATTTCATGTATTGACCTAATACTTCTGTTGTTCTTCAAACTAAAAAAACAAGAAGAAAAGTTCGCGCCGTTGCTTTTTGCTCTTTATGGTTTCATTTGAAGAATATTTGTACGATAGAACAATGATTATAGTTCATAAAATATGTTCAACGAAAGTAGGATGATTAAAAGGTTTCTTTTTCACCCTTACTTTGTATACATACATGTATACCTATATGTATGCATACAAAAACGATAGAATCAACATTTTTTTCTCGTTTTTTCCTTCATCACAATGAATAAATGGTTCACACCAACCATGGACATATGAAGAATTGGGCATATACAATAGAATGTAAAAGGAGTAAAAGAAAGCTTGTCATGCTGATGTGAAAAAACTACGACAACTAATATTGCCCGCCCATTTTACTACTATCTCGAACTCCAATGGTGGCCTGTCAACCCAGAGTATGATGAGTTGTATGATTGCGTCACACTAAAGAGCTCAGCGAGTAATCGATGATAACAATGTATATACAAAGTTTTCTTTTTCGCTCTCTTCGTCATCTTAACTTAGAAAGAAACTAGTTAGAGGATGAAATATCAAGGCCAATTATGTTTCGTTCAACTCCGCCCACTGAGTAATGATAGAAATCAGTTTACTTCAATTATCGATTCTTATCCGAAAGAAACTTAAAAAGAAACATAGCAAATGAGAAGTTCATGTTGTACGGGCAGTCTAAAGAGCAATTTGTGTTCCGCTCGATTATCATTATGATTTATTCGCTGTTGCTTTCTCTTTGTATATATATATATATATATTTTGTTTGTATGACCTCGCTTAATTCATTGTCACCTATATTCTCACAAATAAAAAAAGCATGAATGAATCAAATACCAATCAATGTGTACGAGCATAAATATGCGGCTGACCGTTAAATTGGCCTTCTTATTACTTTTAGTAGAGTAGATCCTCAATTAATATGTTACACAATTTTGCCTTTTCTGAATGCATAGATTTGCATAATTGACATGCCGAATATATGGATAGAGAAACAACGGATGTGATAATTTTTTCTCAATAATCACTAAAATGTAATATTGGATAAATTATCTACAATAAAGAGTCAAACAGAGAGATAGTTATTAGCGCATCTGACACAAGCTGTGCGTAATAAAGAGGCTTTATGATAACGTTTACTTCTCAAGAGAACTTCAAAATGATTACATTAGCCAAGAAGTTTCTCATTTGAATATTTGTTTATAATACGATCAAATAACATTGTAATAGATAATTTGACATGAATCTGCTTAATATCTGTTTTCTTTTTTTCTTCATAGAGAATTACAATTCAATAATCTATCAATAATTCGGAAGGATGATTTTAAAACATTTCGTCAACTACGTATCTTGTAAGTATGATTAATGATTGGTAATATAAATAAAGATATTTTCCAAGTTTTCTACTATTATCATTGTTATTGTCAAATGAACATCTTTGAACCATCGGTTCCCCTATTGACAAGGTTAAGAGCTCTTCTTCCTCATCCGACTTTCGTACCATGACAAGGTCAAGTAGACACACACACACACATACACAAGCAGAAGAATAAGCATACATGCGCGCACACACACGCACAAAGCGATGGAGCTCTCGGAGATTTCATATAATGCACACGTATGAAAATTATACATTCAATAAACTTTTTGTGTATTTCAAACAGAAAGAATACAAATAAGAGAACAATGACTTTAATAACCTTCTCAATCAGTTACCTTGTTCTTTTCTTAAATATTATACAATGGAAAGGAAGAAAAAAAAATGAAGACTAATTCTGTAACGGATATTCATACCTTAAATAATAATTGAAACAAAAAAGGAGCACGAATCGAAGAGATTAAGACAAGTTCAAGTTCAAGACATACAACAGACACTTGAGAAGAAGAAGAAGAAAAAGAAAAATAGACGTGATGATAACAAAAATTGAGGTCACGCATAGATGTATTATCTTTAATTTTTGAAAAGCTTGAGAGATTGACAGTTTGGCGTAAATATCTTTTTTTAATGATTTATATATATTTTTTTGCTTTCTTTTACATAGAAACCTTCAAGACAATCAAATACATACAGTTGATACTGATGCTTTTCGAGACTTGATATCATTAGAAAAATTGTAAGTGAAATTTGATTTAACTTTTTATTATCGATACTTGAGAAAGAAAAAAATTGAAATCATACAACTTTCTCTAAAGGTGCTTTTGTTCTTTACTTAATATACCGTCATTCATCATCACATCATTCAATTGCGAACGAGATTGTTATATTCAACAATCGCCATATGTCTGCGATTACCGCTGTGCTACTCTTAAAATTACAGTTATTTGCAATTCGTCGATAACTATATTACAAATAAAGAGCGAGAGGGAGCTCAGTACCCTGTCTGTCCTCCCCTCTCATAGTGTTTTTTTTTATGACCGGCCATATCATTTGTCTGACTATATGTCGTTCGCTTCATTGAACAGACGTATTGATAGAGACTAATTGAAATGAACAAATAATGTAACCTGCCTTCTTGTTGTTCTCTGCCTGCAGCCCGTCTAATGATAGGCAATCAATGTAGTTGAGTCTATTTATGTAATATGAATGAATGACTAAGATGGAGAAAATAGACGATAATGTTAATGTAAATGTTGATGATGATGATGATGATGATGATGATGACAAAATAAGATAGATGGAATATTTGATTGATAGATGGGATACTTTACGTTTTATGTTTTTCTAGACGTCTTAACGGTAATAAGCTAAATCATCTCGCCGATGGCACATTTTCATCCCTCAAACAACTTCAACGATTGTATGCATTTGACTCAAGGACTAAACAGAAAAAATACATTATTATTGTTTTCTTTTCTTACTATAATAGGGATCTCAGTTCTAACCAACTACGAGCCGTTAAAAAAGGAATGTTACAGGGTCTTCAAGCAATTGATAATTTGTAAGTGCCGATAAATCATAATCTAAAGGATAATACTCATTATCATAATTACATCATATAGACAATTGGATCACAATGAGATCACTTGTATGGAAGCCGAGGCTATTAATGGACTCAATCGATTAGAGATTATGTGAGTAATATTCTACATAATCTGTCATGTTTCATCACTGTAGTTATTTATTAATAATAGTAAAGTAGATTTATTCTAATTAGAATCATTGATCAGATAGGATTTGCATGAGAGCTTTTGGGTTTACTGGTGTTGTGTGTTATTGATTTTTTCTTCTAGTACATTGAATTTCAACAATTTAACAACGCTGCCCGTCTTACCGTTTGCACGGCTGATCGAATTAAGGGTTTTGTAAGTATATATATATATATATATATTTTTTTTTTGAAATAAAACATAATTCACACGTTTGAATTGCATGTACACCTTTTTGTTTTTGGTTCGACATGAACTGATATTTCTAATTAAAAAAAATTTTTTTTTTCTGAAAATTATTATTTTTTATTTCTTAAAGACGACTTCATGATAATCAATTCGTATGTGATTGCCGTCTACTATGGCTTGCTAAATATCTTAAGTTACATCCATTTCTTGGCCTTAATGCGCGATGTCAAGATGCTGATACGCTCAGTCATAAAGATATAACGTCATTGATGGATGATGAAAAACAATGCAATAGCATGGGTAAAGTTTTTAATTAATTCATTATAAATGAATAATAGATATTTTTGTTTCTTCTTCTTCTTCACAATAGACATTGATGATATCGATTATACATGCAATGTACCCGTATGTCCGTATCCATGCACATGTTTTAATGGTGTCGTCGATTGTAAAGATAAAGATCTTGTGGAAATTCCAAGAAATATTCCAGATACAACCATTGAATTGTGAAATCTATTTCTTTTAATTAAATTTTCTTTTGAACTTTTCTTTTTTAGACGTTTGGAAAAAAATCGTATTTCCGAAATTTCGCCTAAAATATTTTCTCATTTGAAAAAATTACGACGCCTGTGAGTGTGAAATTTTCTTGGATGATATTTTATTTGCAGAAAATTTTTTTTCCGAATTTTAGAGACATCAGCAATAATTTAATATCAACCATTTATCCTGATTCATTTACTGGTTTAAAATCACTAAATTCACTGTACGTATAAATATCTTTTTTTGCGGTTTCACTTTTCTTTTTTTTTTATACACATATGAATGAGAAAAATATTATTTAGTATTCTCTATCGAAATGATCTCAAAATGTTACCATCTGACGCGTTCAGCGAATTGAACTCTCTACAGCTTTTGTGAGTGCCAGGATGAAAATAAAAATAAAAACCGAAATATATAAATATGAGGAAAGGCATGTTTAACATTCACGATCACATATGTACACTCTTGTAATGATAGTTGGTGATGGTTAAATACTATAGCATGAAGAATGATTTTTCCATGCAAGAAAACAGTTTTATTTCATTTTTCTCTCACATAATCACATGCATGATTTACTATATTCTTATTTATTGGTTATGGATATAGTATACTATCAAACAATCAGCTTGCGCATTTACCATTTGGTGTATTTCATCACGAATTCATGCATCTACAACTCTTGTGAGTAAGCTTAGATTTAATTGCTTGTTGTTTGTTTGATATTTTTATAATTTAATATGTGTGCTCTCTTTTGTTAATGTTTGTATCGATTTATTGTGAAATATTTTTATAGAAAAATTCATTAAAATTTCATTTTTTTCTCACACACAGATTACTGAATGCAAATAAATTAGTATGTGTACGTGACGATACATTTCGCGGATTAGAAAAGTTGAGTTTATTGTCCTTGTACGATAATAAACTGAAAACATTAGTTAATAATACATTTGCACCATTGAAAAACATTCAGACATTGTAAGTTCCAGTTTTTCGAATTTTATTTTTGCTTGAAACGTGATTTTTAAAGACATTTGGCTCGTAATCCATTCATTTGTGATTGCCATCTGCGCTGGTTAAATGCTTATTTACGCGAAAAAAAGATTGAAACCAGTGGTGTTCGTTGTGCTGGTCCAAGACGTATGGCAAAACGAAAATTTGGTGTATTAAACGATCGAAGATTTCGATGTCGAAGTGAGATTTTAGTGAATTTCCAAAAACTTCAAAATTTTCTTTTGTTTTCTTCTATTCTAATTAGGTCGAATCGAATTTGAACAAACAGCTTATAGTAATCAATGTGAGGTACAGTGTCCAAAAGGATGTACATGTGATGGTACAACTGTTATCTGTCGTGGTTTACAATTACAAGAAATACCAAATGATATACCAGCATTTACTACTGCACTGTGAGAATATATTAGAATAACTTTTTAGAGTAAAAATAAAGAAACATTCTATGTTTCGAAGAGAGTTTAAAATTCTGATCGGGGCCAATTAGATTTAATCGTAGATGATAACTAATATAGGAGAGAAGAATCTTTTTACAACTGAATTGACAGTTCGTAATCATTCAAATTCGGACGAAGGATTGCTTGAAAATGAATTCTTATTGAAATTTTGTTTTTTAGACATCTTCAAGATAATTTAATCAAACGAGTTTCACGCGATGGCAGTTTCCGGCGTTTGCGAAGTCTACGTACACTGTATGTAATTCAGATAAATTCATACAAATAAATAATTTCGATGTTTTTGTTAACAGTGATTTACGAAATAATCGATTAGAAGAAATCGATGATGATGCATTTGATGGAGCTGATTCGCTTAATGAATTGTAAGAAATTTAGTTAATATGTATTCTGTAAATTTCATTTTCTGATTTTTTGATTATAATAGATTTTTAAGTGATAATAATTTGAATGTAATAACACCACAAACATTCAATGGCTTAAAAAATATTCGAACACTGATGTTACGTACAAATAAGTTAACGTACATTAAAAATGATACTTTTGCTGATATGGATGCACTAAAAACATTATCATTGCATGATAATCGCATTAAATGTATTGCGCCAGGTTCATTCGATCGATTACGATCATTATCAGCATTGTAAGAATAATTATTTAATGGATTTCCTGCAGTATTTGTTTTGTTTAGGGATCTTTTATCAAATCCATTTGTTTGCAATTGTCATATGCAATGGTTGAAAAGTTGGCTGAAACAAAGTAACATTGTTACTGGATATCCAAAGTAAGTAACATCGAGTTGTCTAAGCAAACACAAGGATATCCTCTATAGAAATTTGATACAAAAAATGAATAATTTAACAGAGAAACACACTAGACAGCTCCGTCTTTGCTCTGTATACTATAAACTTCATATCATACTTCTTAATTCTGATAACCTGCTACTACATGTTATTTTTCAATTTTTGTAGATGTATGTCACCCACCAAATTACGGAATATTCCAGTAAGCATTTTGTTTTTATCTATAATCAAACTTTTGTTTTAATCAAAATTTTCTATTAAGATTGTCAATTTAACTGACGATGACTTTGTTTGCAATCGTGAGTATTTCTTTTTTGAATCTGAAAAAAAACAAATTCTATTCTTTTTATTACAGCTGTCGAACTCGACACATGCGATGTGTCGTATCCAAATCATTGTCCACAAAATTGTTCATGTTATAATCATATTGTACGATGTTCACATGCACATTTGCGACAGATACCATATGACCAAATGCCATTGGATACAGAAGAATTATATTTGGACGCAAATGATATAACTGAAATACCATCAGAATTAACAAATCGTCTTGTTTATCTTATAAGAATTGATTTAAGTTATAATAAACTCCGTTCAATACAAGCAAATATATTTTCCAATTTAACTCGACTTGAAACGTTAATATTGTCATACAACAAAATTCGTTGTTTAGAATCAACCTCATTTAAAGGCTTGAAAAATTTACGAATACTGTATGTCTTTCAATACACAAGCTATTTGTTTTCGAATAATAAAAAACGAAAATTTCTTTAGATCATTACATGGAAATGAAATTTCTACAATACCCGATGGTTCGTTTAATGATCTTACATCGTTATCGCATGTGTAAGTAGACGAACTGAGTTTTGCAAGAATGCAAATAATGATATTTATTTGTAGGGCACTTGGAGGTAATCCACTGTATTGTGATTGTCATTTGGGTTGGTTATCATCATGGATTAAAACGGATTATGTTGAACCTGGTAAGAGTTTCTAGATATAAAAGTGTGTTCGGTTGGAATATTGATTTTCAATTTTCGCTAATTAATAATCTTAAGGATAACATTCGAATTCTTTGAAATTTCAGAATGAAAAGTTTTAGTGTTGCTTGAAAGTAAATTTAATAAAAAAACAATTATAGAGAAAATCAATATACGCGATATCTGAGAAGGTCTCTTCAAATGAAGTTTCGTTTTCTTCGAAAATTCATTTTATTATCTGTACATATAGGTATTGCTCGATGTGCTGGGCCACCTCAAATGGCAAATAAATTACTGCTAACATCGCCAATTTTCTTTTTTCAATGTCACAGTAAGTATTTCTGTTATTTTGAAAATTTTTTTACTAAAATTTTTAAAAACCTCTAGATGAAAGCGAATCCAATCGTTATCTACAAAAATGTGATCCATGTCTAAATGAAGAAAATCCTTGTGCTAATAATGGCTCATGTCGAGCGTTATCAATTGAAACGTTTACATGTAATTGTTTGCCAGGATATCATGGTGAACGTTGTGAAAATTTGATCGATGCTTGCTTTGATAATCCATGCAAACATCAAGCACGATGTCAAACACTTTCCGATGGTCGCTTTAAATGCCATTGTTCATCTGGTTTTACAGGATATCGATGCGAAAGTAATATTGACGATTGCTTTTACCATCGATGTCAAAATAATGGAACATGTGTCGATAAAATTAATGATTATTCATGTACTTGTCCAACATTATTTACGGGTAAGTGGAAAAAAATACGATAAAAATGCTAATGATATTTTGTTTGATAGGCAAATACTGTGAAAAAAAATTGAATTGGTGTGAAGAAAATTTAAATCCTTGCAATAATAATGGCCGTTGTCTAACAAAAACTAGTGACTATGAGTAAGATTTTTCATTTTAACCTTTCAAAAATGATGTTGGAAAATTTTCAATTCAGATGTGAATGTTCATTGGGTTGGGGAGGAGTCAATTGTACGGAAAATTTAAATGATTGTTCAAATCATGCATGCCAATTTGGTGTGTGTATTGATGGTCTTAATGGTTACACTTGCAAGTGTGATGTTGGCTTTACCGGGAAATATTGTGAAATAGCTCCACAATTGAAATCATCATTTATGAAAAACATAAGTAATATATCGCCAACACGATGTTCATCCGACGTTTGTTCGAATAACGGTATCTGTTATGAAGAACCATCCAATATGCTTCGATGCCGTTGCTATCCAGGTTTTATTGGTAATCGATGCGTTATGTTAAAGAGTATTCATTCAATGACAAATGATTCCTACATGAAACTACCTAAACCGAATGTCTATCCACGTTCGAATATTACCATTGTATTTAGTACAACACAAAATAGTGGTATTCTAGTTTATTTTGGCTATTTGGGACATCTCGTTGCAGAAGTTTTCATGGGTAGAATACGTGTTAGTTATGATGTTGGAAATTCACCTGGTTCAGTTATGTTCAGCTACGATACTGTCAATGATGGTAAGAAAATAAAAATATACTTTTAACATAATCCCTGCAATTAGGATCAAACGTATCTTCTTTTCTTCTATCGATATCCTCCATTCAGACGTATAAGAATGAAGTTATTCGTATAGCGTCTTCCTCCTATGATTCCTCAACCATATTAGCGCAAATATGCTCGTCTAACAGTCTATGTCGTTCTCTTATCAAGAATATCGGTTGAACTGAAAAAAGGAAAACAATACATCAGTACTTTGCGTGCAGAAAGTTCCACTCAGCATGCTTTTCTGAAAGAATAGAAGATACTTATTTGAATTCAAAATCGAATATACAAATGAATCGATAACGAATGAAATGGCCTAGTAAATTAAAATGTCTAGTCGCATGTTTACACCTAACATATCAACGCAATCTGATAAAGTAACATGCCATGAGAGACAGCTGTGTTTATCGAAGACTAAATTATAACAAGATGTTTTTGATAAACGACCGATACTCATACGTCAGCAACATCTATCATAACTGTGTCTATGAACCAAGGATTCACATTTTTATCTGTCTATATGAATAGTAGGCGTTTAAGATTGTGTCCCAGTTAGAGCCCGTCGGGTCCAATAATTTTTCTATTCGAACCCGGAAAAAGAAATACGTGTGGTTTCATCATTTTTTAAGATATCGCATCGTTCGAACATGTATCTTGTAGAGAAATGATTCCTCTATCAGCTCATGTACTTAGAAACATACAATAATTTTGGATGTCCAAAATGTTCTTATTACAAACTTCCGGGTCCGAGTTTGGACCCGGTTGGACCCGGAAGTTTGTAATAAGAAAATTTTGGACACCCAAAATTATTGTATGTTTCTAAGTACATGAGCTGATAGAGGAATCATTTCTCTACAAGATACATGTTGGAACGGTGCAATATCTTAAAAAATGATGAAACCACACGTATTTCTTTTTCCGGGTTCGAATTGAAAAATTATTGAACCCGACGGGCTCTAGTCCCAGTATGCATTCATTCATTATTGAATCGTTTTATTATTTTTTAGGAAAAGTGCATGAATTGCAATTGGTAAGCGTCGGACAAAATTTTAGTTTAACTGTTGACCGTGGTTATACGCGTCATATAAATAATCGCGGTCAAAATGCGTATTTAAATACAAGTGATATACGTGCTTTATACATTGCTGGTCTACCAAACGATTTAACAGCTAGAGCTTTGCAATTGTGGCACATTCGAGAAGCTACATCATTTCAAGGTGAGCAACGGAAACATATATTGAAAGACTAGCTAATGAATCGAATACGTTTCTTTTTTAAAGGTTGTATTCATGCATTATATATCAATGATGATCCAGTAAATTTTGCTAATGTTGATTATCGTCATAAAATTTTACCCGGCTGTGAAAATCATGAACACAACCAATTATCATGTACAAGTGCAACATGTCAATATGGTCAATGTCGTCTTCAAGGTCTAGATTATAAATGTACATGTCACGAAGGTTACACAGGATTATCATGCAGTCAACGTAATTAATATTATTTTTTTTCCCGAAAATGATAAAAGTATATAAATTTTTAATTTTAGCTGTGCAAACATCAATCGCCTTACCATTAATTAGTTCGTGTGACTTAACTGTAGAAAAAGGATTCTATGTAGATCCACTAACAAAATGTACAAGTAATAGACGTTTACGTATAACTAGATGTTCAGGTTCGTGTCCATCGAGAAGTAATGGTACACAAGCATCGTGTTGTAAACCAGTTGAACCAAAACGTCGATTCTTTCGTATGACTTGTACAAGTGGTTTTTCTTATAGGCAGTCACTTGACTTTTTTAAGCAATGTTCTTGTTCAAATACTGTTTGTTAGTTCTACATGTATGTGTCATAAACTCAGGTTTATTGTATATAAAATATGAAAAATGTAGAAAAATCAATCTCATAAAAAACTATGCTGTTTGTCTTTTGTATTCTTGTGCGTGCTTCCCGTATTTTTGTTTTTGTTTTGTTTTTCTGTTTTGATCTTATTCCTTGTTGGCCCCAGTTTTTGCTTTTTCTCGCTCGTCTTTTTCTCTTTTCATTTTAAATTTACTACTCTATTTACTAATCCCTACTTGGATATTTTTGTAAGTCATGCGTATGTGTTCGCATTTGGTCTTGTTAAAAATCATTCGTGCTTGGGAAAGAATCGATCATCATCAATACTGTTCTACTGTATTTTTCGTCAGGAGAAATTGTTTGATAACATAAGTTCAAAAGACTTTTGCGGACTAGTATTAATTAAGATTATAATGAATTTATAATAAAAATAAATAAATAAATTGCTTGATGGAATAAATGATTACGTGTGTATTCAAGTTCGCGCATGATTTGTGCAAGACTGAGAATGAACATTGAAAACAAAATGTACCCAGGTCGAGCATTACGGTTACCAGAAACGGCTGTATACGGCCGCAAACGTTAACGTATACTGCCGTTTCTTGTCGTTTCTCATCGTAAATGACCGTAACTTGACGTTTTGGCTTGTACCGTATTACGGCCGTAATTAATCGTGTCGTAAACGGTTACTAACGACCGTAATGTGGTCGGATATTTCCGTATCCGATCGTTTATGGCACGATACAAAACGACCGTAATACGGTGCATACCAAACGACCGTATACGACCCAAGTTGATCTACCTGTGTATTTGTAAGTTTGACTTATATGACTAAAATATATGTGCATATTTTGTTTTCACCAACAAACTGTATTGAAATACGTAGGTACATTGCGTCGAGAATAAATATTTATATTAATCTCAATCAGATTATACTTAAATATTCTAGAGTATTCGAAGTTCACTATCGCCGATTGACATAGATCATTTTCCTTTTTGAGTATCATATAGAGATGTATCTATGATGGATTCGTGTATTTAGTCTTGTCTGGTGATCAGAATGACCTGCTCTTCTATGAAAAAACTTCCACTATCCCAACTTATTTGAGACTAGGTTTAACCTGTACCAACTGTTAAGCACCAATCGTTAAAGAAAGAATATAGAGTAATGAATTATATTTTTTAAATATAAATTCCTGATTTATGTATTGTCATCAAATAGAATTCGAGAAAAATGTCAGCGTTTTAGTTCACCATTTGATACTATTTTCACGACCATTTCCAGTGCCCAATAATTATCCTGTTACAACAGCACCCAGAGGACGGCCTATTATTTCACCGACTGTGGCCCCAACACCATTTGCCACTGTTACATCTAATTCAACTATTGTATTTGGCAAATCAACACTCAATGCACGAGCACAAATGTCCGCCGGTGGATTATTCATATATTTGCTGAAGATTTGAATTATAGCGAGAGGTTGGCCGTAGAAAGGCCGAAAGGAAAAATATGTCGAAAGGCAATAATACCGAAAGAAAAATATCGAAAAGGAAAAATGTCGAAAACAGAAAAGATAGAAAAAAGCGACGTCTCTACTAAATGAAAGTTCTAATAGTTTATTGTTCATTGTTGTTAATCTGATTATTCCATTGGTTTGACACTGTGAATCATTGATACTATTGATAAGTAATATCTTATGAAAACTAGCTAAAATAGGCGTAAAATAGTATGCAACGATTAAAATTCTATCATGCTGACTACAGCTTGCTCATTTTTATCTGGTGAGAATCACCCGCCAACTCCAGTTATTTCATTTATTCAGTCGCAGAAAGGAAAACCTTTCCTTGTATCAGATAAATATATTTTCAAACTGAATAAAACAACAACAACTAGTAAATATTGGATATGTGTATTTTTCTTTATAACTCTTATTTATCTATGATTTATGCTATGATACTATTATGATTTCAAGAATAGAAACATCTTAGTGCAAATTTTCGATATTTTTCCTTTCGGTCTTTCTACGGCACACCACAGTTTATGTTACATTTGTAATTATTATTTTTAAAACTATGCGAAATTCTTTTGAACTATTGTTAGGTGTCATGATCGGTATTGTTTTGTTGGCCATTTATGATGGTGAATGAGTGGCATGAAGCTATCTTCGTGATTACTTGTGTGTATATGAAGTAATAGTGTATATTCTTGATAGGTAACATCATCATCATCATTATCAAATATTTGTTTACTCTCAAAGTGCACACGCAGAAGGATGACTTCAATAAAATTTTCATATCCTAATTGTGCACTATGCTTCAATTGTAGAATTGAGATGGAAGACTATTTTTAGATACGTCTAATCATTTTTGTAATAATTATGAATGTCTCGCAGTAACGTTTGCTCATTGAGAAAACAAAAAGTGGAACTAGAAAATAAGATAGCCTTCTTAAGATGTACACCTCTTCATTTTGCATCCTGTATAATATTGTATCCCATTCATTATATTCAAATGTACAAATAAGAAAAAGTTCAACCGAACCTAATTCAATGATTATGCAGCATTAATTTATATTTTCTATTCTAATTCCATTGGTAAAGACTGTCTGGATTGTTTTATGTCGATGATCAACCGAACCGTCCGTATCATTCTGTATATGTAGGCGTGAGTTATTCCGCAATATATATATATATATATACTTGCCATAGAAAATTGTTTACATTCATCGATAGGATTCTAAAAAAACTGTGTTCTTCATCAACAGCAAATTCTGATAAAAACAATCATCCAAGTCGCTATTTATGTATTAGAACGAGTATGGTTTTTTCTTGTTATTATTATTATTATTATTATTACTGATAATTCTATACAGAGAGCCTGAAATGAAATAATATATTAAGAAACATCTTAACAAATTGTTAGGATTATTGATTCGATGGACCTACTCTGGGAAAATCACAAGTTAATCCAAAAAAATGATGATTTCGAAATTCCCCTTATATAAATGGAATAGTAAAATTTAGCTGTAATTCATTCATACCACTGTTTGTACATGATTGAAAAGGAATCTTTCTATCATCATGCATAACAAGTGCTCCAGGTCTAAAACCGGCTATCATCTGATATAAACTGGGCTTTTGGCAGCTGCATAACGTAACATAGTAGAAGACATTACATTAACAAATAGGTATTCATAACTCGAGCTCAAAATAAAGAATCGATTAATCCTTTATTTTTGCATTTTTAATTCAAGGAAGGAAATGTGACAAGGAAAAGTAACCAAAAAGTGAAGGGTTTCCTTCGTATTTTCTGGATTACTTACACATCAATATTTTTCAAAAGATTCTCACTCTGTTTCAATTAAGAATTATCAATGGCATTTTGACTTATATAAATGATACTGGCTTTGTACTCAATGATAGATAATTGATTTTTGAATGAAATAATTTGTCGAGTAGTTAGGAGCGAATAAAAACCATGAATAATATATAACAAAGTATTCAAATCAGTAAGATGAAGACTGCTATGCATCACTATTCTGACTTTTAGTAAAGACCTATTGACGGTAAATTCTGTCAGAATTCGAATGAATCTTTTCTTGATACATGTAAAACTTTTTATTTCATCTTAAAGTTCTCGCGTACAGCAAAGCTGTGAGAAAGCAATTATCAATATGTAAGCACAAGATAAAATACAATGTTTTCAATATAAGCCACACATTGATTTATTTCTGAATGATTGATGGTATCAAATACGTCGTCATTTCATACAGTATTTGTGGAAACCAATGAACGCCAATCATGGAACTCGATTTTCCGAATAAACTATACCACCATCTCATAGGAGCCAGTACAGTATGGGCAATGACGTGACTATCGATTGTAGCATAGCACGATGCTGCAACATTGTTTACAATTAATGTACCTTCAACAGTCAAAGGGGCTACATATCCTTGTTTGACAACATCAGACACATTCGAAACAGTTTCAG